AATTAGTAGTATTTAAAAAGGCAATAATAGAAATTTAGAAGCTTTAAGCTAGATACTAGATTATAAATATCCTAAATACCCGAAATAATTCTAGTATTACTAATATTTATAAACTTCCCTTAAATTCGGATATTCTTATATAGTATAAAGGAAATACTAGTTAATCTAGTAATTAGGATAGGCCATATAAGCTAGTAGCCATTAATAGGAAAGACTATATACTAGCTTTACTATATAGTAATACTACTTTTTACTTAATTTCTATAAAGCCCTTTTATATAGGGAATATTAAAGTTATTACTAATAGCCCTAAACCTGAACCTATTCTCGAATTCTATAATAAGGCTAAAAGTAATATAGGTATGATTTCTCCTATTATTCCTGCTATTTTATTAAAGTATAATAGAGAATACTCTTATAAGAATCCGGATATTACGGTATTTCTATAAAATAATAACCTATATAAGAACTCCTATTAAGTTAAAATTACTAGCCTTTTAGAAAAAAGTATATTTAAAGTTACTTTTAGATCTTAGATACTAAAGAAGATATATATCTTTAATTCCTGGTTTATTAATAAGATTAAGAATAAGGATATAGAAAGAGAGCTTAAAAAGTCGAGACTAGTTATTTAGGCTTATAATAATAATAAGAAATATATAGTATTAATATAATTACCTACTATTTAATATATTAGCTAGAGAATTATTCTTAGTATTATTACTATAATAATAGATATTATAGAGCTATATTTATATAATATCTCGCAAGCTTATATCTAATTAATAACCTTACTTAACTATAATTTTTATATTAACTTATCTTATAAGCTTACTAGAAAGCTAAATCTAAATAATAATTCGGTTCTAAAGATTATAAAACTACTATATAGTATACCGGAAGCTGGGAATTACTAGTTTAAGACTTACTATTTCTATTATATTAACGAGCTTTTTATAAAATAGTTAACTTATAACTCTTGCTTCCTTTATAATAAGTAACTTTTCGGAATTATTAGCCTTTAAACTAATAATACTCTATTTATTAGAACTAATAATTTTATAAAGGTAAAGTAACTAAAGCTCTATAAGGCTAAGTTCTTAGCTAAGGAATATAAATGCCTTATTATTAATTATAATCTCAAGTTTAATAGAGGTATTATTTATATAAATACTACTAGAATTACTCTTATATAAGAATACTAGTATAAAAACCTCCGAACTATTTCTATAAAAAATACTATTACTATAAATAGTAGAAATACTATTCGTTAAGATCTCTCTATTAAGAACTAATATATTACCTAATATACTAGATAAGTATATATTATATTAGTCTATTAACCAGAAGCTTTATATAACCTATTAATTATGGCTTAGGCTATTAAATCCTCGGAAACTAATATAAAGGCACTTAATAAACGTATTTAATAGCAAATTAAGAATACTACTAGAGAACTAAGATTCGTAAAGCTAGTAAAGAAGTTCTTATATTTAATTGTTTTTATAAATACTTTATTTATAAATAATAGAGATCTCTTCTTTTAAACTAGATATATTCTAGTTCTAGTAAACGGAACTAGATATACTAATATTATTTACTAGTTCTCTACTAAATGCAAGAGAGTTACTAGAAATATTCTAGCTTTGGAACTTTATAGTATGGCTTATGGCTTTAATATAAGTACTTTAGTCAAATCTATAATTAATAGAATACTAGAAATAGAATTATTACTAGTAGTTTATACGAATTCAAAGTCGTTATATAAATGCCTCATTAAATTAGGAACTACTCGAGAAAAGCATCTAATAATTAATATAATATACTTTTACTAGGTATATAAATAATAAGAGATTACAGAAATTAAATAAATTAAGGGAAAATTAAATCCTGCCGATTTCATAACGAAATTAAAGCTAATAAATGCCCTTAAATACCTAATTAATATAAATACTATATAATTAGATATAGAGAAATAAGTCGAGTATAAATAGGACGGGAAATAGATATATAAGATAGGAGGATATTATAGGAGGGGAAATTATATATAAAAGGCTATAGCCTTTGGTATATAACTAAAACCTCGGAAGTAATATAAATATATAGAGTATTTGGGAAATCTGATACTAGACCGGATTAGGAAATTTGTATGTAATTAAAGAGAGATACTATTTTTTTGCATTTTTAGAGAGTTTCTAGTATTAGTATAATTATTTCTTTGGGAGTTATATGTATAGTTACAAGATACGGGATATAAGACATAAATAATAGGATATGAGTAATAGAATATAGATAATAGGATATAGTTATATAACCTCGTATCCTATTAGTAACTTAACTAGTAAACTAGACTCCTTTAGGCTTAGCAAATTTAGGGATTATATATTAATACTATAATACTATAATTCTTACTTCTAAATAATAATAACTTTACTAATCTTATATAAATAGTACTTCTATACCTATATAATAGTATTATATATTACTAGTAAACCAATAACTAGAAATAGCTTGTTTTTTTATTTTAGGTATTAGTATATTTTTTTTATTTCCTAGTATTTTATTTTTTTATTTTTATTATAAACTTATTAAAGAATCTTAAAGATCTATTTAGTAATTGAAATTTATCTAACTAATTTAGGTTTTAGTTAATTATAAATAAAGTTATAAATATTTCTAATAACTAATTATATTATATAAGTAATTTTTAGTAGTTTATTATTAAATTTAGAAGAGTTCTATATTAGTTTATTTCTTATATTAAATATCTAATTATTAATCTAGTAATTATTCTTATTTATAAATAGAGCGGAATTCTTAATTCTAATAAGCTATAATTAATTATTATAAATTAAAAGTAGAAAGAAGCCTTAATATTAGTTACTAAATAGTTCTCCTAATAGAAATCTATAATATTTCTAAATATTTATTTATTTAAATATTTATTTTATTATTTCTTCTTATATTAATCTTTTTCTTATATAAAATTAACTAGTAATTACCTCTAGTTTATTAACTTTCTTAGTAAGTTAGTTAATATATAAATAGAATTTCTAGTAGTATTTTACTTATTTATTAGTTATAAGATAATATTTATTAATAAGGTTATCTCATATAAGTAATCTTTACTAGGCCTTATCTATTTTCGAAATATTTATACTAATTTTAAGTTCTAAATTAACTAGCTATTTCTTAATATTTTCTTCCGAAATAGTATTATAATAGCTTTTCTAGTAATATAAGTTTATAATATTAAAGTTTGGCTTTTTTATTTTATTATACTAGGACCTCTTATCTAATATACCTATAATAATAATACTTGGTTCCAGGCTATTTATAATAGCTTTAGAAAGAGTATTAGCTATAGAAATAAGTACTAAGTAAGTTCTTCTTATTTAATATTAGTAAACTATAACTAATTATTATCTTATCTAGTTTTAAATTAGTAGACTAAAACCGACTATTATCTTTTCTTATTTTAAATTAGTAAATTACTATTAATTTTTTCTATATTAGAAAAAGAAAGCCGGTTCTTTTATTCTTATTAGTATTAAGGAAATATTATTTACTCTAGTTAAGAGTTAGGCTTTAAGATTAACCGGATTATAAAGAATAATATCTTTCTTCTTTTATATTAGTAAAGAACTAATTACTAAGAGAGAAATATTATTTATTTTAGTTAAGAGTCAGGCTTCGAGATTAACTAAGTTATAAAGAATATTATATTTCTAGTTAAGCTCTCTAGTTCTTTATAGTTTAAGGAGGTTATTAAATATTAAAAGCAGTATTCTATTTTTACTTTCCAAAAATAAATACAAATTCTTTACTAGTAGTATTATATTACCTTTATAGGCCGAGTTAAGTAAGCTTAGTATTATATAATAGCGGGATTAATATAATAATTAAAGGCTTAAAATTTAAAGAATCTTATATATTAGAAAATACTAAGCTATAGAATAAAATAAGAAGAATACCTTAATCTTTAGTATTATTTTATTTAAGTAATTTCGGCTTAGCTTTATTTTATACCTGTTTCCGATATCCTGTTCTTAGTAGATTATATCCTTATACTAGTTATTATAATTAAGTTCTCTAAAAATCTTAAATTGGGTTTTTTTTATATAAGTATAAGCTAGTATATTATAACTCTTATATTATAATTATATATATCCTAACTTATAATAAAGATCCTTAAAATAGTATTTTAATATAAGAGGGTTTATATACTAATTTATTAAGTTCTAGTTTCTGAACCCTATAATGCCATAGGCTTATAGGGCTCTTGTATCTGGTTTTAGGGACTTATTTACTAAATTTCTAAGCTTTCTTAAGCTTGCCTTTAAGCTTTAAAATAAGTAGTTTTTAAACTTCTTTAATTTAAAGAACTTTTACTAATCCAAATTTTATAAAAAGTTGATATTTAAATAGCCTTTAACTAATACTATAAGCGAATGAAACAGTTATTAGATTGTATTAATTCCTTATAAAATTAAATTGAATTAAAGAAAAAGCTAGGGTTTTGGTGTTTTTGTTTGAGCGCCTCTACTTTGGGTTAGTGGCTGGTCTGCTCCCAATCGACACCCCTAATCGACACCCGGGGCGGGGTCGTTTTAGTTTTTCCCCTCATTGAGGACAACGTTGACTCAGCAACAACGCCACATTAACTGTGGCTCGTCGCGGCGGTAAAGTGTTCAACCTCCACAACGATTTCGATTCCAACTGTGGTAGCCCATTGCTCTCTTTCCCCCCCTTTTTCGACTAGGAAAATAACTGTCACAAGGCTGCTGCCAGGGCGGGTCAACACCCTCCCTGCTAGCGTGATCGAGATGTTTATCTGGGGTTCCTATCTCATTGTTCAGTTGCCGAATCTCGACGACTACAGCCAGTCAAAGTCCAAACTCCCCCCCCCCCAGTGGGTCTGAGCCTTGCGGCAAGTCTGTGTAATGTGATCTAAGTGAGCATTGCTCCATTGTCATGCCACGCAGCCCCAAACCAATTTCCAAACCCTTCCCAAAATCTCCTCCACCACAAGTATCAGATAGCCAAGACGCACATCAGAAGACGTGCAATGGAGACCAAAAGATTAGGTAAGAGACCAAGCATGATCCTCTATCCGAACATGCGAGTTCGTTCCTTCTTGACTGTGTCATCGGTGATGCGCTTCAAGGCCTCGGAACTGGTGCTGATCGCAGTATTTCTCTCGAACGCCTCCTGCTTCTCTCTGTCGATGTTCCCAGAAGAGAAGATAGGAAGCCATAAATTCATGCTGTGTTTAAATTTGCTTTCGGTGACTTTGTCGGTTTCGGTACTGTCGTGGGAGTACTTGGTGAGGAAACCACAAGCTATCAAAGTGCCTCGATAATTGACAAGTGCGAGGGCCTTCGGACAAACCGAGAGGTCGTAGATCCCTCTAGTCTGGTATGCATAATAGAAATCGGCTTGTTCGGTGGTTTTCTTCAAGATCTTGAGATCGAACAAAGCTTTGTCTGCTTCGTAGTTGCCTCGGTGAACAGCTTCGTTCTTCGACCAGATGGCATTGAGATCGATAGGTGAATTAGTGGTCACATACTCGCCGCTGGACCAGACTCGCTTGATGGATTGAAGAAAGCCGCAGCGGACTTTGACGCCAATATCAAACAGAGGCTGCTTCATCTTCAATTCCTTCTGGAGGGTACTGATCTTCAGGTTGGCGGTTGCAAGCTCGGTTGTCTTTGCCTCCAGCTTTGACTCGGCTTCTTCTCTGCCCGCCCTAGCCTTTTCGGTATCAGCTCTCAAGCCTTCAATTTGCAGGTTGAGGATTCTAGATTCTTCGGACCGAATAATCTCGCTAGATGCCTTGCACACTTGGTTTTGTGACTCCAAATCTAAGATCTTCGACTTGAGTTCCTCAATCTCTGAATAAGCAACGCCAATCTCTTTTTGAAGTTCGTTTGTACCAGATGAGCTACCATTCGAAGAAGAGGCTGCAGATTGTTTGGGGTCGGCATAAACAGGGGTGTTGTCGTCACTTTCTGTCTCTTCAGCGCCTTCTCCGTCGATAATACGGTTGAGGCTTCTTTGCAGGTTGGCAGAGCAGCCCTGAGACAGATTAGCTACCAATAAGCACGTATATGGTGATATCGACACTTACCCAGATATTGCCGGCAATGGATCTCTGCTCTTCGCAGAACCCCAGGAATTTAGTAGCACTCATCTTCTCGACTTGTGCGATGATCTTGGAGTTCCATTTATCTTTCGCCTTAACTGGGCGGGCCTCGCCATCTGAGTCAGCTCCACTCTCTGATTCAACTTCGCTTCCCAAGAACTCCAATTCAAGTTCCTTTCGATGATCGCGCGCTTGGAAGTTTGACAATTAGACCCGATACCAAGGTTGACATTGAAACAAACCTTCTGTTCGGCCAAAATAGCTTCACCATGTTGCTTCTCTGCGAAGTCAAGATACGAGGTGATCTCGCCATGGCTCTTTTCAAGTCCCAGGTCCTTCAGCTTTGCGAGCAAGACAAAGAGCTCACTTTGGAAAGGTTCCAGTTGAGAAACTAGTTCGTGCTGCTCCATGAGAAGAGCACTTAGTTGATCTGCTGCATTAGCCATAGTGCTAATCTATCATGAAATTCGGGTGCAAGGAAACGTTTCGTCGGGACGAACTGCTTTGAGATGTTAGGAGGTTTCCGATCCCGATGGAAGAAGTCGTTGTGCATTAAATAGAGGTTGGGAAATTTTATGCCGTGTATTTTCCAAGTTTCCAGTGAAAAGATTTAATGCGTTCTATTGAATTTTACCCCGACCTAGTAAGGGACACTTTTCACCTTTTCAGGCGAAACTGCGCACCAGGCCCTTCTAATTATATGCCATCTTGCACTCAGCAACTAATTATCAAATAGAGAAGAGGAAGACTTCCACTGCGTCACATCAAAACAATATTGTTGCATGGCACGTGGGCCCCTCGCGTGCTCTCTGCTTGCCTATATCACGTGTTCAGGGGCTTAGATGTTTCACCCCTATATCCCAACTTATGCTCCTCAGAGAGCGTATTTTGCACTGCGACAGATATTCTAAAGCAAGAGGCTTACAAGAGACCTTGATTGCTTCTTTTATGCTCTTTGAAACCCCAAGTCTGATTTTCTGCAACTCCTTTGAAGCACCATCTTCCACACTCCTTTCGGATTCTCTGAGCTCCACAACATTCTATTATCCGATCTTTGCATCCTCTCGACTACGCAAAGCCAGCTATCTTATCCGATATATCTCCGCGATGCATTAAGCAATAATCATTCTCTTTTGAATCGTAGACCTGCACACTTGCTTCCCGCCAGACCTTCTTGACCACCATTTCCACCAAAGCCTTCAGCTCGTCCACTTTCTCTGCCACGTCAGGATTTTCCTCAAATTTTGTCGGATTTCGTTCACTCATCTCGCCGGCAGCGCTTGTATAGCGCGTCAAATCCAGATCCAGGCGGCCAACCTTTTGGATTTCGCGCCACAGGTCCCTGATCCGGCTCAACAGTTCTATGACCCCGAACTTATCTTGCGGGTTGCATATCAAACGAAGATTGGAGCTTGCCCTTAAGGTCGCTATAATGTTCCATTTCTCGATTGTTGTACGATATCCGAAAGGAAACCTTTTCAGGTCATGGCGATGGTGATAAACAGTCTCGAATCTGTTTGCATCTTGTTTGGGAGTGAGATATCCACCCTTGAATAACGCCATATCTGCTTCAATGTTGCCGTCATGTGCTGCTCGATTTCCCGCATCTAAGACCGGAACGCCTGCTGGGTAATCGCCGTCTGAGAATTCCGAAGCCCATGTGCAAGCATTCTGCGCGGCCCTCTGCAAGAATCTCTTTCGAATAACACCGATCTTGGTCAATGGTTTCTGGAGAGCAGGAAGTTTGTCTTTTGATGCACAGAGTTCTGTAGCTTCGTCCAGCTCCTTGATAAGAGACACTTTATCTTCATTCAACGCTCGATAGTCGGCCTTGAGTGGTAAGTATGCAGCTTCCAGTATTCTGATTTTAGTCATGCTCTCAGCAAGTTTCTCGAGCAGATCGCTGGCTGCATTCTCGGCAATGTCTGCGACTGCTGTCATTATTATTAACGCTGTTCTTCAAAGCGCGGGGCATTATTCGAGAGCCTTTGACTCAATGCCAAGCAGTCGAAACCCTTTTTTCGCTTCTTCCTTCTTCGTCCAGACTCGCGGATCCTCAACAGACTCAGTGCCTTCCTGAAAAACTTGCTTGCCCGCCTCCACCATCCTGGGACAGAGGGAGATTATTTCCGTATCCAGGGTCAGAAAAACTTCGACGTATGGATGTGGATCGAAGAACGCAAATGTCTTGCCCTTGGTCGTGCTTGTGTTGGTACACAACTCTCCACTCAGATTCCCAAGCTGGACTTGAGACTTGCTTTCGTCGAAACGCTCCTTTATGGCGCCTTGAACCTTGCTCCGCATCACTCTCTGTTGGGGCATCGACGACGGTTGCCGGCAATATTCCAGAGTGCCTTAGACAATGGCGGTCGTTCAACTCTTCGCTGAGTATCACATGCCGACGACAAGGTTGCCCCGAAGTCAACCTCCAGAGGCCCTCCTGGGGATGCTCAAGGTTGGCGGGGTATTCCTAGTGGGGGTGAGTAAGGATGGGTTTGTCAGATTGAGACGTTTGTGCGCTTTCAAGTTTATTGTTGTGCAATGATCTCGTGGAACTCAAAATTGAGAATTCGTAGGCGTGGGATTTGGTCCATTCAAATGCTGCTTGAACAGCGTGGTGGTGGAGGTCGTTGAATGTGGAGGGGCAGGCACCGAGAGAGTACGGCTGATGCGAGGTTTGTTGATGAGACCTGGCCTGAGGTCGATTTTGAAGACATAGTTGGCAATTGAAGTGTCAGACATCCCGAGAGATGGTAGAGGCGTGAAAAGACGATTTCTGTGGGGGGTGAGTGAGGAACGGGAAAAGGGAGAGGACTTATGTCGGAGGACACGTGGGGATAAATAGAACTCAGTCCGGTCGACACACGCTAGGACAGCAATGCCATCGGAAAAGTGGCCTCGGTGACGAGATAGGGTCACAGCAGAATCTGATGAAATGGAAGAAAAAAGCGTGGCTTGGTGGCAGGGTGAGGCATGAGAGGATTGAATTTCGACGCCTCGTCCAGTCCAGAGGCTCGTTTCCTTCCTTCCCACGAACGGCCACAGTCCAGACATCACGCATCTCTTCCATCGGCGAATGTATGTCATGATTCTCCCGGTCGTATTGGGACGAGGTGCGAGATTGAGAGGGTTCATTGATGCTAGTCGACTCATCTCCCACGCTTCCCTCTCCCCCTACCGCCACCCCTCCCACCCCTTCCAGCAGTACCCCTCTGTGGCCCCTCAATATCTGAAATATCCTTCTTGCTCAACTTCAACGTCCCTCCAGAAAACTTTCCAACACCCGGAGCTCCAACGCCTCGATCTCTCATTCCCTCACTAGTCTTCTTCATCTTGGCCTTCTCCAGAATAATTCCATTCTCTCTTGCCTCTCTCCGTCTCCTATCCTCCTTCTCGCTATTTTTCGTGATGATACCTTTCCGGTGTGACATTGGCATTTTCTCCTGCTTTAGAATCGATGTCTTTGACCCCAACGCTTGTAACCGTAAATCTGTAGCTTTGTGACGATTATTGCCGCTTAATGTAGGGCTTCTCGCCGAATCGAGGAGATGTGATTCGGCAAGGAGTCGTTGGAGTGCTAGATCTTTCTTGAGATTTGCAGCTTCGGAGGGGTCGTCTTCGATTGATGCTCCTGCTTTGTCGCGTAGAACGGAGACTAATGGAGCGGATTTGGGGAGTTTCGAGCTCTAAACTTTGGTTAGAAATTTTTAGATCAGCGGAGAATAGAAATACCATGAACGATTTCAGCTCCTCCTTTGACATTGCTGCGGCTCGTGCCTGTGCCTCTGTGTGCTCCACCACCTGCACAGCGTTCTCTTCGTCGTCCGAGATTCCTTCCCAGTCTGAGTCTTCCTCCGATTCGTCTGCTGATTCTTCAGCGACTGGTTTCAAAGATTTCTGGGCTGCTGGGAGAGGCTTGAATTGCGCTTCGAAATGTCGCCGAAATATTTCCTGTACATCCAGTCCGGAGGCATCTGACTCCCCACTCTCGTCTCTATCCCCCTTCGAGATTTCAATCGTCCGCCTTTTTCGCTTCCCTAACATCGAGGCCATATTTGGGTGGTGTTGGAAGGACAAGTTTCTGATGTTGCTCTACCAGTGCGGTGAAAAGAGAGAGACACGGCAGAATCTGAAGGCGGTGTGCAAAAACTTTAAAAGACGAAAAACTTAAAAAGACGTCAATCACCTTTAGAAGGTGCAGATATGCAACAAAACGGCAGAATGTTGCTCACCGCCTTGTAGAAACCACTTCAACATCCAACCACCTCCAAAAACTCTACCTCAATCTTCACAGTATGACCAAATTCCGACCATGCATAGACCTGCACTCTGGCCAGGTGAAGCAGATTGTTGGGGGCACATTGACCACAGCTTCTGCTGACTTGAAAACGAACTATGTCTCGACTCTTCCAGCTGGCGAGTTCGCGAAGCTCTATAAGGACAATGGACTGGAGGGGGCGCATGTTATAATGCTAGGGCCTGGGAACGAAGAGGCTGCCCGCGAAGCATTGGCAGCATGGCCAGGAGGTCTGCAGGTGGGCGGAGGAATCACAGACCAGAATGCGAAGCAGTGGATTGAATGGGGTGCCGAAAGGGTAAGTCGGGAGATTGGATCCTGCTGGATTGATGCTAATTGAAGTAGTAGGTTATCATAACTTCTTTTCTCTTCCCTTCCGGCAAGTTCTCGCAAGAGTGTCTCGACTCTGTACTCGCAGCCCTCGATGGAGACAAGGAGAAGCTTGTCATTGATCTTAGTTGCCGGAGGAGGGATGATACTTGGTTTGTGGCTATGAATAAATGGCAGACGATTACGGATATGGAAGTCAACGAAGGTTTGCATTCCTTCTTCTGATGGTATAGCTTATGCTAACACATTTTACAAGGATCCATCAAATCCCTCGAACCATACTGCTCCGAATTCCTGATTCACGCAGCAGATAACGAGGGTCTGCAGAAAGGTATTGATGAGAAGCTGGTGAAGAAATTGGCGCAGTGGTGCAGCATACCAGTTACATACGCTGGTGGTGGAAGAAATCTCCAGGATCTAGACCATGTCAAGAACCTTAGCAATGGCCGTGTCGATCTCACAATTGGCAGTGCGTTGGATGTCTTTGGTGGATCCGGTGTGAAATTTGCGGAATGTGTTATATGGAATCGACAACAATCAATATGATCCTCATTCTTCGAATAAAACAGTTCTACTTTCCTCTTGTCCTGGTCTTCTTTCCTCATTCATACGTACCATGCAGGTGCTTTTCGTGGAGGGAGTTTAGGAGTGTTACCGGGCACTATATTTGCGCGCTTACACCCAGATACTCGCAGGCATTGCCACACCCGGTTTGGGCATATCCTAACTAACAACATTGCCCTCAAGCCCCACGAAAACCGGTTCCTTCACCTACACTCTGACGACCCCTGTCGCCACTGCCGTGAATGAGGAAGTAGACTGCTACATTGCGAACTGGTATTTGTTGCTCCGACAGAATCGAGTGTGCAGTCGGGAAGTCTTGCATTCAATGACATGGTCGTGAGGGGAGCAATTACTGCTGCGGGGCATGGTTATTCAGAGGCTTGCTTTTAGCAGGGTATGAGGGGAAGTGATTGGCGATGCTATTTATGGCACCGTGAATTGTTAAAGTTGTCTCAGACTTCGAGGGATTCGCCGCAGTGCTTCAGGTAGTATTTATTTCAGGCTCGCGAGAGAACAATTTCACAACACTTTAAAAAAACTGAAGTAATGGATCATATTAATATTAAGACTATAGAACTCAATCAATGCTTTAATAAACTATGGAAACGGCCAGGGAAGTTGTCGTTCTTGCTAAAGTTTCAAACTTGTGAGGGGTTGGAACCGATTAAACTTCACTTCTGTTGAATAACAAGAAGAAGGAGAAAGAAGATAATCAATTCTACTGCTACAAAGCTACCTAATATAGCAGTAGCGCCACACCACAGCGCTACCACGTGACGCACGTGCCATCACAGCTTCCACGCTACAGGAGATAAAATTCATGATCATTAATGCAGATCACTCTTCGTAATGAGTATCTTGCTGAGAGAGAAGCTCACGATTGTGAAGATTGAAGTGAGCTATGTTTATAAATTCTGATAAGATCCGAGGCTGATGCCATGGCGTCAAGAAAAAGCCAGACTCGCTCGCGAAGCGAGTAAACAAAGCTGACGTGAAATACATTTCCTTCGGCTTTACACAGCAGTTACACAACAAGCTTCCTATTGGATCGATAAATACGATGGAATCTACATTGGATAGAGATGTCTTACTCAAACAGCATTCTCTTGCAGAAGTAGAGCTGCTTCACGATCCCCTCGAGGCAGGTGAGCCTCTTCCAGAATTAGGAATCTCGAGCTCGCAATATGCAGAGTCAATCCAATCCGAACCACCGAAAGAGACAAGTAAAGACTTGGCTATTACCCCTTCGACCGTTCCAACAAATCTGAAAGCAATGCTTCCTTCTCTGCCGACAACAGACAAAAACAGAGCCACGTCTGATTATGGCGGAACACCCTTAGCTTCTTCTATCGATACTTCAACTCTCTCAACCCAAGGAGATGCTCTCAACCCAGACTCGGCCCTCTCCATACCATCCACTGCGCCGCAGCTTGGGTTCCCTCTGAACGAAGTTTTGAGGAACATACCCGAGCCAAAACTCACGAAAGCGGAAAAGAAGAAAATTAAGTCTATTCAAGATCGCTGCAAATCTCTAGAGCAGAAACTTGAAAAGAAGGAGCGGGATCTGAAAGCAACCCAGCACGAGCGGAACAAGGCACGGAAGGAGACGAAAGAAGCAGAAGCCAAGCTTGCGGAAACTTACGTCCAACATGCAAAAGTCACGAAGGAGACAAAAGCGGCTCTTGAAACGGAGTTCCACGGGAGATACGAGAAACTCAGCCAGAGCAAAGGCACAAATGAGGAGCTGGAAAGAGTCAAGCTTAATATGGAGAAGCTTCAGGAGATCATGGGTCAGCGTAAGGACAAGAACGGGGGCTTGAGACTTACGGTACATACCTTGAAGGAGGAGCACCAAGTTCGAGAGAGAGAGTTAGACGAGGAAGTGGAAAGGTTGAGATCAAAACTTGCCAAGGCAATAGAGAGGATTGAGACTGAGCTCTTGCCAGAGATTAAGAGATTGGAGGGAAAGGATGGTGAATGCGAGAAGCTACGGAGAAAGCTAGAGAATAAGCCAAGAATAACTCAAGACAAGAACATCGGCCCGCATCACGACCACAATCAGTTGATGGAGAAGATTAAGGCACTCGAAAGGGATCTAAAAAATTCGAAGCTGGAGAAAGAAAGTATGAAGCCGCTGCTTGACGTCGGGATTGCTGTCCGCCTTCGTTTCTTGGAGCAAGCCAAAAACACTTATCTGAACGAACAGAGAGGAGGTCTCAACCAGATAACCATCAGGGAAGGCAATCAAGCAGCGCACAGCGCTAATGGGACTGCCGATGCTGCTCTTTTCACCATGGGAGTTCTCAAGAACGAGAATGCATTGGCACCTGCCTTCGAGCGGGTTTACGCGAACAGAACACCAACTAGGTATCTGCAATTGCCTGAGCTGCTGAGACGGGCTTGGGATTGTTTTGCAACATTGAGCCCAGTGTGGGCTCCGATAAGCTCGATAAGCGACGATTAGATAATCGCACTAATTTTTCGATAATCGATAATCGACCATTGATTACGATAATTATCGAACTAAGGCCTTGGCAATACTACAGGGCCACTACAGGGCCAATGCGCTATATTTATAGGCCTCATACCGCCTTTTCTTTACTATAGCAGAATTCCGATTTAGTAAAGGCGGTATAAGGCCTATAAATATAGCGCATTAGCCCTGTAGTAGCCCTGTAGTACTACCAAGGCCCTGGACCCACTATTATTAATAGATTTAGTACTGTAAAGGCGGTCTAAGGCCTGTAAATATAGCGTATTGGCCCTGTAGTGGCCCTGTAGTATTGCCAAGGCCCTGGGACCCACTATTATTAATGGAATTATCAATGGGCTCGCTCAATGGCTGGCGGGCCCACTTTTATCGATGGAATTATCGATGGGCTCGCTCAATGGCTGGCGGGCCCACTTTTATCGATGGAATTATCGATGGGCTCGCTTAATGGCTGGCTGGGCCCACTTTTATCAATGGAATTATTGATAAAAGCGGGCCCAGCCATTAAGCGAGCCCCATTACATTAATAGTATTAGCAATAATTATATTATCTATATTATATAATAGACTATTAAATAGAAATATAATAGTATAGTAATAATAGTCTACTTTTATACTAATCTTAATACTAATCGGTTTATAATTGAACTAGAAAGCGAGATGTTCATGTAATGGGGCTCGCTGGCTGGCTGGGCCCACTTTTATCGATGGCATTATCGAGGCGATGGGGCTCGCTTAAGGGCTGGCTGGGCCCACTTTTATCGATGATTATCGAGGTAATGGGGCTCGCTTAAGGGCTGGCTGGGCCCACTTTTATCAATGGAATTATCGATAACTGGATTAAATACTAGCTAGTCTACGTTATATAATAGACTATTAAATAAAATATTAAAAAGTCTAATAGTATAGTAATAATAGTATACTTTTATACTAATCTTAATACTAATCGGTTTATAATTGAACTAGAAAGCCGTAATGGGGCTCGTTTAATGGCTGGGCCCACTTTTATTAACGATAATTATCGATATTGATCGTTTATCGATCGCTTAGCCGATAACGATTACTAATCAATAATTTCGATCGATAATTTATCGGAGCCCACACTGATTGAGCCTTTTCAAGGGGGTTAGAAGTGGCAAGGGGTCTAAACTTTTTCGGAAAGAACACTCCAGTCTTTCTAACGATATCTTTAGGAAATGGGATCGTCGGAGAGCTTCAGACTACCCTGGAAAGTTTGAGCGAGATATTAGGAATTGGTATCTATTGGACCGGCTCGAGTGGTTAACTGTTGAGATCGTGGAATTTGATCGGCTGAAGAGTGGAGGCAGATTGACGCCTTTAGTGAGTTCTCAATCTATTTTGGCTATCTATAAAGCAGAAGCAACTAATCTGAGTCCAGTCTGAAGCTTTTCGTAGGCAAGGCCGAAACGATGCCGAGGATAATTTTGATGGTTGTGATGACTTTGGCTGGATTGCATTGGCTGATTCCGACCTTGACTTGAGCGATGTCGAGTCGGAAGTATATTCAATGTACAAGTTGGATTTAGTTTAAGTAATTTGGTTAGAGGAGTGTGAACAGCATCGGGGTTTGGATAGGGGGAAGATCAAGCTAAGCGATGAATGTCTCGCATCACCCCTGCAAAGACACAGGGATGTATCCCACTCTCAGATAGCACAATGAGTTTCATTTTTGACGACATCTTCCCGCACCTTGCTTTCCACATGGTCTGACAACACCACAAAACGGGGATGTCTGCGAGGTGATCCGAATAAGCTCGAATAAAGTATGGAAGGTCAAGACCTACACCCGTCTGAGGCCCCTGACGAGGATGATGGCATAAGTGGGGTGGTTCCTACAGCTAGCGTTGCCAACTCTGGCCCCGAAGTGGACGTGAGGCTGGCTAAAAGTGACCAAAAGAGTTCCGCTGACATACAGGCAGAGCAACGATAACGACTCCGCAATTGACATGTTCAGCCGCCCGTGAATATTCTCCACTCGCACTATATGGATGAGATAGCTGAGAAGGACAAAGAAGCAGCACACAGTCCGTTCGTGCGAGTATCTACGACTTCGTCGAGGAACATGGGCGAACCTATCATAATTTCCACTCTGGGAGTGAGCCGTTCCTTGGTCGTGGTGCCGAGGAAATACTGACTACTGATAGAGTATTTGATCCCAAATGATGCGGTCAGAATATCTACTACGTTGAGCCTCAGGGGTGAGAACAAGGGCTAATATTTCCATTTCCAGCTGGAAAAAGACAGATTAGAACTCCAAAACCACATCTGGAAGTTGACTCTAGATGGAAAACTCCACTTCACTCCTTTCTCGACCCCACCCCAGAGGGTTCTTGATGTGGGTTGCGGTACTGGCACTTGGGCTATTGAATTTGCCCTCCAATACCCTTCGGCACATGTAACCGGCACGGATCTCAGCCCCATTCAACCAAATTAGTGGGAAAACTTCCATTCTTCTTACTCATTATTCTACCACTGACTAGCTCCTCGAACTGATCTGTCCAGCGTCCCCGCAAATTGCGTTTTCGAGATCGACGATGCAGAAGAAGAGTGGCTCTTCACGGAGCCATTCGACTACATCCACGGCCGCACCCTCATGAACTGCTTCAAAGATATCTCCACCGTCTTCGCCAGTGTGTTCAAAGCACTTGCACCTGGTGGCCATTTTGAAATGCAAGACGGCTGCATGCCATTCCGCAGCGCAGACGGAACACTCGACAACACCACACTCCTTGACTGGTGTCACAAAACTCTCGAAGGCTCAGCAAGAGTGGGACGCAGATGGGTTGATCCCAGGAACTACAAGGTGATCATGGAGGCAGTCGGCTTTGTGGATGTCGTTGAGACAAGATTGAAATGGCCACTCAATACATGGCCCAGAGATAAGAAATTGAAGGAGCTGGGGATGTGGGTCAGGGAAGATATGATGGAGATCTTGTCAGCTGTGAAAAAGGTTTTCATTGCGGGACTTGGGTGGAGTGTTGATGATGCTGATGCATTTGTTGAGAGGGCGAAAGCGGACCTCATGAACAGGAATATTCATGGCTGGATAGATATGTAAGTCATTCTCATATGCTGAACTGGAACCGGCTAACAGGCAAGTGTGGTCGTCTATGGCCGGAAACCGGAGGCGCTGTGAGGATTGAAAAAGGAAAATGAGCTCACCCCGTATAGTTGCGTAAATGAACATCGAGGTTTAAGCGTGATTTGGGGAAAGTGTGGCTAGGATAAAAAAGAAGGATTGAAGCGGATTTAATGGCGAATGTCCCAGAACGCTTAGAATAATGAAGCGATAGGCTTGAATGTTCCAACAAGTCACCGAAACAGTTCCCTCTCGATTTCCCGAGCTGTCTGCTCTTCGACGGGGTTGGTGGTTGCGACTGGCTATCTTAAAATTCATGACTTATAGAATGTAAATGATCACTGGGGCAAGGCAAAAACATATTTAAGGAGAATATGACTGTAAATGAGAGGCAATGATTAATTATTTGTGTAATGTAAAGATGAGTATTTAAGATATTTGATGAGAGATGTCCGTTTTAGGAAAGAGGGGCGAAACCCCACTTCGTGACTAAGCAGCTGACCTCGACCTGGTGGACCTCACCTCATCGAAAATCTCTTCACCTCGTCTCTTCCGTTACAATCGACGACCATTTAGATAATCGTATATTCTGGATCTTGTCGAGTAAATAAACAAAGTCTAGATGACTATTTCACCAACATGAGATGCCACGATGCGGACGGGGCGAAGGTGTCAAACAAAAGTGCCGACCTGCTCCACGAGAATTCAAAAACCCAGCGCGAAGCCTTGATTTTGCATGATATCTGCTATCAATTAGTTGACGCTGCATTGTTTTGTTTGCTCTCCTATTTTTTGATTCGAAATTTTTCATTTGCTGCCAAGCATGAGTCCAAGGCCTCGTCTCGATCCCCGCAGTTTTTCTTGGTATATGTTGCATGCTGCGTTCTGTGGATTGCGATTGTTGATCCGATTTGGCATTCCCAATTTTGTTGTATTGTTGCTCGTATCGACGGTTTGTCAGCACTCTTAGCCCAATGCTTTCGTAGGTGGCAACCAAGAGTGGGCTTGGGGGTGCGGCCTCTGACATCTTCTTTGCATACTCCAAGATGCGAGGCAGGAGGCAACTGTAGTAAACCTTCTTGGATGTCGTTTTGGGGTAAGTGAGTCGTTCTTGCTCGAGAACTCGCCACCCAGCTCTTGCGCAGACCTCAGCCAACTGTTCGAGCGCCTCTGGCTGCTGCTTGTAGCTCGCTGCCTCCTGGTACCCCTCTTCCTTCTCGGCCTTTCTTCTTGACTCGGAGATACCTTTGTATCTGTCGAGCGACGTGATGTTGTTCCTGTTTCTGTTGTTCCTCTTGTTGTGGTCGTCGTCGTCGTCAGTGTTCTTTCCTTTTCCTTCTACAAATCGCCTCCGAATTCCCCAAAACGTGTGAAGCAATTGGTTAGAAGAATCCTCCTGGGGAACCAAGCGAGGAAGGAGGCGAGTCGTTGAAACGCGGCGGGGCTACTCAACAATTGGGAATCTGTGCCTCGGTGTAGGGGAGTGATGCATATCTCAGTGAAGTAAAAGAGATACGAGGGTAAATGTTGATATCGCCTAAATATAAAGTGCTTTGGTATCAATGAAGTTCTTGCTGCGCGATTTATATAAACCAAAGGCTGTTTGCTACTCTCAGCTTTGTTATTTGCCAGATCTAATCATTGAGTGCCATGAACCCCCGCCATGGCCACTTGATTGTACCAATCATGCTGTAATTGTCAGACAAACTTTCTTCAGATTGTGATTGCATGCACGATTCGGTAACAAGTCGAATTTGTGATTGCGAGGGCACTGCAATCTTCAACTCTTGAGTGCAATTTTGCGAGGCCTCGCCTTGTGAGGGTTGAGAGGCTCTGCCTCTAGAGGTTACAATGACCAAAACAACATCTCGTTTGGTGGCAGACGGCTTGAAGACCGCGCGATGTGTGGATCTCGCAATGTACGAAGATCACGGCATAAAGTGACGGGATTACAGGGCATTTGGACCCTTGGCACCCCTCAGGACACAATTTAGTGGCTTGAGCCCGCTGTAAGGCCCTATGGCTCCAGGCCATATGCCCTAAGCAGATCTCAAGAGGCGCTATGAGACATTCGCAAGGTATGAGATGTCCTTAGGGGTAAATAGCGCTGCTGGCAGAGCAACTATAGCGCTTGGACGCGAAATAGGTAGTTACTATAGGGCTCTTTAGCGAGGCATTCCTTGTAAGTACAGGGGAGGAGCCCTAAAAAGGTGTGGTACCCCTAGCTCCCGCTTTCTAGCGTGCTTTTGGGGCAATAGCCTAGAATTGTAGGGTAATTTAGTGACCGAGTGCGCTAAAAAAAAAAAAAAAAAGACACTGAAGTGCTGTAAAGCACAAATGCCCTGTAATCCCGTCACTTTATGCCGTGATCTTCGTATGTAGGGTTTTCCACTGGCGGGAGTTTCCAGATTCGCAGGGAAACAATCAGTCAGATTAAGGTTACGCTCTCCGATAAGGCCAATCTCGGTAGAAGAGTATCTCCCACAAAGAAAGCAAAGGGTTTTCTTATGGTCTGCTGGTTCTTTGATTTCAGCCATAATGACGAGGTAAGCGTGTCGAATCGGGCCATGGTAGCGTTCTACGATTCCGACGGAATTGTGAGCTTCTACGGGGACGATTTTGACCTTGGTTCCCATGGTATTCGCAAGCTGAGCGAACTCCTTGCTAGTAAACTGCTTTCCGGCGTCCGCTGCGATCTGATCGGGAGGGCCTAAATAAGTGTCGATCCAACACTGCTTTAGGGCGTCCCAAGTGTGTAATGCACTGACGCTTTTGAAGCTTTACTGGCGGAAACGGACGAAGGAGAAGAACACCACTCAGATTCCTACTTAGCTTGGCCGATATGGATAAGCTAGGGGTCTACTTCAATAATCTCACTAATCATCTCGTCACTTCCACCGGACGCTACGTACCTGTGGTACGACGTTTTGGACACTCTTTCCTGCTTTGGAACACTGCACTGCAAAGCTTCATTTCCGAATCCTTCACTTGTAACCCCTGCTTTCTCCCAGAGGTCGAATTACGACGTCTACACCGCCGTTTTGGTCATCCATCCATTGGTAAGCTCCGAAACGTACTAGAACGAGCAGGCCACGACGTCGATATGGAAGCCCTTGAGTACCTTACGAAGTACTGCGAGCAATGCCAGAAATTCGGACGATCACCGGGACGATTCAAGTTCAACCTGAGAGACGACGTCAGCTTCAACTACTCCATTATCGTCGATATTTTCTACATTTCCGGTAAGCCTGTACTCCACGTTGTTGACGGAGGCACTCGATATCAAGCCGGCCGATGGCTTCAAAATATCAGTGCATTACACACTTGGGACGCCCTAAATCACTTTTTGGCGTGGTGACGGAGCCGAGTCGTGCCTTCCTCCGAGACGAGGCCGACACGCACAACTCCAAACAAAACTCCCGAACCGATCTCTCCATCAACAACCACAACCACAACCATGACAACGACGAAAGCAACCGCGACAATCGATCAAGGACGCCATCCCACAAGGCATCTGATATTTCTATTTCGAAAGAATACCATTGCAAACAACCTCGCTCCGCGATCCAACGCGAATCCTTCCTTCCACTTTCGTAAATTCAAACCTCCAGACCATTGCCTCTCATGTACACACCTTCAACCCCATGCCGACAACGAGCATCATTTCGAATATGACAAATGCCACAGTACTTCTTTCGTCAAGCTTACTACTCTCAGAACACCAATCGCGAATCACATGCACTGCTATGCCCACGCTGCCCTGAGATCTTATCTCCCGCCTGAGGTCGTGGCCGAAGGCGCAGCAAGGACTCCTAATCAGGGACCTTATCTTCCGCTTGAGGTCATGGCCGAAGGCGCAGCAAGGACTCCTAATCAGAGACCTTATCTTCCGCCGAGGTCGTGGCCGAAGGCGCAGGAAGAACTCCTGATCTTACACGGTTCATCATTGCAAAGCAGAGGAGAATTGAAGAATCCTCTATCGGTTTCAATTCGCCAAAACAGGAAGGCGCCGCCCAAGGGTGGCGGGTTGAAGGTATGTCTAATTGCATAAGAAGATGAATTCAATCTAATTGCAAGCAAGACACTTCTCGTCAGGTTCCGACATGACGCAGCCAGAAGTACGGCCGGACAACGAGTTCGAAAAAATCACCGATGGGATGTCATGCCTCTTCCTTGCTGCTCATTCGTTCCTTGATCCGATCGAGACCTTGTTGTAACTCGCCTTTGTGCTTGACCAATGCCTGCTCCCACTATAAACCTTCGCCTCCCTATCTCTTCCCTCGAATTCTGCGCCTTCGTCAGGTTCCGACATGACGCAACCAGAAGTACCGCCGGACAACGAGTTCGAGAAAATCACCGATGGGATGTCATACGTCTTCAATTTTGGATATTGATGAAATGATTATCGAGGAGCCAACTTCCAGCAGTTTCTACACACTCTCAGAACCAGGAAACTCGAACACTAGAAGGGTGCTTGAAGGCGGCTCGTGAGGCACCTCGAGTAAGTCTCAACCAGAACAAACAGGACAGGACGCTGCTGACCTCATCCATCAAGCTTTTGACTCGACCAAGATGATTGGGACAAGATGGATGGACGGCGGCCTGACCAAGATGATTGGGAAAAGACGGAGGTTGGCTCTGGTTCTGTTTTGATTGCTAACCTCAGGTAAGAGAGTGGGTGCATTCCTTCTCCCCATCCCTTCTAAAAGCTTCTGATGGAGCTCCCCCCCGAGTTTCTCCCCAAAAGGCTCCTGATGGAGCTTCGCCTCCCCCTCTCGAAAGCTTCTGATGTAGCTTCTCCCCGATATTCTTCCCTGAAACGCTCCCGATGGAGCTTCGACCCACTTCCCCATCATTTCAAAAAGCCTGTATTATGTGTTAAAGGAACGGATGGTGTCTGGAAGGATAGGAATTAGGCCGTCAGATCGCCATTTTCCATTTTCCGCCTGTGATCTTCTGAGATTGAAGGGAACAGCATCGGTGATTACTACAAGACATTTATGGCCAGCGAACGAGCGGGGGACTTCAATCTTGCGGACGTGAGCCGAAGCCAGAAGGATTTCAGGAGCAAGAAGGGGAAGATGTCCGATCCAGAAGATAAAAGGCACTCCTCCATGATGGGAAGGGAGGTCGATGTATCAGATTATGGGGACTTCCCTGGAAGTTGAGCCTTGTGGAACGTAGGATCGTAGTTCTAGATTACCATAATATGAACTTGATCCATACGATTTCTTCATTCGAATGCATTCGATCGAGCTTCCTTTGAATGTAATCGAGCGTTGGTTTCTGTTGCTAGCATCTGCCACAATTGTATCATGGTGCAGCCTCTGACTCTCTGCCCCCAGTTTGCCAGATCTTTGGCTTCCAATCCCTTCACTGCGGTATACACCGACTAATTTTGAGCTTCTGAGTTTTAGCAGAAAGAGTTCTCGGTCACTCTGAATCTTGGATAGCAGGCATGGGAATCGTAGTATCTTCTTCACGAGCCATGATGGGGTCTGAACAGACACGCTGCTTGCGCGGCCCTTGAGAGGTCAGGCAAACCCTCATCGTCTTCAAAACTGTGAGTGTTAGCTTGCTGAGAGTTGAATCTCTGCATCAGTAGTCGTGGTCAAGTCCTGCATGAAAGGGTTGTGGTCGAACATGTTGGCCACAAGAATTATGCCAAGACATGAGCGTAAATCATGCTTCGGGATTTGTGACACCTCCTCTTGGGGCGGCCCTGCTTGCCTGTGAGGAGGTCATTTTCGATTGCTTGACTTTGGAAAAGAGGTTTGGGATTCGTGATTTTGCCCCACGAGTAACGTTAGCGTCGGTTGGTGGCCACTTTTCTAGAGGTAGCTAGGCAGTCGGAAATCGTTCCACAAAAAAGGTTCGGGAGAAAGAGGATGTAGCATGGTGAGGTGTGCCTGCTGGTGGCGGGAGAGTAGTTGCTTAGTCATACATCATGTTTCTCCTAGAACTCTATGACGACTTCAAGTCTTCAATCTCTGCGGAACCATGACGCCAACTCCCCAAGATGAAGCTCGTTCCAACACCTTCAAAGATGGAGCATGCCCAATACCTTCAAATACCCTCGAAACACTTCAACAGGCCTGCCACGCACCATGGCCCCAAAACTGGCAATCACGGACGTCCTCGCGCTGCCCAACTCCATAGTCAAGATCCCACAGCTCGGATTCGGCGTCTATCTATCTCCAGCCGAAAAATGCGTAGCTTCATGCCTGGCAGCGTTGAAGGCTGGCTGCAGGCACATTGATTCGGCGCAGTAAGCCCTCTTCGAGCCTTCAAAGAACCATCTAACATGAGCAGATACTACGCCAACGAGAAAGAGGTGGGGGAAGCTGTACTTCAATCAGGCTTCAAACGCTCTGATGTCTTCATCACTACGAAGATCCTGACCGCTGCTGGGAGTGTGGACAAGACCTACGAGAAGTTACTCGAGAGCGTGCGCAAGATCAATGGGAAGGATGGATATGTTGATGTTTTCTTGATTCATACGGCAAGCGGGGGTTCGAAAGCCAGGAAGGAGATGTGGTTGGCGTTGGAGAGACTGTTGGGAGAAGGGAAGACGAGGGCCATTGGGACGAGCAATTGGGGGATTGGGCATATTGAGGAATTGAAGGGATTTGCGAAGGTGTGGCCGCCGCATGTTAATCAGATTGAGGTATCTTGCATCCCGTTTCCCCTTGGGAGATTGTACAGCAGCTAAAATTTTCCCATAGCTACATGCCTTTTCCCAGCAAAGAGAGATCGTGGAGTACTGCCAGGAGAACGGGATTGTGGTTGAAGCATATTGCCCTCTTGTCCGGAACCAGAAAGCTAAGGATCCAACGCTCAACGAGATTGCGAAAAAGCATGGGAAACAGACGGGCCATGTCTTGATTCGGTATTGTTTACAGAAGGGCTGGGTGCCGTTGCCGAAAAGTGACAATCCAGAGCGGATTATGGAGAATGCAAATGTTTATGACTTTGAGCTGACCAATGAGGAGATGGAGATCTTGGATGGACTGGATCAAGGACAAACGGGTTCGATAGTACAGGTTGTGATTAATTCTTTATAGGTCTTTTGTGGGTGAAATTCTCTCCGTTAAATTGTGGTGAACCCGATACGTCCCCCGGCCCCAAGCCTCTCCACGACCTGCTTCTGTCATCTACACCGCACCAATAGCGCACCAGAAAGAATCCATCAACTCTCAAACCAAGCAAACCCTTCAAAGCGATTTCAGACAATGAGCTATATCCAGCCTCTTCGACGCCTCTACCTCAACTCCCAACGCAAGCTTATCGATGAACGAAGAGCTCGTAGATCGGTCGACAGGCAGCTACACGACGTCAGAAGGCAACTCGCAGCGGCCCGAGAGAACCACAGTCAGGAGATGGGGCGAGCGAAGGCCGAGATTACGGCTCTTGAGAAGAAGCACGAGGAAGAGTTGAAGGGGTTCGAGACGTTGACACAGGTGAGTCAGCGGCTGAAGAAGGAGTTGGAAGGGAAGGAGGCTTTGTACCGGGTTGGGCTGGACGCCCGATTACGGTTTCTGGAGTATGCGAGAGAGTCAATCTCCGGCGTCAATCCCGGTAATCTCGATCAGGGGGTAATTGCGAGGCGAAATGACGCTGCGCATAGAGGACATGGAGAAGCAGACCTTGCGGCATTGAGTTGCCTCCGTGGTGTTGTACCCACTGCACTTCTGGATGCACTCTTCATCGACCTCTATCACTGCCCGACTTCTCGATACCTCAACTGGACCGAACCGAAACTTCGAGACGCTCTCAACTATCAAACCTCTATTCGCACTCTTACTATTCAGAATCACAGCTTGAACAGGCCCATTAGAGAGCGCCAATCTGCCATGGAACATTTCCAGTTCATCTGGGAAACCTATGAGAGGTTCAGAGATTCTTTTAAAAGCTTGATAATGCCACGAGGTCCGGGATTGAACGGCGACTTGTTATCTTGAAGGAGCTCACAGCTACGATTCTGATAGCAGATCGTTTAGGCAAAGGAATTGTTTAGGGGAAGAGTTGTGGTTGTGAAATTGGACAACCTTGGGAGCTCCAAGTTGTAAGGTCATGTTTCATGTATATGTGTCGTGGATGCTAACCGTGGATTTTCTGCAGCTTTCACTCTTGGGAGCTACGCAAACATCGATGACTGTGGGCTTACATATTTGTCAATTCGGCACCCTCTAACATTGGATTGGGTCTTGTACTCCATACGCAGGCATCGGGCCAGCTTATTATCTTTTATGTCTTATATTCCCTGGCGTGCTTGGTGGCCGTCTTTGGTGATGTCTGGTGGTACCTTTCAATGACACCCGGTGGTGTCATTTTCCCTAATACTTTCTTGGGGCCGTTCCCATCTTCTACCGCACCCGGTGGTGTTAACCTTTCGATGCCTGATGGTATCTTCTCTCGGCATCTGGTGGTGCCTTTTATTGAATAGAGTGCTCCCTTCAGATACCTGGTGGTATCTTTCTATATTTCCTTCTACCTCGAGCAGTCTGCGTTTTGGATTCAGCGATGAAGCGACAGGAATCGATCCCAACGCCACCAAGAAATCTGAGAACGAGAAAAACATCTTCAACCCAGTCACTCCTGATTGGAGCGAGGCCGAAGAATATCAATGATCAGCTCAAGTTGTGATTGCACCGGCCGCGAGGCAAGGTCAGTCTCAATCCGTAATTATGCAACAGAAGGGGGAAGGAGAAGTTGTCGCTCGATACTGATCGAGGATCTCCGAGTACTATTGTGAGTGTTTTCACCAATTCTACACATCTTTGCCTAAGGATACCCCAACATACAACAAGGTCAAGCTGAATATCGAACTTTTACTTTGTCCTGTTAGTCTGATTTGAGACGAAGGAATTCGCGTGCTAACAGAACATAGGGTCTGAGCGAAGTCTTTCCTGAATATTATTGGGGATTTAATCCACTGCAGACGCGGATTGTGGTGGTGTCTATGTTGATCAAAGATGGAGGAGTGACTCTCGTTTCGGAGATATCAATGGGTTGGGTCTGCGAGTAAGCTGGGCGATTTAGGAGGCTGTCATTAATTCCTTGTACAGCTCTATTCTACAAATGTTGCATGCATTGCAGAACTTCTAGCTATCCAGACTTAACTGCCAAACGTCGTTCAGCTACCCTTCCTTTCTCCATGAAAGATGTGTTGGGGTTTGCGTCAGCTGTCTTGAGATGTTTACCCTCCACTTCGGAGACTTCTCTTTCATTGGAACACAGCAAGGACTAATGATGATCTTTCAATGCCGTTCACCTTGTGGCCATTCTCCATATTCACAAGACGGTAGCGTCGGTGAAAACTTTATTCCCTCCGCTCGCGTATTATCTAGACAAAAATTCGTGCCTCTTGACTTTGAAGTAAACAACTTCAACAACACTATGCGACACCCGATCTCGGTGCAACAATTCTCCTTGCTTTCGATCTGTTCCGTTCAGTGCAAACTCATTGTCGAGCATGTAACACCATGGTCATTGAAATGGACAAGAGGACCCGGATGGTGAGCGCCGTGGGGTCTCCAATGGCGACACCAGATTGGAGCGACCCAAGAATTTTTCATTGCAGAAGGCTGTTGCTTAGTACTGAAAGCAGGAGCCCATGGGATGAACTTGCTACTCCTCCGCGGGCGTGGCATGAAGACACCAAGCGAGAGGAAAAGATGGAGGCGAGACCGCTTGGTGTGGACAAGCAGGCATCGAGCACTCATATTTCAGGGACTCGAGGGGAGAAGTACGGAATGTACGGCCTGACGTTCCTTCCTACAAAGCCAATAGCCGCTGAACCGAAAACAAAGAAGAAGAAGAAGAAGAAGAAGAAGAGCAAGAAGAAGAGGGCCACTCAACCTGTCCAAAGCATACCAGAGTCAGGACTGGATGACCAAGCAGAACCGGACCACCAAGCAGAACCGGGCCACCAAGCAGAACCGGACCACCAAGCAGAACTGGACCAGCAAGCAGAACTAGATGACAAACCACCGCATCCCGACATCTTCGACAAGCCTCTCGACAAGACACATGAAGCCGATCTTCCGAACAATTTACTGCTCCCCGAGACCACCACTCCGCCGGTCAATGATACTTCAGCTGCCGCACATCAAAACGAGTTACAGCTCCCGGTGACTATCACTCGATGCACCGATGTTGGAAGGGATGTTTTGTGCCCTGAAACTCACTCTAGACTTCGCTTACCTACTCTACCCCTCGTTGATACTCCAACGGTCGCTGCTGCTCAACCCATCGGAGATGCTACACCCGTCGGTAATACTCCAGCGGCCGCGTTCCGGCAAGAATCGCCGCAGCCGGCGAATACCCAAGATGCCAAAACCGTGACAGTCGCCTTTGTTGGCCGTGAAGTCCCCGAGTCCTCAATCCGAAGACCAAGGCAAAATGCAGAAACAACGGAGGAGCAAGTAAAGTCGCTTCGCCACCAACTCGAGAAGAAAGAGCGAGATCTGAAATCAGCGAAAAACCAAATGGCAGCTACGGCACGAACAGAGCTCGATAAGGCGAAAAGGAAACATGCCGAAGACCTCGAGAAGCTTCGAAAAGAGCTCTCTGGAAATGTACAACAACTCAAAGCGCAACATAAACTCGAACATGACAAACTCCAGGCAGAAAGAGATCAGATTGAAGCAGAACGAGAGAAAGACACCACTGATCTTCGAAATCTCCGCCACATCCACGAGAAGTTAAGAGATGAGTTGAAGACCTTGCAGAACAGCCTAGACACGGAAACCGCAAAATTCACCAACGCCAAGCTGGAGGCTGAATGCTTGAGAACCGAAAAGAATAAGCAGTCTTTGCAGATTGGACTGCTGAAGACTGAGGTTAGGGAAGGCGCCACAAAGGAACGAGAGCTGGAAGAAAGGTTGGCTGCCGCCGAAGCAAAATGCACACAACGCCATCAGAAGATGTCGGCGTACAGTGCAGATAATATCAAGCTAAGAGACGAAGTGTTTCTAGCTCGCTCTCGGGGATTCTTACCCACCCAAGATACCGAGTCTGGTACTGTTGAATACTGGAGAAGGAAATACAACAAACTTCGACTCAGGGAGGAAGCAGCCCAAGCCGACATCATTGATCTCAAGAGCGATAAGGAGGGTTTAGAAAAGGAAATTATTCGACTCCGGGGAACAATTGAAGAAAGCTGCACACAATTGTCGGAAGCTACGAGGGAGAATGTCGAGCTAGGCGAGAAAAGCTCACAACTGCGCACAAAGGTTTCGGAATTGGAGATGGAAGTCTCAGCACTCAAGGAGGACAGCGAGATCAAAGCACCTCTTATTCAGCTAGCAGTAGACATCCGACTTCGATACCTTGTATTTGCAAGAGAAACTGCTCTGAAAATTACCCGCAGCAATGCTGACAGAGTAGTCATTATGAACGGAAATACCGCAGCCCACCGTGCAAATGGCGCCCTTGACGCGGCAGTTTTCAAGGCTGGGCTGGTCCCGGATTGCTACCTGGCCGTGGCATCTCACATTTTCGAGCACCTGTATCTAGCTTCGCCTGCCGAGTACAGGCTTTTAGGGTGGACTTCCAAGATACAGAGGATCCAAAACTGTACAGCTACCCTGAAGTCTTTGAAGCCGGGAAACACCTTCAAGCAATCTGAACCAGAGCGAGAAGAGTATGAGAAGATTCGGCAGACGTTGGTTGCTCTTGTGGCTCCGATGAGCGGGGAGGAGATTGAATCTAACCAAGAGATTCACAAATTGGTTCAGAAGCTGGAGTATTTGACGGATCAGATTGTGGAGAGGGATAGATCAAAGATTCTTCTACGTCGGCCGGCGAATGTTCCGAGGGGTGATACTTCTGAGAGTTCATGTTCCGGATCCGTCCCCATGGGTCGGATGGGGAACCAGGTTGACAAGCGTTAGTAGTTTCGAGAAGTGGAATTGCGATAGAGAGTGTACATAAAACTGGACAATGGAAGAAGAGGTGTCAATTAAAGGTCACGTGCAACTGATATGAGGGCTCCCTAATTAGGTCTAGCTTCCCCCTTTCCCCTGATCGCCCCTCTCCAATCACTCAACCAATCTATGTTCCTCGCTGCATTGACTGTGCTCCGAAGTCAATACGGAATGGGTCATAGCTAATTGGAGAGCAAAGCGGACTGAAAGGCGGACGAAAGGCGGACGAGGGCAGACGAAATGCGGACGAAAACCGGACGAAGGTTGAAACTTACTCAGCCATAGTGAAGGCTATCTCCGATGATTATTTCCATTCATCCTTCACGGATGAATGTTTCCAATTGAATCGCGAAGAGCAATGCCTACGGATAATGCAGCCCGCCCAACGGCCTCGGTCCCACGCAAAGGCATGAGGAGAGGAACCCGCAGCTGCTACGAATGCAGAATACGAAAGATTCGATGCATATTTGCCAAAGACTCCACAGTCTGTGACAGTTGTTCTTCGAGAGGAAAAAGATGCACCGAGCAAAGGCGGGAACTCCTGCAGGAAGCTGCTCTTGATAACAGAGAGAGCCTCAGAGCACAGATTGCGAGGCTTGAGGCTGTCATCCAAGCTTCGAAAATTGATCGGAACGGCGCAGATGCTGTCCAGACCTCTGAATACCCAGGGCTCAGTTCACGAGATATAGAAATAAATGGAATTAGCGTGGAGTCCTCTTCGTCATCTACTGTCAGCCATCCAACACCTACATCGATACCGTCTTCCAATGCTTCTATCTCGATTGGCAAGGATTCTCCCCAGAACATCGACCCCATAGTCACACTCTTTGACAATGCTATTGTGAGGCTCAGATTTTACTTGAATTTATGGCTACTAAAATCAGACATAGTGGAGACGACAGAGCTCTGACTTCGCCCAAGAGAGCAGAGTTGATGAAGCTGGAAATCCAGGAGCCGCGACAAAACGCATACGCACTCGCGAATCACTCCTTTCAGGTCTTGTTTCCTCGGAGCTCCTTGGAATGATACTGAGTGCAACTTGCTCCTGGTGGCACACATGGTAATCCCCCTGGGTGCACACCGTTGTTACTGCTAAATTTGAACAGGAGGCCTCTAGGCCCATGGCTGTCGGCATCAATGGGTACTAGAGAGTCTTCAACGCTACAAGATTTCGCTCTTTGGGCATTTGAATCTTCCAATCCTTCGATCATTGGCCTGGCTTTGCTTTGTATCGCCGTGTGTCTTCAGGAATTAGACACAAGAGTTCATCAGTACATCATACGCCAGCTTCCCCGTTTGCCAGGGGAACTCTTCCAGGAGTATTTCGAGAAAGTAGATCGTCTCATCTTAAACGATTCTGATTATGCCACTACTGAGGAGGGCATTGAAGTAACAGTGCTGTCAGCTAAGATTTATAGTGCGTCATTTCCTTGAATGCTTCTTCTCGGCGGATTCAATGCTGACTTTCCAGTGAATCTTGGCCTGAACAGGAAATGTTGGGTTCTTCTCCATCGAGCGATCGCCCATAGTCAGCTGCTAGGATTTCATCGCCCAGAGCGACTCTCCGCAGTGGAAACCGAGACAGAAAGACATCGCCGAATCAAGTCGTGGCTGTCGTTATGTTCTGGGGATGTGTATACATCTCTGATCCTCGGCTTGCCCTATGCGGCGGACGGGCGTACCATTCCGGTAACTCAAAGCCAGCACAATACAACATCTTTATTGCAACATAATTTGATTTTGCTATCAGCCAAAGTTATCGACAGAAATCAGATGGGATTGAGTCTGTCGGTTTCACGCACTGAAGAGATCCAAAAGGAGCTCGAAACAGCGACGAATGGCCTTGACGAAACGTTCTGGAACTCACCAGCTGCATTGGCCAGCGGGAGGATCACGCGCGAAGAATATCTTGAGCAGCTCTCAGCTCAGTGTTGGTTCTACCAGCTGTTGGTTCTTCTGCACATGCCACTCATGATTCATTCGGTCGAAGACGCGCAACTCGAAAAGCACCGAACTGCATGCCTTGACGCTTCTCGAAATTTACTGATGATATATCATACCATGCGGTCTGATGCTTTTTCAGCATTTAGTATGGTCAAATTGATTGACTATCAGGCTTTCGTATGTTCCTCCTTGTTGGTGCTTGGGTTGCTTGGATATGGGGGCTCTGCGCATCAGAGCGAAAATCGAGACAAGGATCGAGACCTAATAGGATTGGCCATTGCCACACTTCGGCAAGCTTCTGGCACAGTGAATAATGTGATCGCGTCCCAAGCAGTTCAAGGACTCGAGAGTTTGATGATGCTGGACCAAGGGGGATGTTCGCACAAAACAAGATCTGCATGTGTGAATCCCGGCTACGCAAGAATCGTTGTCCCTCGTATAGGGACCATTACGATATTGCCCGGGGAATATTATACTGGATCGCGGCCTGAATCCATGCCACATTGCATCAATCCTCCCCCGGTATTCGCCCTTTCTCACGACAGGTTTCAGCGGAGTTCGGGCCTGGTCAATCAAGCTCCTACGCTGGCATCAAATACTGGATTCGATGATGGGCAAGCACGCGGTCTAGAATATGGGAATAGCATGTATCCGGAGCTGCCATCTATTGATTTTGATTGGACGAGCACAATAACGCCAAATTTTGAGGATGATTGGGCATGGCTAAATGATCTGAATTATTGAAACAGCGATTGCGAGTATGGCGTAAATTTACGTACAGTAGAGAAACATCATTTGCTCCCAGACAACCAAGTGGATATTAAAACTGGGTGAGTTCGAAAGTGCAGGATCGAATATGTGGATGGATGTGGGCCGGAGAAGCAGCTGGAAGCACCGGCTTCAGTCACCAACCCGTCATTGCATGGTTTCCAAGCTGACAGATTAACCCGAGCTCCATAACATGAACCCAATTTCTACCTATTCTATGAGTTTCTGATCAGGTCCAACAGATGATAGTCTTGATTTTGCCAGAACGGCACGGATAAGATATGTAAGTAGGGATGGCACTTTACATTACAGCGGGAATCAGATGTGTAATTTACGTAATTACAGGCCCTAAGCACTTTACAAGTGTAATTACAGTCATGTGACGCAATAGCCTAATATGGAACGCACTAACCTAATTTAGAGGCGGTGTATACCGGCAGTAAGGTAGAATCTTCGCAGCTGAGAAACTCTCCATTATCAACACTCCACCACCAGGGAATTGATCGCCATTCCACGAGCTAATATGCCTTCCAATAGTCAACAATACACTCGAAAGAAGACAGAGGTATACGAAGCCTTCGACAAAATTTTTAGTATGCGAAGACTGGTCGATATTTAAAGCTATTCCAGAGGTTTCTGGCATAATTCAGGGCACACTTCAGAGGAGATCCAGGGGGGATATTAGCGATTTTCAGGGCCTTTAGGGCCTCCCTAATCAGTATTATGACCTGGAGTTTCAGGCCTTTGGGGACTACTATTGGGACCACGTGCCTTAAATTATACCTTCTTTATGCATGAATTATACTTAAAGTTATGCTATATTACACGAGCTGAAGAGCCTTTCGTAATGTAAAGTCGAAGAGCCTTACGTAAATTACGTAAAGTGTAAAGTCAGCCATCCCTATATGTAAGCCAAGTCCAAGACCCCCTCGACCGAAAACCAACTAATGGACGAGTCTCGGACGAACAGCATTTGAAGCAGCGCAACCACTTCGAAACCGTGACATTGTCATCGTTTTTGAGACCCCTGTTCTACATGAGTCGAATATAAAATAATGCATGGCCACTTGGCCTCCTGTGCGCCTCAAACGATAATTTACTGGACAATCTGCTGCTTACAATTTTCAACAATCCATTTCGTAGGAACTTTTCAACAAATTTTAGACGTTTTAAAGCGTTACATATCAAAAGATGGAAGAGTCAACGATTAGCAACTGTGGAAATGAGAAAGCTGATGACCACACATCAGAATCTCAAAATGAAGCTTCAGTTGACACCACCGAATATCCAGCAAAGTTCAAGTTGATCATGATCGTGGTGGCTCTTATGTTGAGCATGTTTCTGGTAAGTTAGACCTTGCATACCCCCTTCACGGGTATGAAGTTTGCTGACAGCAGACAATAATAGGCATCTCTGGACATGGCAAGTTGCCTTCTTGATGGGTAGTACTGCAGCTTTTCTAATCCGCCATGGTAGACGATTCTCTCTACCGCAATTCCACGAATCACGAGTGACTTTAACTCACTCGGTGATATAGGATGGTTAGTATTTCTCCGCTTCTAACTGACTTTGCTGATAATATGACGAAGGTATGCGTCCACCTTCTTCCTGGCCGTGGCGTCATTCCAATCCACCTGGGGCAAAACATACAAATACTTCCCTCTCAAACCCGTGTTCCTCATTAGTATTGGAATATTCGAACTTGGGAGCCTGATATGTGGTGAGTTTTGGAATCTCAAATATCTCACTACTTGTGCTTATGAATTTCAAAATAGGGGTGTCCCCAAATAGTGTGACGTTAATTGTGAGTCGAGTCCGTCTAGCAAAGGTTCGGCAATTGACTGCTGGAGGTTGGCCGAGCTATCACAGGGTTGGGCGCAGCTGGCATTCTCAGTGGCTGCTACACGATAATCGCATTTTCTGTGCCTCCAATGATGCGGCCGGCATTACTGGTATTCTTGGGGCAACATAGTAAACCATCAACTTTATACCCGAGTATATTCTTAATTCTAAACGCTGTGTAGTGGATGTGCGAGTGTGGTCGGTCCACTCTTGGGTGGTGCTTTTGCTGCTAAGGTATCATGGCGATGGTGTAAGTGCAATCTCCTTTCTTGCATCAACGAAAGGCTGACTTGAGCTTGAAGGCTTCTACATCAATCTCCCGATCGGCGGCATCTCCGCAGCAATCATCCTTCTCTTCTTCAAAACACCAAAGGGGTAGACATTCAAACCCAGTTTCAAGTCAATTTCTGACCACGATACAGGGGAATCACGGCGAATGACACTGGCCTTCGCGAGAAAATACTTCAGATGGACCTCTTCGGCGCAGGCCTGATCATGGCAGCAGTTATCTGCTACATCCTGGCTGTACAGGATGGTGGAGTAACAAGACCTTGGAATTCATCAGTGGTGATTGGACTACTCGTTGGCTTTGTACTCATCACGATTACCTTCGGCATTGTCGAATACTTTCAGAAGGATCGAGCTCTCCTTCTACCACGGCTTATGGAAGACCGCACAATGCTGGTTTGCTGCGCTTTTACTGCATTGTAGGTTACCCTAACCTCGAAACCCTCGTTCGCATCCACTAAAACATCTGTTTCCAGGCTTGGCGGATCATTTTTTGTCCTGCTATACTACCTCCGTAAGACGAGTACATACACCCTCCAACTTAAACTATGCTCACCGCGTTCTTCAGCTCTATACTTTCAATCCGTTCAAGGTGTCTCGGCGTCAGAGAGTGGTGTTCGAAACTTGCCTCTTATCCTTTCTATGAGTAAGTTCTTTGGCATAAATCTCGACGCTCCGTTTCTAACAGGACATCACAGCCCTTTTAATAATTGTTTCCGGTGGTTTTCTCACTGCATTTGGCCACTTCACTCCATTCTTGATACTGGGTGCTGTCATTACATCCGTGGGTGGGGGACTGCTTTACACTCTCGACATTGGATCTCCATCTTCTCACTGGATCGGATACCAGATTCTTGCCGGCATCGGACTTGGGATTTGTTTCCAGACCCCAATTATGGTCGGACAGGCGCTTGCGGAAGCTGAGGACGTTGCAACTGTTACAGCAATACTCATGTGTAAGTCCAAGATGGCCATTCCGTGGTTGTAGTCCACTTCCCATTAACTAACATATCTTTCCTTGACAGTTGTTCAAACGATTGGCGGTGCACTGCTCATCTCCGCTGCACAGGCCGCTTTTGTTAATACATTCGTTTCACAGATAAAGTTGAATTCTCCTGGCATAAATCCTGCTCTTGTTATGGCAGCAGGAGCTACAGGTCTGCGTAACGCTTTCATAGAATCCCCAGCTTCCAGGGCTGTTGGTATCGTATATGGCTGCTCTTAGAGTTGCATATGCAATTTCTATTGCTACTGGTGGAGCTGCAGCGCTGGTTGCGCTATTTGCTCCCTGGACGAGCATCAAGGGCAAAGTCAAGATAGGAGTTGCTTGACTTAAGATGTTGACATTAGATTCGAGAGAAGGAGTTAATAGCAGAAGGAAAACTTATGTACTGCTTGGGCAATGGAAATTGAAGCCTCTGGTTCTGATCTTAGTGGGGAAGACGGGAGATTGTACTAAAATCTGCTGCTTATATAGTGGAGTTCCGTTGCGATAGAGACATAGATGAATCTGGGACAAATCGCAGCCGCTTCAGAATTGGCGAACGATTGCTGCAAGGCTCTGAACTTCCAAGGGCTTTTCCCTCCGAGTCCCATCGAAAATCAGACCACTATCCCCGGCGAGTTGGGACATTCTCCCCAGATAACCAGGGGGCCCTTGTTCGAATACCAGAACTCACTCCTCGAAAGGCTCGTCGAAGTGTGCACCACGCTTAGAGATCGAGTCTAAATATTAGAAGAGGAACTTGCCAGGAAAAATGAACGGGTTCAGGCATTGGAGAAAGTACTCGCCCTAAAATATTGATGCCCCCACGAGGCGCAATACAACGCCACAGTTACTCGAGGAGATGAGTCTAATGTCAAAGCAAAGCGAGCCGGTGATATGAAGAAGCAGAGAATGGACTTGGCCGCCAAGTATTCATGGGAGCTGGCTTCGCTCAAGAAATAATTAAAGGATAAGGCCGAAAAGCACGAGAAGTAGAATAATGCTGCTCATCGAAGAAATTTGGAGGCGATGCCGCGCTTTTTAAACTAGGGTAGTCTACAAAATGTTGTACTTCTCGAAGCCTGCCAATAGATACAAACCAGCGCTATAATACCCAAAATTCGCGAGGCTACCGACCTGCAAATTACGATTCGAACCATCAAGAGCTTTAATAAGGGGGCAGATAGGTCGTTGAAGGAGAAGCAGAGCGTAATGGACGCTTTCGAGATCATTATGGGCGGATTTAAGAAAACATCAATGGAGGGGAAAGAGCTGGACGAGGGCAGCAGGCGCTCGATAAGCGGCTTGATGCATTGAGAGAGTTTACAAAGGCAATTGCGGAGCTTGATAGGAGCATTCCAGGGAAGTATAAGCCGAAGAATATGATTTCCGAGACGGCATATTAATTGTGTCATAAGGGCGGACAAGAGGAAATTTTCAGCACGTGATCGGTTAAAAAAGGGGCAGCTCGTTTCGTCTTGTGATTGGTCCGACTTGTCTTGAATTGCGATTGTCGATTAGCTCAAACAAGAACGCAGAGACGCCTGTAAGGAAATAAGTCGAGTGAAAGGGTAAAGTTGAAAAAATGAGTGGGGGAGATTCAATCGTTCAATTCAAGTCTTGAACCTTCAGTGAAGAAGAAGCCACTATAAAATAAGAAGTGGAGACCCTGGATTTCTTACGGTACAAAAAAGCAACTCGGTTAACTTTCTCAACAAACCTACCGGTATACGTATCAATTTTTCACGGGTTCAGATGTCATACACAATAAACCCAAAATCACGGACGTGTTACTCAACATCTTCTTCGAAGTCCAAGCTTTTGTAGACCTGATCCACTCCGTGCCCATCCATGCGGAAAGCAGATCTTTGTACCTGAACTCAGTCTCATCCAGGTGGAGGGTGGTGAGGCAAATTAACAATGGCTTTGGGTATCCCTTGGCATTCTCCCTGCTATCAAACTCCACAATCCAATGAGCTTCGACTCGATCTCGGAATGCTTTTCTCTCAAACCTTCCTTGTTGCTGCATCTCGATTCCGCCCCAGAAATCGAAGTCGAACGGCAATCCCAACTTCCGGCGGAGGCTCCTCTACATTGGAATTTCGTTGCAAGTCCCATACCTGGTCCTCAAGATATCTGATGTGCTCCTCACGAAAGTCCCGCTCGTCTGCCAATGGTTGCTGGTTGTCCGTCGGATCTGATTCCATCAATTGCCTCCTCAATCTTTAGATTTCTGCCGCAATTCGTACTCAATTAACATCATCTTACCAAATCCTTCCGCCTCACGTTTCTGAATAGTGTCTTCAAGCAGATTCTCTCGTTCCAAACCGTCTGCCTTCAACGTGTTCACCATGTTTCTGAATCCAGTGTTCTCTTGTCTAAACTCTCGATTGAGCTTTCGGAGACTCCTGATTTCCTCCTTGAATTTTTAAATGTCCTCAGCTGTTCCTGATGCTTCCTCCAGTTCCTTGAACTTCCCGTCATGCTGATCAATAAGCTCGTAGCACTGCTTCTTATGCTAAATTACATAATGCTCCTTCCGGATCTTAATCTCTTGCTTCTTCGCGTTCGCGATACCGTTCCGCGCTCGAGCGAAGTCGGACTTCGCGGACTTCAAGTCTCGGGTTTCTTTGTTGAGTTGGCCTTCGAGAGATGTGCATCGTTCTTCAAGAGTCTTGATAAGGCGTACTTGAGGTTCTTGTTCGGCCTCGTCTACAATTTGCACCGAGATAGACGTCGACGTTGGAAAGGTATGTAGACCTGAAGGACTGGGAGAAGCGGAGGTAAATGTACTTCTTGACTTTGAAATATTGCATAGATTCAATTCTGTAACTTGTAAGCTCCTGCTTTAGCGTTTACTGATTAAAGGAGCGCGCCCGTTTCGAGCCTCGTACCAATCGACTCTAATTGTTCAAACCCCTCCTGCAGCACTAGTCCAAAAGGAGGCATCTGTAATGCTCAAGGGAGAAGGCGAAGTCCAGTTGTGGGGTTCGACGCTCCCGGAACTTTCACCTCGGCTTTGTTGACTTTTGTTCGCGGTCTTTTCTGCCGTGATACCACCAGGGTCTTTATTTGAGCAGCATTTCCGGTTTCCGCTTGGCAGAATACATTATCAATAATTGATAAGAATTGTGGGCTTGGGGCACGTGGCGAAAGTAAATAAGCCCGACGCGAACCACCACCTTCAGCGTCAACCCTACTTTCAGCATCTACAGTTGCCGAACAACGATGGCCACGAGAACGGCCGGAGATAATCAGTTCCAGCTGGCCCTTGTTGGCGAGGACGACCAGCTGGGAGATAACCTGAGTAGAGGTAGGTAGGGGCAAGAGTTTGGGAGACTAGTGCTCATGAGTACAGGGTTAAAGCTATCCGATCACCTCTCTACCACCGTCGCAGCCGCAGAAAGGACGTCGAGAAATCAGCTAGAAAAGCTATGCAGGTCTCTACAGGAGCAACTTGCGGAAAAGACAAGGGAGCTGGAGTCAGCTCAAGCGGAGATTGCCTGGCTAGGGTTCTGCAGGAGTGATCTCAAAGAAATGATTGAGGCAGCAAATGCCAATTGTTCCAGCCTGGAGAAGTACAATAGGGAGCTGAAAGGGGAGCTTACAGAAGCGAAGAAAGAAGCCGAGAACCTGAAGTCGACCGTTACCACAGCAAAGGTTGAGCTGGGCAGGGAATCTCGAAAGAACTCGATGTTACAGAAGGACATCAAGGCGTTGAACCAGAGAGCCGAGCTTCTGAACCCACCGGTCGATATTGGTGTAGCAACGCGACTTCGGTTCTTGCAACACGCTCGACGTACCATTCATAGACACCGCATCTCGGACCAAGATGCAATCGTCATCAAGAACGGAAATGTGGCTGCACATGGAGGGAATGGCATTGCAGACGCGGCAATGTTCAAGGCGTACTTGGTCACGAAAGGCCACGTACTGGGGCAAGTCTTCAAGGATCTCTATCATTGCGAACCAGCTGAATACCTCAACCAGAACGAGATCAAGATGTTGAGGCGGATGCTGGATTGCGAAGCAACCATCACGACGGTCAAAATAAATAACAAACTCAAAGAATCTGCCGCTTTGCGGAGGGACCATCACCAACTTCTCGAGAACCTTTATGACGCTCAAACCAAGAGCCCCAGTATCACAGCATGGGAAGAGAATCACAATAATAAGCGCTGGTTGAAGAGACTTGAGGAATTGACTGCTGAAATTGTGAGGCTTGATGTGAAGACTGGGCCACGCCGCAAAAAGATACGCTCTGTAAGTTGAGGTCTCCCTTTCTGACAGAGGAAGATGCTGATTTGATGTAGGCTTCTGCTTATTCTGAGAGCGACTCCGGCAAGGGAGATTCGGATGCATATGGCGACGAAGACAGCAATGATGAGGATGACGATTTTGATTACGCTCCAGCTCGTTGATTTCTCGGAGATTATGCGGTAATGAAGGGGCTTGCAGAGTACACGTTTGAAGATCTTCATTTGCGAATTATAAAGATGGAGAAGACCAATGTCATTGAGTTGAGTCCAGAATTCCAGCTGCTAACAGAAGAGCAGAGAGACATGGGTAGCTTGGCGTGGAGGGCAACTGGCACTCAAAGATTGATCGTAGAGAGTAAAGAGTGATTATACCAAATGGAACATGCTTCCTTCTCATTACCTTAGCCAAAAAGTGAATGTGGAAAGCGAATCCCTGAACGGCGCTCATTGCCCACAACCATAAAAGCAGGAACAAGCAAGAAAATATCTTCTTCCTTCTTCCTTCTTCCTCTTCGACACAGTAATATTAAAGTTAGCCGCGGTTATACCGAAGAGCTTGGACGCTGAGCGGTCCACTAAGCGCACTAGCACGAGAACACAGAGGTGTTCTACTTAAAGCTCCGGAGAAACCATCGAGCAGCGTCAAACCAATACCAGCCATGCAAGCAATACTGGAAGATCTCGCGGACGTTGAGATCGAGCAACATCAACGCAAGCCCAGACAATACTGCTTCTACTCAGTTCCGCCGGCTACAGCTCAATCTGCCGAATCAAGCATTGAAGATGTGGCAAGGGGCACCAAGAGAGGCTCAGACGGAGCAAGGCATCTCCGAGCAGTGAGCACTAGGGAATAAGAAGACAGCGTCGCAACTCCTCCTCACAAGCGACAGGAGACTGGGAACAGCGAAATGACTGATCCATCCCCTACCAATCCACCTCATCCTCCTCCTCACAAACGACAAGAGACTGGACAGCGAGATGACTGGTTCATCCCTACTAACCCTCGCAGAGAATAGGAGGATATTGAATGGCGGCTGGCGTTGAGGACTGCGGTATTGATTGCTTGACTTCGTCAACATACTGCTCCGAATTGATACCGGTGAGCACGGAGGCACGCAGAGAGGCTGAGATGAAGCTGGACACGGCGAGATGGCAGATGTTACAATAGTACTATCATACTTCAATTAAAGAATTTCACATCGCTGAGTATTAGCATTGGACTGTTTTGCCTTTGAAGTGAATTTTTAGCGACTCTCGGTCAGAACACCTCTGCGTATTGAAAATTTTCGACAACAGCAACAACAACAGAAACAGGAACAACATCACGTCACTCGACAGATACAATGGTATCTCCGAGTCAGCAACGAGAAAAGCGCCGCAAGGCAGACAACGAGGAAGCCTTGGACGTGGGTCCTGCGGCTCCCAAGGTCGAACCCGAACCGTCCTCTGAGTCTCACCTACACACCCCGGGAGCCGCTCTCCTCCCCGAGTCAGGACAACCACGGAAGAGGACGTGGTCCGGATCATTCAAAACTACTGATCTACATGCCAAATCTGGCACAGATTTCTCCACGACCCCTTCAAACCTCCCTAAACCGCATCCAGCACAGACGGAAGGATCTTCCTCTCAATCCTCTTCACCTTCGACTCCTCCTACAGTCCCTGGCATGGGACAATTCAAGTTCGGCAAGATCAATCCAGCCTTCCAAGCGGAGCTGGACAATAACAGACCTCGAGAAAGTAAGTTCTGATCTTTCTCATTCCCAATAGTCATCCAGCTAATGAAACACAGCAGTTGATGAGACTGTCAAGGAGACGTCGTCTTCTCGAAGCACGTTTGGTCACATACGATCCTTGCCAGACGAACTTAACGACAGATTCGGACCGAAGAAGGGCGAGAAGTGGGGTGATGACTTTGATCCCGCGGAACATGCAGAGGACAGCCACACTCACATTACATCTTCTCCTACTTCCGTCAGTGTCTACACCACTTCTCAGGTTCAATCTCAAGGGACGGGTGCCGCCTTCTCGGCAACCTCTCCTCGTGCAGACCCTCCTGCTCCTGAAGAGGCTCCGGTAACTCCTTCAGCGGACTCCACTCCAACCGCCAAAGTCGAAGAGACAATCGCTCCCGTCGCTTCACCCCCAGAGGTAGAGGAGGGCCACCAAGAGGAGCAAGTCAGTAAGTTCCACATCCACCTTAGTATCTACCATAATCAATCCTAATTACGAATTTGTACAGGCACAGCCTTGGTCAAGTACTCTCCCCCGGTCAAGAAGACTCCTGCCAGCTCTTCTCCCGGCGGTGCTGACGTCCCGCTTGCCTCGACCTCTGTGAGCGCACCCCAGGTTGGCCTGGCATCGGCCTCTCGAGGCGCTGCAACTCCCTCCAGCGGCTCAGCACCTCCTGCCAAGAAGAAGTCGTTGTTCGGTGGAGTTGCTCTTTTGCGCTGGCCCCAGGAGTCGGGTAAATCAACGACAATGCCCGTCGAATTTGTCCCTGGGTACCACAACAATCGCGCTTTCTATGCGTCACAGATTGCGGTAGTCTACCAGAAGGCCATCCCATACTACGAACAGCGCCACCAGTCGAGCAAAGGTTTCGTTGCGGCCTACCAGGAGGCTAGGACGGCCGAGCTCCAGCGCCATCCAAATGATAGCCCCTGGGAGCAACAATACGCAATAGAGACCAGACTATGGGCAAAATATGTCGGACCACCTCATGGCACATTCGATTCTTTCACTTGCCCAGATCCGAAGCCATATCTCCAAGGCTATCAACCTGGAAAGTGTGATGTCTGCGCTCGCCCAGGCCACTGGTGGTGGGAATGCAAAGAAAACTGTAGGACCTGCGACGTTCCCGGTCATCAGTTCCCCACCTGCGTTCAAGGGCTGTGGTGGATAGAGAAAAAGCGCGAAATCATGGAAGCTAAATCTCGATCCAAATCTCAACCTCAACCGCAGCCTCAACCGCAACCTCAACCGCAACCTCAACTGCAGCTTCGACCTCGGCCTCAGAAGGCTGAACAGCACCATGTTGAAGAGGAACTTGAGGGGTACATCGAAGAGGTAGATTAGAGATGGATAGGTTATTTTTTTTATGTTTCCTTTGTAGTTTAGGGTGATTTCTTGTCGACGCTCCCGGTGGAGCTTCTTTGATGTTTCGGGGTGGATGTCAGTAATTCGTCCCAATCATTAAGTCGGTGGTGAGCTGGGATGAATGAAGCTAAAATAGGAAAAATTCATCTTCCTATATCTGGCCGGCTGGAGGCTGGACAGGCGTGTTCTTGTATGTGGTTTATATATGGAGTGTTGTGTCCCCCAGGAGCCAGTTCTGTCTGCAGTCTTGTCCTGCTCAAGCCCTTGATGGATCGTTTGGATGGGAGAGGGCAATAGAATTTCATTTCTTGACGCTTCTGTTGGGCGGTTATAACAGACAAAGACGAGGATAGTAGAAGTCGAAAGCTTTACGAATAACCAATATGCATTTATCCTCCGTGACACATCACTCCCGCTGGCATAATTGCAGCAACATGAAGGTAGAGTAGATCTATTCCTATTCCTATCATCTATAACATGGGACTACTCCTATAGCACGAATACCCATGCCGGGCTTCGAGAAAGGTGCCACTCCACCAGGAGCGGGACAGAGATACAATTCTCACATTTGAGAGATCCACCGGCCAGCCACAACCAGACCTGAGCAAGCCCTCAGCCTAAGATATCCTCTCCCGCTTTTGCTCTAGCCAGTATATCCTTCGCCACTTAGCCAATATCTTGAGTGTAGGTGAGAGTGCGCCGCATCCATTCCTGCGCGGACTCAGTATCTGCCATGAACAGGATAGAAGGAATCACCCCAGATGGCAAAACCTCATACTCGACATGAACGAGATCGAAAGAGTCGACTTCTTCAAAGATGAATTCTGCTATAGCCGTCACCTGGTGAGGCGGGCGAATGCAGATGATCCACTCGCTACTGGGCATAGTAACGAGTGCGGTATCCCCAAAGAGTGCGAAGTCCTCGTTCAATGATGCTTTGATGTCCTCGAGGGGATTATCCCTTCTCCAGCTGAAGGTAAGGGCCCGAAGCAGTGGGTTCGAAGAAGTTTTTGAGGATCACAAGCGGTCGATCTTGTCCATGATGCCCGCATCCTGCGATCCTGGGAACCAGGCTTCCATCGTGCCCATCAGCTGGCGTAGAGAGAATGCGAATATGCCAACTGCGGTCGACAAGGTACTGCTTGTTGTTTGGTAGAACCACGTCGAGCATTCTCGGATGAGGTAAGCGACGACGTTGTCATCACAGGAGGAGGATCTGTCTGTGATAGCAGCAAGGACTTCGAGGCACTCTGGCGTGGCGGCCTTCTTATCCTGAACGTAGACAAAGACTTCTATGGCCAGGATCCGCAATGAAGTGCCTTCCAGGCGCCGAACAGAGTCTGCGTCGAGTGAATAGCCCGGGAGTCGAATAGTGAGGCTCAAGAAGTTGTTGTCCTTGACGGCTAGCGCTGCCCGTGCAGGAAGTGGTGAGTCCAGCAAGATACGGGCCATTCGAGACCAGGTATCCTCGTTTTCCGCCGGTAAGTGGGATGTTTCGGCCAGGATTTCTCCTATCACCCTCCAAGCGCGGCCCGTCAACATACCACCTGTAAGATCGCCCTTGCTTTCTGCGTCCTTGGTCTTGTCGAGCTCCTGAGTGACCTTAGACAGCTCGCTCGCTTTAGCCTGGTAAGCTTGCTCAAAGATGCGTAGCTTGGGTCTTGGCGATCCAACTCCTGAGTGACCTTGGCCATCTCGCTCACTCTAGCCTGGTAGGCCCGACTCAAAGATGCGTAGCTGGTATCTTGACGAGCGAGTTCGTCCTTGAATTCCTGGCGCTCTCTTGACAGGATATCTTTCTGCGGGTGATCTCCTCCATAGATTTGCGGTGGTTGTCTTCGGCCTCAGACAGCTGTGCCTTGAAGCCCTCTTTTGCAGATCTTTCATCTTGCACCTCTTTGCCAGCTGCTGCGAGCGCATCCTCGGCAGTCTCGAGGTTGACTTTCCGTTAGCAACGTCCGTTTCGAGTTCGTTGTTGCGCTGTTGAAGCTCAGAAATCGTCTTGTCAAGCACATCAATCTTGCTCCAAAGACATAGCTTGTCGTCTTCAAGAGACTGCTTAGCCTTTTTCAGCTCCTGGGAGTCCCGCTTAAGGTCGGTGATGGTAGAGCCTCGGGGTTGTTTATCGGCATCGAGCTGCTTCTTATCCCTGTCCAGCTGTTCATTGCTAGCCACTAGCTGGCCCTTTTCAAACTCAAGTCTACTAACAGTAGCAGTCAACTTCTGGCTGGCGTCTTCATGCTTTGGTACAAGACGGAGGTTGGCTCTGACTCTGTTTTGCGAAGATTGCTAACCTCTTATCACCGATCTCATTTCCTGAGACAGCTTCTAATATAGCTCCTCTCCAACTTCCTTCCCTAAAAGGCTTCCGATGGACCTTCAACCCTCTTCCTCATTATTTCAAAAAGCCTGTATTGTGTATTTGTAGTTGGGGGCTATTCAAGGAACGGACGGTATCTGGAAGGATAGGAATGACGGGACGGTCGGAATCATGGGAGCATGGAAATGGTGGAACGATATGGTGAAGCCCGTGGCACCAGATAAGATTGCCTCAGGCAATTGCCAAGAGTACAATACTTTAATTACACAATTTCACGTCTCTGAGTATTAGCGTTGGACTAAATTAACGATTAGGATGTGTACGGTATTGGAGTTGAAGTGAGAGAATAACCGAGTGAAGGCGGAAATTGCGATCCTCCTCATGCATTTCATTCATGTTGTTGGTTCCAGATCGAGCTTCTATATAATATAGATTTCACTAGACGATAGCACCGAAGTTTAGGTGTGTAGCGACTGAAAGATTTCGCCATGAGGACAACAAAGACAGCTCTACTAGAAGCTTGAATCTGCAGGAACAACTTCTTGAACTCTCATATACTTAATAATTGTACCAACCACTTGCGGTAGAATTAAAGAGCTCTAGTCTGCTTGGAAAGAGATATTACTAGAAAGAAAAAGACGAGGATAACCAACCTTGAGAACAGATATCGATGTCCTGTTGATTCCAGAACAATGGACATTGCCCAAGCAGTCCTTTTCAAAATTTCAAGTATGGACATACTTAGAAGAAACTATTTATATAGTCAAGTTTGGATTAACGACGCGGTGAACCAATACTTATACAAAGCAGCGACTGCGCTCCTCGAATCTTCCTCAGCCCAATATGCGCTCCAAAGACGTGTTGCAGAGATCAAAAACGAAGTGAAGAAGGTTATTACCGACCGATAAAAGCTTACGAGATACCCAAAAATCCATCAATCGGCCCTGCGGCACAAGAGGTAGTACAAGGCGTAGCAAAATTATTACTGTAGCATACACTTGAGAGGCTTATGTGAGATTATCAACCAACCAAACAACATCAATTATACGACACAAGAGGTAGTACAAGACGTAGCAGAATTATTACTGTAGGACAAACTTGAAAGGCTTATGTGAGCTTGTTAACACGAGAGCGACGTTTCACTACTCGAGCAACACGGTAAGACCTCTCTCCCAGCCGCATGCTTACGCCTCACAACCCCGCAACCTTTAACATGTGAAGCCTGTAAGTTGTAAAGGCATTAACGGAGGTTGCTGAGATATTACCCGATCCTTCGAGGATCGGCGGTGCTAGAACGAATGGATTTCGGCCATGTGGAGGCCCGGGGAGGTGAGCAGTTAATGGCATACATGCAGGTGGAGTAAGAAAGGGTGATCTTGACGGTCTAGGAAGAAAGGGAGGAGTCACAGTCGGTAATATTTGTTCGAGGATTTCGGGTCCTTCGGGTTTCCGAAGTACGAATTCATCTGGCTTGGTAGAACCCAAAATTAAGTATATATATCTCATGTCGAACACTCTCTTGTTCGACATCAGAATCAAGTCAGTCAACCAATTTTTTTCAATATAACATTCTGCTACACATCTACCAACTCTACATTTCAGCAATAGGAGCAGTGCCAAAACCCATCATGCTTACCGGAAAGACAACACTCATCGCCCTAGTGGCAGCATTCCTCTCCTCCTCCACCAATGCCGCAGTCCTGAACCTGTTCAGCGATCGCAACTGCAAAACTCCAGCAGGGAACCGCAACGTCTGGGACAACACTTGCGCCCCCGTCGGCGGCTTTCAATCCTACATGATTGTCACGGCCGGAGGCATCGACCAGGCCGTCACAACTTACAGCCGCAACGCCTGCGCTGGCGACCAAACCACGTGTAACAGCGCCAGCTCATTGAATATCTGCTACCCCGCGTTCAACAGTCAAGGGGGTAGTAACGCCATTGGATCCGGTCCTGCTTGCGGCATTATTTGAGCGTGAGCTTGGAGTGGAGAGCCAAGGGGGGATAAATCGACATATCTCATCCCTTGGCGCTCTATAAGCAGCATATGGTACCATAGCCGCAGCAATGACAACGGACGTCCAACTCGATACGATCTTTACTGCTGTATTTGTTACTTGAGTTGTGCGATGCGCATTTCTCTGGCCAACAACGTGTCTATCATGGATTTCTGGGTAGACTGGAGGCGAGGGACATGAGTGAAGTTTTCAGAAAAAGTAGTCTCCCCAATATAAACCGAATGACTGCAAAAACTATGCTTTCCAAAAGTGACCTCTCTTAGCCCCGCGTCAGTTGCTTCCTTTATCCGCTATCCAAGGTTATGTTTCCATCCTATATAGTCGAGTATTTAAAAGATGTTCCATTAGCAGCCCTTTCGTCAAGATTTCCTGGACAGGATACCCATGAGGTAAATAGTTACCCAAAAGATCATCAACTAATATATGGCCAATTGTGGTTCTTGTTTAATCTTTAGTGATGGTACGGCATTTAGCCGCCAGGTCGTTAAAATTTTTCTTGCCTTTGCCACGCCGGTTACAGCCAGAGAGTGAACTTGAATAACATCTGCTTTTACTAGTGGGAGCATACCTTAAGCTTGAATTAGCGGAGGATACAAGGTAAAAGAAGTGTTTGTTTGGTGAATAAATTATCCTTCAACATCGCGGTAGAACAGAAAGCAACAAGGATGAGCTGAAATCGGGATTTCAGGGATTAGCTAGCAGAGAAGAGATTGAGAGAAGCAGAGCACGTTTCAGGCTATTGACAATAAAGGCTTGTTGATTGTTTACACAGAAAGCAGTCCCTTTCTCCTCTATCCTTCCTCTCATACTCCCTGCTTCCAACCTTATCTTCCGCTGCATTATCCTAGGTTCTCCTCCTCTCCGTCCTTCTCTACCTTGTGCAGTAGCATCCCACGTGCAAGCAGCAACTCAACGGCTTCAGGGCCGAGCTTGTATTCAACCCCCTCACCTCCTCCGCTCCATGCGAATTTGGGGCCTGAGGGTGTGCCGCCAGAAGACTGCTGTGGACGCAGTTGAGGATGCGAAGTCGCCTCGCTCTTGGGGACCTCCTTAATAGGAGCAGGAGGAGGCCCGGTCGTGTTCGAGACGGTTCCGACAGGTGGCTGAGGGGTCGATGTAGGAGGAGGAGAGGGCTGAGACGCAGCTGCAGTCTGAGCCGGAATGGGTCGTGGGAAGGGGGGAAGAGGGTGTCCCCTAAGAAGCGCCTCCGCTTGCACCGCGACGTGAGGAAAGGTTACAGCGAACTCTCCTGGATACCCTACGGATGTCAGGCTCTGAGATCGCGGACACGAGCATCGAATGGGGCTTACAGAAAGAGCGGAAGGTGGCAACATCTGCCCATAATTCGACGAAGGCACCTTACTGACCCAGAGGAATGACTACGCCAGCCTGTGCCATGCACTGCAAGGCGACCGTCTTGAAGTCGTCGTGCTTGCTGTCCACATTGCCCGAGTAGACCAGGGCGCCAAGCTCCGCATGATTCGGAGGTTCGGTTCGGACATGGGTCTTGGCATACTCCTTGATGCCAGACAAAAGACAAGAGTAGAGTGCCATCTTGGCGGTTGTGGTTGCTGTTGCAGCCCGTCTGATGTTTGTTGTTGATGGAAGAGGAAGATCACGCAAGACCGAAGGATTTTTAAGACGCCTTTCGTAGGCGATTTTTTATCGAGCGTGGAGCTCCTGGTCTATGACTCATAAAGCACGTCACCGCGTGTCAGAGCAGAGGCGGAGCCATTCAAACAACCTCCTCGGCAATGGGACAGCGAGGTGAATGTGGTATTTCCCGAGCAGGACATCTCCCAGAGCAATTTCCGGCAACACTCGGGGCGTTTATTGTATTTTTGCTGTAGCTGAGTTGATTGAATGTACCAAGCGTTTCACTCGTGATGGCAATTTTATAGAATGCTACGAGCATAAATACAGATGTGTACAGACGTATGTTGAAGGTTTCCCAAAGGGGTCAATTTCTTTCTACTGTTCAACCTGGGGTCCATCTGAATTTAGCGGACTTCTTTTCTATCTCCTCCACTTGTCAATGCTTTCGCATGAAATTTAGCCTTTCCATATTGGTGGTATCTCCTCGAGAAGACTTTATACCGGGCACATCACAGTGCAAAATATTGTAAGACCAATAGCGCCACAAATTGGGATTAAGACTTCATTGACCAAAGCTAAGTACCTTATGCTTTAGAAGTCTTTCATTGACCCAGGCTACATCAGATTTTGCCTTTGTTTAATCCTGCCCCCTGAATCTCACGAGGTGATGTTGACTCCAAGTCGCTTAGCGCGGGCCGAGCCGCAGATTCAGCCTCGACCCCACTGTTTGCAGTCAACAAGAAGACCTGCTCACTATTTGACGTTGCCTTCAATTAGGTAAGCTTCTTTGTAGCCTTTTCACCCCGCAACCCCAGTCTCACACATAGGAGCACACCCAGAATCGGTCATGGAGGGGCGCAACCCCGTAACCATGGGTGACTTGAATGATGCGTGCGCTGATATTCCGCCCTCCAAAGAAGGTGGAGCAGTTTTGAGGAGAATTGTTGTGATAATCCGAGGCTCGAGTGTTTACGGTGCAGTTTACTCATGCTTAGCCTTAGAGTGAGGGGTGGTTGCTAGAGGGAGAAATGGCTTATTCTGTTGCCAAACTCGTGCTTTAACTTAGACTAAGGTACAAAGCAAGACCTATAGTACCAGTCATAACAAGAAAAAGAGCTTCATTTAGCAAATGAATTGATTTACTTGTAGTCTGATAAACATTCTTTTGCAAGCATTCTCTCTCTAGCGATTCATGTAACAAGTGCGGACATATGATTACTGAAAGAGCTTTTGGTCTGATAGAAACAACCTCTTGAATTCTAATATGCTGTTAATAATTGTACCAACCACTTGCGGTACAATTAAAGAGCTCCAGTCTGATTGGAAAGAGATATTTGTAGACAGGAAGAGACAAGGATGGTGAGCCTTGAGAGCAGATATCGATGTCCTGGTTGGTTTCAGAACAATGATTAGCAAAGCACTAAACATCCCCCGAATCTTGGTGACATAGAGACTGCTGAAAATGGTCATTGTACCAACAGAGAAGGAACAACAACTTTCAGAGTGAAAATTCATTGTAGCAGCTACAACAAGAACATTGAGCAATACAGATGTTGACGGAGAAGCCCGAAGATCTACCGAGCAGTATAACTTCACTCCTCGCCGCTTTTCTGATACCAATGACGGTACGGATTATAGTTAGACCACGCCGACATCGTGAATGACGGAGCACTTTCCACCATTACACCGAAACCCTCTTTCAGCCTTCCTATACTACACACAAACACAAGGGGCCACGACATTCGCGTACAATGGCTACACCACAGCAAGATCAATGTCCCGCCCAGGACCGGACCCTCGAGCTCTTGCAGCAAATCGAGGGTCTCACAGCCCAGCTCAGAACTAAACTCATCAAGGCCAAGGAGGAGAAGAAGACTGAATGTACCAGCCAAGGAGGGGACAATGGCGAGGGTATGCATTGTACCACTCAAGCCTCGAACAATGGGGGCTCGACGTGCTGACATTGTACCAACAGTCTTCTGGACATTGAGAAAAGCCAATGCCGACCTCACAAAGCAGATTAAAGATAGCGACGCCTTTCACGATAGGGTGGTCGAAATGCTAAACGATACACACGAGGAGGAGATCGAGGCTTTGGAGGCTGCTCACAAGAAGGAGCTGGAGGTGGCGAAGAGTAAGGCGGAAACCAACCAAAAAGATATCCAGAGGCGAAATGTCGAAATGAACGCTCTGAAGAAGAAGGCTGCTACGGTTGGGGAGCTACAGAGGAAGATTGGGGGGCTGGAGAAGCAGCTTTCTACACTTGGGGCGGTCGAGAAGGAGCTGACAGAGGCGAAGAAGGACTTGGTAGCCGAGAAGAAGCAAAGGGTATTCTTGCAGAAGCAAATCGATAACTTCCAAGGCAGGATAAAGCAGCTAGATAATTGGGACAGATTGCAGGAGGATTTGGCTCGGGCACTAAATGCGAGGGATGACTACAAGAAGAGATGTGAGGAGCTAGAGAAGAGAAAACGTTGATTTTATGATAGAGCTTTGGAACAATAAAGCACAACTGTATGGCGCGGAGTTGGGACAATGCAAAAGCGATTCAACCACGCAGCTCCGGGACATTAAGGCCACTGTATGTGTAACTTCTGGGACAAGCAGTATATTCAGCCCGGTGAAAGCCCTAACAAAATATGACGCTCGCTGCTCTAATCAATGTCGGGGCTAGTGGCCCGCAGTCAACAAAGCCGAATACGCCTCCCTAGAGAAAATTTTCCTGACATCCCAAATTCTCCCAAGTCACATCGAGAAAATGGAGAACTATCAAGATACCATCTCCACGCTCCAGAAAGCAATAGAGCAAGCAACAACAGTCCTCTCCCGAGCTTCAGGAGCGGAAGCAGCCCTTCAACAACGTGTACGAGCGCTTGAAGATGAATTGAGGAAGGCGAAGGAACAACAGAGCAAGGCGGCCAAAGAGATCAACGCTCTCAAAGACGATAATGCCGAACTAAAAGACGACATCCGAGAAGCCCACACCGAAATCAAACTACTCTCTCAAGACCAGGAGCTACTTCAAAAAGAGCTCGACCTCGAAAGAAGTTCCAACAAGCGATTACAAAATGAACTGAGGGAATTCGAAAACAACCGTCCAGAAGACTTTCAGCATCTGGACGAGATCCTCGGCACGCTCGATGAGAAGCGGAAGCAATGTAAACAACTCGAGAAGCAGCTTCAGGTCACGAAATTGACCGAACAACAGCTTGAACATAGCAAGGCGACAATAGAGAAGCTCACAGGTCGGATCTGGGGGCTCAAAGATGAACGGGATCTGAAGGAACCGCTGGTCCAAACAGCAGTTGCTACTCGCTCCCGTTTCATGTTACAGGCCAGAGAGAAGCTTTCTCGGGATCTGGGTGAAGACCTTGACACTGAGTACGTCAAACTTGGTGATTCAGCAGCTCACAGAGGAGATGGATTGGCTGATGAAGCTCTTCTGCTTGCTGGATTCCTGGACAGTGAACGATGGGCCAGCATATTTGAGGAGCTCTACGGGACAAAGCTTGGAGAGTTTGCGGATGTTCCTCGTGGTCTCCGAAGAGCGAAGGATTGCGAGGTAACAATTAGAGTCGTCCAGTCTGTCAGAGGGGCACGTCCATCTTTCCAAGTACGATCCGAGGCGGGGGGCACGATATTGGCAATCACGAAGGAGTACGAAAAGGATGGCGATGGCGCAGAAAGTAGCTCGATTGTCCAAAACTCGATTCAGAGAGTAGAGCAGTTGACGGAGGAGATTGTCGAAAGCGCGCGCGGTAGGCTTGCTGATCGGATCTTCTCTGAACCCATTGAGAAATCTTGATGCGCCGGAAGTATCTGGGGGATCGTGGAAGGTTTGGAATCCATTGCTCTGGAAGCATTGGGAACGTTGAACGTGGAAGATTAAGACCTTGGTTCTCTGCTTGGGCATCTGTCGGTTGACCTGGCACCAGCAGCGTCTCTAGATCTGACCGCAGTTGGGATTGTCTTGTAGGAATACGATACAATGGCTTCATGTCTCCGGTTTAGAAGCTTCAATGGATGGAAAGCCCCCGGACAATGACTGAAATTGATCGCGCAGTGATGTTCGAAGTGAAGTGTCGTTTGCAGCCTCGGATCAGGCCACCAAACAGCAAGCGAGGAAGGCGCTGGTGGGCGGGATGTTGATAGCCTCCTCCTCACCAATCAAATTTCTTTGACTCTCCAATTCTCTCGACACCACACCGTCAACCCATCCGAAACCTCTCTCAATCCTTCAACAAATACCCCTCCTGCATCTCCCAACCTTTACAAACCCGACCCGTCCGATCTCGTTGCCACTGACATTTCCCCAACAGTCTAATCTCACCATGAGTCGAGAACGCCCCCTCCAAGGCGGCTGCTCTTGCGGACGAAACCGCTACATCATCCAGATCCCCCAAGATGCGACAGAACGACCACAGGTCTTCTTCGACCACAGCCACTCTCACCGTAGGCGCTACCCCTTCTCCCGTTTCACAATGCAAAGCTGACAAGAATCCCCAATAGGCCGATCCCAGGCAACCCCTATCTCCGCCTGGCTCCGAGTTCCCCTCTCCTGGTACCAATCTACGACCTTTGCCTTCTTCGATGACGAAACGAATGCTACGATTCGTCGAGCGTATACCTCGCCCCAAGAACAGAGCAGCAAGCGCCACTTTTGCGGCTTCTGCGGAACACCACTGTCATATTGGTCTGAATCGCCTCCTTCGGAGGCAGACTACATCTCTCTTACGCTAGGCTCGCTCTCTGGTGAAGATCTACGGGATCTAGAAGAACTGGATCTGCTGCCGAAGGAGGCTGTTGAGGACGCAGAACATGACAACGAGAAGATTGAGAACGTTCCGTTTACCGGGAGCAATGATGCCAAGGAGGGCCTCCCATGGTTCGAGAGTTTGGTACAGGGCAGCAAACTGGGCAATATGCGGAGAAGTTGGGGCTCGAGACAGAGTGGCAATGGCAGATTCAAGGTGGAGTGGGAGATTATGGAGTGGACAGACGAAAATGATAGGGAGGCCACTTCTTCCGCGAAGAGAAAAATTGGTGAGGTAGAGGAGAGCGACGCACATATGGAGGGTGCTCATTGAGTGCAAGAATAGGCTGCTGGGAGACTTAAAGGAGTTACGATGTCACGACTGTTTCGGGATGGGAGATATTGTGGTTGTAATGATGGAGACCTGGTACAGTACTAAAAGGTTGTTACCAAGGACACTTCGCTGGATTTGCTTTTCTTTGCTTGCTGCATGGATTTCTTTGGGTGGATATGCTGGGATAGGAAAATGGGAGGCAATTGCAGCATGGCATGGAGTTTATCAGCAATATCTTGCGTGGCTTAATAAGGACACACTGTAGACCAGAAAATCAAGAGCGTTGTTTTCTGAAAAGTCCCCACACATCGCCCGATAATTCCACCAACATCATCAGATCTTCTCAGCAACTGCTCACCTCGCACAAACAAAGCACGAAGGCAACGCCTCTTCACGTGAGGAAGCTATTCCCATTACAAAAGCCGCCAGCCTTCTTCCGGCGGGGTCGAGGGCCGCCTCTCCGCGCAAACAAACTCCACCATGCGTGCCCAAGCAGCCTCCGTACCCGCCATCTGGCCGTGAACCACCACCGTGGGGCGCACACCACGGAATATCGTCAACGCCTCTGGTCCCTGAGCTAACCGTTGATCCGGTATGCGGTCCGAAACCGACGTTTGTTTGGAATAGGTGCGCTGCAGCTGCTATAGGTATACGAGGGGCATATGAGGGTCCCGCAGATCACAGCATGAACTTAAAACCATCCCACTTCCCCTTTCTTCCTCTCATTTTCCTTCCCTCTGTCTTCTCTTCCACTGCTCCAATACTTCAATTGCAATTGAAGCATCAATTGGCCTCTATTCTCTTACCCAAAGTATAACTACCGGCGGGGTCAATCAGGATGGCAGACACAACACCCGTTCTCCCCAAAGACTTCCTCTGGGGCTTCGCAACAGCAAGGTACCACCACCTTCCTCCTTCCCTCCAATGGATCAACTGACACCTTTCACAGTTACCAAATCGAAGGCGCCCCCACCGCCGACGGTCGTGGTCCCTCCATCTGGGACACCTTCTGCGCGCGCCCCGGGAAAATTGCAGACGGTTCCTCGGGAGCCGTAGCCTGCGACTCGTACAACCGCACCTCCGAAGACATCGCCCTTTTGAAACTCACCGGGGCGAAAGCCTACCGCTTCTCCATTTCGTGGAGTCGGATCATCCCTTTGGGAGGCCGCAACGACCCGATCAACCCTGCCGGCATAGCTTTCTACAAGAAGTTCGTAGATGATTTGCTTGCAGAGGGGATAATTCCATTCGTGACGCTCTTTCATTGGGATTTACCGGATGAGTTGGATAAACGGTATGGAGGGCCGCTGAACAAGGAAGAGTTTTGTGCGGATTTTGGACACTATGCTAGGACCCTGTTTGAAGCAATCCCAAAGGTGAAGCATTGGATTACGTTTAATGAGCCGTGGTGCAGTGCCATTTTGGGGTATAATACGGGCTTGTTTGCACCAGGGCATACAAGCGATAGGAGCAAGAGTGAGGTGGGTGATAGTTCGACTGAGTGTTGGATTGTAGGGCATAGTTTGCTGCTTGCTCATGGCACGGCGGTGAAGATTTATAGGGAGGAGTTTAAAGAGAAGGCAGGCGGTGAAATTGGGATTACTCTGAATGGTATGTCCCCTTTTCCTCTCAATTGAAAGCAGAAACTGAAGATTTGTGATAGGAGATGCAGTATACCCCTGGGACCCAGAAGACCCCCTCGACGTCGAAGCCGCAGAGCGCAAACTCGAGTTCTCCATCTCTTGGTTCGCAGACCCCGTCTACTTCGGACACTACCCCGAATCCATGGTAAGTTCACTGTCGTCCGAAATCTTCCTCCCATTTTCCCTGAGACCTTTAGCCCTCTCCGCCTTATCCCCACACATCACTTCACGCCACTAACACGCCTCAGGTGAAGCAACTCGGCGCCCGCCTCCCAACCTTCACCCCCGAAGAAGCCGCCCTCGTCAAAGGCAGCAACGATTTCTACGGCATGAACCACTACACCGCCAACTACATCAAACACAAAACCACCACCCCCGACCCCTTCGACTTTCTCGGCAACCTAGAAACCCTCTTCATCTCGAAATCCGGCGCCTGCATCGGTCCAGAAACGCAATCATTCTGGCTACGTCCCAACCCCCAAGGCTTCCGGGATCTCTTAAACTGGCTCTCAAAACGCTACAACCACCCGAAAATCTACTGCACCGAAAACGGCACCTCGCTCAAAGGCGAGAATGATCTGCCGCTTGAGAAGATTCTCGAAGACGACTTTAGGGTTGAGTATTTCAGGGGATATATTGACGCGTTAGGTAAGGCTGTTGCGGAAGACGGTGTCAATGTTAGGGCTTATCTGGCATGGAGTCTGATGGATAACTTCGAGTGGGCTGAAGGCTATGAGACGCGGTTTGGGGTCACGTTTGTCGATTATGAGGGTGGGCAGAAGAGGTTCCCGAAGAAGAGCGCGAAGAGTGTGGGGCCCATGTTTGAGGCGTTGATTAAGAAGGAGTAGGTGATGCCAGAGGAGGGGATGGGGTTGGGCGTGTTTCACTGTTCAAAAGGGGAATTGCAAATTAGTTGAATAGATCTTTTTGGTACAAGTAGAGCATCAGCTGCGATTTTAAGCTGTGCGTGACTGCAGTACAGCACATCTATTATCTATCGTCTATGTTTTCCGCTCAGATCTCCCCTCTGAGCAGGATCTATGCCATACAATGCAAACCCTGAATATTCCATGACATCTCCCTAGCCAGGCTCTCCAAGAGTTCAGGATCTTGAAATCCTTGCTTTCAGTCGATAGTGCCCAAAACCTCCACTTCATCACCACCAGCATAATGACTATGCTTGTTCTTCCGTGGCTTCTTCGGAGCAGCCTTCTTCTTCCCCTTCGCAGCTGGAGTCTCAGCACTCCTGCTGCTCCCAGCAGGCTCTCTGTTCTCCTTTGCGCTCTCGCCACCGGTTGCTCTCCCAGGCTCATCCTCTTCATTATCACTAAGCTCCACAGTCGCCAAGATACGTCGAGCAGCAGCACTAGTAGCTTGGATGGCTTCCTTCTTCTTCCTCGTGTCCTCAGCCCTGGCAGCTTCCTGCTTGCTTTGCTCCGCCATTTGCTCTTGATCATACTCCTCTCTCTCCTTGTCAATATCTGCAACATCCACCAACTGAATCGAAGACAACTTCTGGAAGTGCTCGAGATCGATAGGTTTCTTGGGTTGCGTCATGGCTTTTGTAATTTTGTGTGGGTTGTTTCTCTCTTCTTTGTTGAACTTTAGCTTGATTTGTCGTCTGTTGCGGTGCGGGAAGTAGCTGGCTATCATCTCAAAATCGGTGCCATGTGCTTGCAGGCACTCGTAGAAGAGCTGGTTGGCTGCATGGTCCCAAACTTGAGAACGTTCCATCTTCATCCAGGTTCCTGAGGTGATAACTCGGGTGAAGTCGTTCTCTTCGACCTCCGTCATCTCCAGTCGCTGGGCTTGGGCATTCTTCTGTCGATCGATTTGTAGGGTGCGTTCATCCATGACAATTTGGCCGTCGATGATTCGCATTTGCGGTCCAGCGGGTGCTGGTACTTCTTGTACTTCTAGTGTTGCTGGTTGAGCTGCATTTGTTCCCGATGGCCCAGCTTCCCCCACTTCGCCAGCCTCCCCAGATGCAGCATTGTCCTCGGCATCCATGAGAGGGATCAGCTCTGGATGGTCCTTTCGTAATTTTGCGCGGGCTAGATCTGCCTTCTTCTTCATTTGTCGAGCTTTTATCTCGCCATGCATGCTGAATGGCCGTCCAATCTTAAGGTCCTTGCATAGATCCGACATGGTCATGTTCTCTCTATCGATTTCTTCTTCCTCTGCGCCTTCGGGGGTTGTCGCACGTTGCTTCCTCTCCCGGGGTCCATCCGCCTTTCTACGGGCTCTTCTTTGGCCCTTCTGCCGACGAGGCTTGATCAGTTGCATCTCAACCGTCGCTCGACCATCATCACCAATCTCAGGTGCCTGAACCTTCTTTCGTTTGGTATATTTCCTCTTCCCCTTCTTTGTTGTCTTCTCCGTACCTGAAGCGGCCTCCTCCAGGATACCGCCAGATGTACCATCAGGGTTCAATACTCCCCTAGGTACAATCTCCGAAAGGTGCGCTGATTGTGTAATTCTTCCAGCGGCACCAATATCTCCTGCCGCGCCTAAACCAGATCCATTCCCTCCAGCCGGCCCCATACTGCCCAACCTAGCTGCTGGATCATCAACAATCCGGGCGATCTGCATACCCTCAGGCGATGGGTATCTGTGTGCTGGTGCCTGAAAGGTAGGTTCGCAGGATGATTGCGATTCCTCGTCTTCATTTTTCTCTGCTGTCGTGTCCTCAGCCACTGCCTCAGAGGGCTCTCGTGCTTGTTGTTCTGATGACTCAACTCGTTCATTTGGGACTAGAGAAGCGGCTCTTCGAGTTGCTTCTTCATTTTGCGTTTGTTGGGGGATTTCGGATTCGGTAGTAGATTGTTCTCGAGATTCCACATTTGTAGAGCTTCGTTTTGCTGGAGGTTCGACATTGCCCTCCTCTTGTTCCTTCCGCTTTAGGCTGTTTCCTTGGGTGCTGGGTGTATCATTGCTAGTGGGATGTGAATGAGCTCCGGGGTCTGCTGGTGTGGTTGCCGCCGGTGTGGGCAACGCTTCAGCTCTCTCGATGTTTGTTGGAACTCGTTTTGCTGATGGCTCGGGTACTTCTTCATCTCGAGTCTTCCGCTTTCGTGTGTCTGGACTTGGGTGTCGGTGCGTCGATGCATCTGGGAGAGGTTTTCTTGGTTGACTCGACTCCTCCTGTGATGCAACTTGCGCAACTGGAGCACTCGATTCGGCACTTTCTGCGACAGCTCCGTCCTCGACGACTGAAACAACACTCTCTTGTCTTGGTGCTGGGGTTTGCGATTGTCGTTCAACGCTTGGTCGCGCAGATGATGGCGCAGCGGAAGGCTGTCTTCGAACGATGCCCTTCGCCTTGGGCGCAAAGATCTTTCCTCTGTTCTTCAACATGGTGGCGGTTATCGAATCAGCATCGTATGGCGAAGACAGGTCCTATGCGACCGAGTCCGAGATGCGCTGACGGCGAATTGAGTTGTGGTTGGGTTTGAGATGGAGGGGTTCTCTAGATTGAGTCAAGAGGTCGAGACGAGGCTTGGAATTCGCGAAGTTGGAGTCCGGAAGCGGCTAGCGCTGGCGTTGATTTTAGCGGGTTCGAAAAGAGAACAAGGAGCGATCTTTGACGACTTCCTCCTCATGGTCAACTCTCCCCAAACACGACTCTGCACAGGCTCAACACTCCGGCTTGCTGCAGTGATCGCAGCAGGTCTTGCATTCCTTCCAGTCTCTCTGTCTCATGTGCCTTCTGGCCTGCCCAGTCTGATGACGATTTCAACGCCCCTTCACCCATCTCACCCATCCTTCATCAAGATGGAGGATAGGAAGAGATCAGCCGGCGATGATCTCGCACCGCCTACAAAGAGACAAGCCGTGAATGGCAAGGCATCTGCGGATGCTGATTTGCCATGGGCCAGCGACCTCGAGGTATGTTATTGTCGTCACCGCCGTTCTCATATCCATCAGCACAAGCCCCCCTGGATTCATCCATTCCTCCCGTCTTCGAGATGTCAGATGCACACATCCTGAGTACCACTGCGTATGATCTATCGGGCTGGTGCTAATGCGCAGCTTGCTGTACGCAGCATGTTGCATAGCTTGCAGACTTCACCGTCATGTATTCGTACATTACCACCCATACCTCCATACATATCTTGTCCGATCAATCCATACTGCGGAGGGAATGACTTGCTGACGTTGCCGTGTCGTAGAAATACCAAAAGGATGCTATCCTTCGCCAGATGCGTGAATATAAGCGCGAGAAAGATACCTTAGAATCACACTTGCGAGAGGTGCAGAAGAAATCGGTTGACCATGATGATCACATCCGCGTGATCAATACTTGGTGGGACCAGGTGTGTAGATTTCCCATTCTCGATCTGCCGGCGCGGGCTAATATATCTGCATAGTTACTCGACGAAGTCAAGCTTCTGGTTGAAGATGAGATACCGTCTAATGATGATATTGAAGGTCAGTCCAGTGGCCAAGGGTCGGAACCACCACTTACGCAATCCACAGCAACCTTTCCCACTGCATTAAGTTTCAAGGGCAGCGAGGACTTCCAACAGCATTTGGCATCTAGAGCGAAGCAGATAAAGTCCAAGCTTTCGTCTATTTTCACAAATCTTAGCAGCGTTCGAGGCAAGCCGTCTTCGGATGTCCATGAACTTCAAAAAAAGCTTTCCTCACTCCTCGGAGCCCAAAAAGAATATCTCACCAAACTTGAGAGATTGAAGAGTGAGAGGGATGATCTTAGCGACCGCCTAGAGACAGCCTCACTCCGATACATCAAAGCCGAGAAGAGGCTGGACCGGGCCAAGAGCAGTGTCGTCGCCAAGTTGGAACAGCAAGCCATTGCTGGTTCAAGCAGCGGCAACGGAGCAGTCCAGAATGGGAGCGATGTTGAAATGACCGATAATCTTTCCGAGGAGAACGAAGCAAATCAGACCGCGTACAAGGAGGCCGCAGCCGTTGTTGCCAAGCAAAAAGAGCAGTTAGAAGCAATCATGACGGAAAATAAATCCCTGACCGAACAACTCAGCGCAGCGAATACTCGACTCTCCAATCTGAACGAAGATGACTATGCACGAACAGAGCTATTCAAGCAATTCCGACTACAGCACGAAGATGTGATCCGGCGCATCAACCATCTGGAGGCCACAAACATCCAATTGCGGGAGGAAGCCGAGAAATACCAAGCCGAGAGGACTGCATACCGGGCACAAATAGAGAACGAGGCAGAAGTAGTGACGGGGGAGCTGGAAAGCCAAGTACAAAGAATGGAAGCAGATCTCACCAGAATCCGGTCTACGAGGGACGAATTACTTGCTGATTTGAGCATGCGAAAGGCCAGTTCGGAACAAGACAAGACCTCCAGTGACCACTTAAATGAACTTATCTCAGCAAAAGACGATCGCATCACCTCTCTGGAGGCAGAAGTCGAGCGTTTGCGAGCCCGGGCTGAGGAAGAATCCTTGCCTCCAAGAGCCGCGATCGAGGCGCTGGACCTGCAGCAACTACGGCAAAAGTATGAGAGTCTGGAACGGCAGTTTGAGGCTATCGAGCGAGAATTGCCAGGTCTACAAACGGCATACAAGAAAGTCCAAACCTTATCGACGAAGAAGGTTATGGACTTCACCACACTGGAGGAGAAGGTCCAAATCCTTCACGCGGAGAAAGCAAAGGCTGATCAAAAGTATTTTGCTGCCCGCAAGGATATGGATACCAGGATTCTCGAAGTCAGATCACTGAAGATTCAGAATCAAAAGAGTTCAGAGATCATTCAGCAGTTGAAGGAAGTTGAGACGGCCAACCGAAACCTCCTCAGCAATCTCGAGAAGCAGTTGAGCGATATCAGACAAGCCAACGCATCCATCATCACCGAGCACAAGAAGATGGAGTCGACAAGCAGAGAAGCTACCAGCAAAGCCGAGACCTTGAAGAATCAGGTCACCGAACTCACCAACTTGATCAAAGCCAAGGATGCAAACAACCTCAACACCAAGCAGCGGATCCATGATGTCGAGATCGAATTGGAGCAAATTCGGGTGAAGTATGAGCAGGCACAGAAGGATAGGGACACATGGAAGACCAAGAGCCTAAGCAATCAATCAGGCGAGGAAGAAATGCTTAGAGTAAGTTCCAATGCCCAGGGGTCTCTTTCCTTACTAACGATGCTAGACTCTTGCTCTGTGCACTATTTGCCGGAACAACTTCAAGAACGTCGCCATCAAGACGTGTGGTCATACTTTCTGCAACAACTGTGTTGAAGATCGTATTGCCAACCGGATGCGCAAGTGTCCCAATTGTTCGAAGCCTTTCGACAAATCGGACGTCATGACAATCCACATGTGATTGATGAAATAGCTCTGCCATCTCCGCTTGGTTGTTTGGTATAGGACTTCACGTTTTCAGCGTTTAATGAGACCGCACTTTGGTCGTGTATGATTGCATAAACCGGATGGAAAGGATTGGCTTGCTTCTGCATGGCTCATATGAAGATGAGATTTATTCCCTCTGTAAAAAAGTCTTTTTCTTTTCCACCATCACACCGCGAAAGGTGTTTCCGCTGTCATCCCTTTGGGAATCACCCAGATTGTTGGGTACAGTGTTTGTAGAGCTAGAAGACCACGAATTACCCAATTACCTTCTTGACGTCGAACCAAACCCTGTGCTCTCATGCCTCGCAGAAGAGCTTGAGCTTGACCCGCTCCGTCCGGGAGCGTTGTTAGAGCCGCCGGAATCTCCACCGAACCAAGAATTGCCTCTCTGTGGCGCAGGTTCTTGCCTATTCCCCCTATTCCCAGCCATGTATCCAGCAGCAGCTCCTCCAAGAGCTCCAGACCAGAATCCAGGTCTCCAGCCATCTGCTGCCCCGTAACCGTACCTCTTGCCCGGATACGTCCCTGGATACGGAGGCGGAGGGTCATATGGATCACCACCACCGGGTCCTCCGCCTCCCCACCCACCTCCCCAAAATCCGCCTGGTCGTTGTCTAGGAATTCGTCTTGCACCCGGAGCAGCCTGGAACGCCGAATAAATAATCCAACCCAGCACTCCCAAGAAAACCAGTACAAAAAGCACACTACCCCAAGTCCATCCCTCTTCATCTCCGCCGGATTTTGGTTTCGAACCCCAAAATCCTCCACTCCCATACTTCTCCTCCCCAAGGTCCGTCAAGAGCAGTCTATACTCCACCCCACAGCTGCCCTTCAAAATGTACTCATCATCCCGGTTCCGATAACCCTCACACACCACATCCGTACTCCCCAGCTTGAACTCAGGCGGTAAACTCGCGGTACAGCTCCACTCCACATCCTCACTATTATACGCTGAGCCCTGGTTTGTGCACCGCATGACGTCTACTTTGTAGTGTGCGCATCCTGGGCCTCTGCAGGTTAGTTGCGGGATGGCGGAGACCCTGCGTTGAGATGTTTTGGCGTTGTTGCGCAAGGTGAGGGTCTTTACTTGCGAGAGGAGAATGGCGTCTTTGGCGGGGGGTTTCTTTGCGCCCTCAGTGACGGAAGAGAAGAAGAGGGCCAGGAGGGCGGGGTAGAGGAAGGGGAGGCGCATTTTGGTGTTTTTGGATTGCTGGTGTTGAGTTCGAGGTTGGTGATGCAGGTTCGACTGCGAGAGAGAGTCTTAGGCCATGAAGAAGATGGGAAAGGGCGAGGAAGATGTCTCGTGTGGAGGGGTGGAAAGGACAGATTGCGTCGTAGCCTGACTGGCTTGATGGCGTCGCCACAAGAACACAGCCTTGCCTGAGAGTGTTTTCTAGTCCTTTCACCGCCTTGCAGGGGTAGCTATTCTGCCACAACCTCTGCAAACCGAAGCTCAACATGAGACCGTTCTCATGTCTGCATGAATCACTCATCATGCGCCAACGAATCACCTACCTGCAGGAGCCACAAGATGCGATCGATCCAAGCACACTGAAAGTAACGAAGAACTCGATATCGACCAAGAGTATCACAGCCGCGAAGGAAGAAAAGTTAACGTTCAGTCTTGAGGAACTTCCGCAGGAGTTAGTCAAAGTGTTGGAGGATAGTCATGAGTTGCATATAAGATGGGTTAGCGAGACGTCTTATGGTGCGATTGTGCCGTTGGTGTCGAGGTTGAGTCCTGGATTGCATGTGTTCTATACTCCGCAGAGGAATAGTAATACTTCGTACGTTTTCCCTGTCAAGAACAAAGGGGAGTGCTGATTAAATGCAGAGAGTTGCTATGTCCAATGCTGAAGAAGGCTTTTTCAAAATTGCTGGATTGCAAATCCCCTGAGGTAATTCGAAGTCCTATAGGGAGTCGTTCAATTCTAAGTTGCCAACAAGGATTCCTTCACAGCTCTGCCTGTTGAACGCTTCTCTCACTCCGCGGCCCTACAATACTACGCACCTCTTCCGAGTCTCCCGCAACTAGTAATGTATGTCCTCGAAAATGTTTGCGATACAGGCCCCACTTCCCATCGAGTAGAATGCGAGGCTCGCGCTGTTGGACTCATATCAGCCTCATACGTCGACTTAAACTACGACACCATCTCCCACGCCTTCACACTCACCGCTTTCTTCCCGCCCCAAGCGCAAAACATGTCCCTCACAAACCTCTCCCCAGGCTCTTCGAGATTAGAAGTCGGCATCCTGTCAATCGAGAAGCCCCTCGAGGTGGAAGAGCTCAGCCTCGGTGGCTTCCTCACAGTGGTTGGAGAAGATCACAAACCCTCACCAACGCTCTTCTCCTTCCCCTCCAGGCACCACCCCACCTCTCAATTCTTCACCTCATCCTTCAAGCTCCCAACCGGTCTCCACCCAACTCTGCAACTAAACATCACAGACGCCGTTCCCCCAATGGCTGACCGAAGCTGTTCTCTGCACGCACACCTCACACTCCCGAAACAGATATTCGCAGATAAATACCAGCTCTTCGACCCGCTATTTATGTCGTCTAAGGGCTTGAAAAAGGTACACTATATTACCTCACCCGTGGATCTCGAAGCCCCAGAGTACGCGGTGGATAGCTGGGGTTCGTCGCTGCTTGTCGAACTCGCTCCTCTCACTACCACGTTCTCCTCTTCCCTCTCAATGGCGGAAATCCCCCTACATCTGAGATATTTACGTCCCAATGAAAAGAAGGGAGGACAAGAGAAGACTGAGATCCCGTATCCGGTTCTATTCTGGGCTTGTACTGCGGATGAGGGGAGTAAGTTCCCGATTAACCCTTTTGATCGTGTGAATCTTGGTTATGATGGGTTATTTGGGCCGAGGACGATCTTTTGGCACTTGAATCCTGAGGTTGGAGGGAATGGAGAGAGATTGGTGAGTGGGCTCAGTGTGCCGGTGCTGGATTTGGATGGGAGTCGGTGGGTGGAGAGCGGCACGGCGTGGGTTGTGGGGTTGGGATTTTTGTGGGTGCTGTGGTGTTTGTGGGGTGTTTGGAGGAGGAGTGGGTTTGGGAGTGGGAGGGTAGAAGTTGGGAAGGAGAAGAAGAGGCAGTGAATAGTGAGTAGTTATGAATAGATTGTATGAAAAGGTGGCCTTCGGTATAACTAGGCATGTGAAATGAGATATGAGTCAGGGAAGGCAAAGGTCCCAAGCCATTGTTGTAATTTTCATTGCTGCAGTCGGCAACATCCTCATTGTACCAGAAGGCCGTGGAACATTAATACAGGTGTACAACAAAAGTCCGATTTTGAGATTCATTTTCAGCTTATTACTGCGACGAAATCTCATGGTACCCGAAATTCCTGGGACATCAACGTGATGTACACTTAATTCATTTTCATCCCTATACATCAGATGAAAGGCTTCCTGAGAGTGGGCATTGGACATTTCAGTGTGGGGGGAATGAACCAAAGCAATACGATAATCAAGGACGCATGGTGAATCCAAGGGTTCTCTGAAACTCAAGGGTAGGGTCCTGTGAAGAATCAAGCCTGCTGTGATTCAAACGTAAAGCCTGGCGTACCTATAAGCACAAGCTTCACTCCCGTCCCGGACCAATGGCTATTGTTTCTGCAGCCTGTCTTCGTTCTCTTCTCCCCATTCTCACCGTGCGAGCCACACTCGGTCAATCGTACTTTGATTTCCGGGTTCAAGGATAGCTCAATACTCCAACCCGACATAACTCCCGCTCCTCACCAAGCCCCGCTCTCGACTCAGACTCCTCCTCTCCTCTCTCGTCGGCTCCTCCGTCGGGACCATCTCACCAGGCAACTCCACCTCATCTTTAATCCGGCTCGTCAACCACGCTGCCACAAGCGTACTAATACCGCCTGCAGCCAGCACGACGGCAATACTCCGATCTCCCGGCGTACCTCTCGGTTTCTGGAGGAATTTGAAGATAATGCTGCTCCCAATCGTGGCCAAGATCTGCGGTGCAGCGATCGCCATATTGTGGATACCAAGAATAACACCCGCTTGGTCCTCTTTGACATCGAGAGAGGATTCCGGGTCGTCGGTGCGATTTTGGAAGCGGGATTGGGATTGCCGTGCTCGGCGAAGGGCGTCACGTTTGCTGACTTCGGCAGAGATGATAGCGAAGGGGGCCCAGAGGGTAAGAGCCCATGAGATTCCGACTATGCCAATTAGAGCGGTAGCTGCAGCAACGCTGCGCACGATGAGAGTGCTGAACATGCAACTTGCGAAGATTAGGTGGGAGCCGAGCCACGCTCGGCGGAGAGTGAGGCCTGGGATGACGAGGATGTCGAGGAAGCGGGAGAAGCGGGTTGTGTAGGATCTGTTTGAGTGGAATGAGGAGGTGGAATCATAGGCCGGTGCGTCGTAGGTAGGAGCGATGAAGAAGGGGAGGAGAACATTGGTTGCCAGGGAGGTGATGGCATATACTAGGAGGGCAAAAGTACCTACTCGCGTGGCCTTTTCGTAGAGTCGGTCGAGTTCCTCGGGGCTCATGTTGGGGTTAGTTTCGAGGGCAGGTTGAACATAGATGTCGGCTATGTATGAGGTTGAGTAGAATAGTTGAGGGAAGAATCCAATCCAGGCGAAGAACTGGACTTCGCAGACTTTGCGAGTTTGAGGAGGGAGCCGACGGATAGAGCGGAAGACAGTGGAGAAAAAAGCAATGATGCCGCCTTTTGTTTTGGGTGCTGCGGCCTCGAGGCGAGGATCTCGTTCTTTGATTGTCATGATGCTGATGGCTACCGTGCTTCCCAGAGCAAGGCAAGCTATCACGCAGAGGATCTTGAATTGCGTGTTTCCAAAGAACCACATGTATTTGGGAAGATCGAGGAAGCCGGCAAGATATCCAATGATATTGCCAATACCGATGATGCGACTTGCCATTGAATTGGCAGCCTCTGGGAGATGTGAGATTTGAAATTGGTGATGGTCAGGAAACATACCTTGTTGATGACTTGGAGCACAGTCTAATATGAACGCTCTAATGCCAGCTTGAACTGCAAAAGGTTAGCATAAAGTAATTAACATAGAAACAAGGACCTGCCAGTGTTGATTGAAAAGTCTAGAATATATACCCACAAAACCGCAAACACAATAATAGAAACCTTGACACCTTGTGATGCTCTATCCGCCCCAAAAATTGAGAGGAAACCACCAACAATCTCTCGCGCCCATGCAAGAGCAAGGAGAGAAATGATCGTTGCAGCAGAACCTGCAATCATAAACGGAGTCCGCTTCCCCCATGGTGATCTGCAGTTATCACTGAGAATCCCTACATAGGGTTGTACCAGAGCCCCGGACAGAGGTCCTGCTATCCAAACCAAAGCCATGAGAGACTTGCTCAAGCCCAGAGATAACAGATATGGCGTCCCATTCGAGAGTTCCACCGCCCATGCCAGTTGTAAACCCCCAATACTTATCGTCAGAAGTATCATGTACCATAAACTCTTCGTATCGTGGTAGTCATCATGGTCGTCATCATGGCCGTCATCCAGCCCGCCATTATCGACAATGAGATCGTCATCTTCTGCGTCTCCTGATGCTGACAGTAACGGTGACTCTTCGTGTATGGGCTTAGAGGTCCCTTCAGCGTTTGTTGGTGTCTCGCCGGATAGGGTGGGGGATGTCTCCTTCGCATCTTCTGCCTCGTCCGCGCGAGAGGGCCCACCTCCATCCGCCATCGTTCCGTATACACCAGTTACTGCCCGTGCAGACTCCAGATTTCTTTGCTGACAGCCTTGTATGGATTTTGTTCAGTTGTTCGAGCTTCTGGGCCGAAGGTGGGGGTTGTGACAAGCTTCACTGTCGCAGGATCGATTCGCAGACCGATATCTGTTTTTCTGCCCAAAATACACAGCTTGTAAGGAGGACTGCTGATCCTCCCGGGTTGCACGCTGTCACGCGGTCGAGGCTGCGTTGCACATGGCGATTGGCGATTCGAGGTTGGAGCTTCACAAGCACGCTGGGTCGTGTGGATCAATGTCTCGGTGGAGTAAGACAGAGGCGAGGTAAAGGACAGTTGGATTTGAGGGAGATCACAGAGTCAGGTCATGTCAGCGTCGTTCGAAACAAGACGCTGCGTATTTCGAGGCGGAGACCCTTCTTGCGCCTGCAGGGATCTCGAGTGACGTTCTTGCCGTGCCTTGTCCGCCAAATCGAGACTCTGGGGAAGAATTCAAGAGTTCGCTTGCGCCGGAACATCGAAAGTTGGGACGAGGACGAGACGAGGAGAATTGACGGCTGAGACGAAACCTCCATGCGAATCTGCATCCCTCGCATCGTCGCAGATCTCTTTCGACTTCTTCTATCTTCATCAACCTCGCCCAGCTCCATCACCGAGCTCTCCGCCCTCGATTCGATATTCGTCATTGCGGCTCTTTCTCCTTCCCGAACTGTCAAATTGGAAATCTGGCAACCTGGCGGCTAGCCCTCCACCATTGCGTACACTCCACCTGACACGTCTGGTCGCGCCGGCAGATCCTCTGCTCGGAGATCCGTCGCGAATAGTTACATGTGTCCTCCCCTCCTCTACCGCTGCTCGTCGTTGAGCCACGACTCGACCTCCAAGCAAGTTCTCCCGCGTCGAACTGCGCTACGCAGCCGCGATGTCTGTCGCAGCGATAGCTACCGATGTGGTCCTCCAACTCCTGAGTACGTTGCGCGCCCCCGCATGACGCAGGCAGCAGCTAATGATATATACAGAGAGGGAAGAAGATGATTCGGAAGATGGTAGGACACCTGCGAAGAAGGACAGAGCGAGGCTAACGAAGACAAGGGCACGATTCCTCCCAGATGGAGATCTTCTCCTCATGGGCGCTCTTCATCATGATTATGCTGCTCATTGCGGCTCTCTTCACAAGTTACATGCTGCAGCAGAAGAAGGTTGAAGCCATACACGAGACGGTTATATCGATATTTGCTGGTGAGCAAGCTTCATACTTGGACGAAGACCTCTCTAACTCCCCCCAGGTATGACCGTCGGCCTCATCCTCAGAGTCAGCAACGGAACCTCGATTCAAAACTTGGTAATCTTCAACGACCAGATATTCTTCAATCTCCTCCTACCACCAATCATCCTTGCATCAGGGTACGAACTGCATCAGGCGAATTTCTTTAGGAACATTGGCTCCATCTTGACTTTTGCGTTCGCCGGGACGTTCATATCTGCTATTGTGCTTGGGTTGATCTTATGGGTGTACACTCGAATCCCTATTGATGGGTTTTCAATGACCTTCGTCGACGCCATTTCTGTGGGAGCTACGTTGTCTGCCACCGATCCCGTCACAATTCTTGCCATATTCAACACTTACAAGGTAGATCCGAAGCTATATACCGTCATTTTTGGCGAATCTATACTCAACGACGCCGTTGCCATTGTCCTGTTCGAGACCGCACAAAGATACAAGGAGGGTGGCGCTGCTGGAACTCTCAGTTTCCTCAGTTTGATCGAAGGTATCGGAATTTTCTTGGCCGTCTTCTTCGGAAGTTTGGTCATTGGAGTGATTGTGGGTATCGGAACGGCTCTGGCGTTGAAATACACATATGTCAGAAGATACCCGAAGATAGAGAGTTGTTTGATTGTGTTGATTGCATATGCTAGCTATTTTTTCTCAAATGGCTTGCACATGTCCGGTAAGCAATTTCCTACCCTTTTCACGTGCTTTGCTAATTCATCTAGGCATCGTCACCCTCCTTTTCTGCGGGATCACGCTGAAGCATTACGCTTACTACAACATGTCCCGCCGAACACAACTCACCACCAAATACCTGTTCCAGGTTCTCGCCCAATTGTCAGAGAATTTTATCTTCATCTACCTGGGCCTTTCTCTTTTCACGGAGACTCAGCTACAGTTCAAGCCGTTGTTCATCATTGTAACGGTGATTGGGATCTGTGCTGCACGGTGGTGTGCAGTGTTCCCGCTTTCAAGAGCTATCAATTGGTTCATCAGATACAGAGCGAAGAGGAAGGGCAAGGATGTTGCCGATGAGCTACCTCATAGTTATCAAATGATGTTGTTCTGGGCTGGTCTTCGAGGAGCTGTCGGTGTTGCTCTTGCAGCCGGCATGACCGGACCAAACTCGTGGGCGTTGAAAGCAACAGTATTGGTAGTGGTTGTGCTTACAGTGATCATATTTGGTGGCACCACAGCTCGTATGCTTGAGATCATGGGGATTCGAACAGGTGTCGTGGAGGAGATTGATTCAGACGACGAGTTTGATATTGAAGCAGTTCCGGGAGGATCTTATTACAAGCATTCCGGAACAGGAATCGGAAATACCCCCAGCCGAAGGAGTGGCTCCATACCCCTGAACGGTGTTGGCCGAGGACCAGAACGCGGAACATACGTCAGCGGCAACTCCAGCCCCAACAATAGACCCAGGAGCCTCAGTCGAAAGGGATCAAATGCGGATGGCAGGAGAGAGAACGAAGCCGAGCAAGACTTGCTCCGCGCCAACTCAACGACGGAATCAGACTTTGACAGCGATGGGTCCGATCTCCCCCCGGCAGCGAAACGCCCAGAGAGGAGGAGATCCCCAGTCCACGGGGATAATGGCGATATGGGCGCTCCATATCCAACATCAGGAACTGCAAGAGAGAACGACACTCCGCAGATCACTGCTTCGGGGGCCATCAACTCGTTGCTCCATGGCACGGCGGAGGATCATGCAGCTTGGTTCAGACAGTTAGATGAAGGATTCATCAAGCCGAGATTACTTCTTGATGGAGGCAAAGGACCGCATGGTGGGTCTAGTGGGAGTTGATTTCTTTCGACTGGGAAAAGCAACAGCTTTGGATGGATGGCATGGATGGCGTGGATGGCGTGGATGGCGTGGATGGCGTTCGGTGTATAACTAGGGCTTAGCATCTGTGGGGTATAGAATAGAGCTCTTGGACCTCGCCCAATTTATCTGCGGTGGTATGCGTGTGTGAGTAATTGGGGGTGCAGAAAGTCTTCTCATTCGGTTTCTGTGAAGTTTCTATTACACTAGCTACAGGAAATGTAAGTCATGCAAGGCTCTGGCAGAGTTCTGGACTTCTATTCTTTCGTACTCTCAGCTTCACAATCTGTTTCCCACCTCTTGCCGCTCTCGTCTATGCATAACAAATCTGATCTCCTAGTGTGAATTTTGCCCCACTTAGTTTCCTCTTCCTTAACTTCCACCAAGTCTGATGCGACAGCGAAGCTCTGCCATGAATATTCTTCAAACTCGAATATGTATTATTTGTCTCCGAGTTCTGTGAAAGCTCCGTTGATTCATGGCATGTGGTAGAACTTTAGGAATCTTGTAAGTGGGAGGATATCGGAGGGGCTTGGGGGTGCCTGTGTTCCGTGTAAGGAGAAGGAGTGGTAGAGGATGGTGAGTAATGGGTATGTGAAGTCGTCGATGGGTCCTACTGTAGGGAGTAGATAGGATTTCAAGTTTGTTTGGATGTATAGATGAGACTGAGGTTTTGTATGATATTCTACCACATGATGTAGCGCGATTTTATTCTAGATTCGGTTTTGGATTTGCTTTCTAGTCAAGGACTGCTAGCCATCTATCAGGTGACCGCGAGTTGTTCAGATGCAGCATAAAGAGCCAAGGAAAATCTTCCTCCACAAACCGCCAAGCCAAGATTTTGAAGAAATCAAGCCTCACTCATTGTCCTTCTGTCGGAGCTCACTCCTACTAGCAGTACTGGCGCAACCTTTTTTCCTTGTGTTCGTGATATGTCTGCTCATAGCACCTCTTCGACCTCTGGTAGAAAGTGTTCCCATATTCATCCTTCAAGTACTTCTTGAGCTCCTTCGGTGCATTGCCGTCTTTGACTCAGCTTGTACGTGTTCATAACTTGTTTTTTGACCTGTGTAAACAATGTCACGAACTCTCTCGCATTTTCGTCTTTGCATTTACCCCCGGATGAAAATGCGCTGGGCTGGAAGTGCTTGACCGCTGCATGCCAATCAAGAATATCGATGAAGATCGGCGCGACCTTTCCAACATACAACACGAAAGTTGGACCAAAGCCGTAGTCGTTCTCACACCAGGTTACCTCTTTTATTTTTGGTAGCTTTATGACACGCTGATCATCGGCAATTGCGGACTTCGGCATTTGGGAATGGACACCCAAAGAATTCTTCATAGACAATTGACTTGTCAATTTCTTTAAGTGAGTTGCGCTTACGCGTACCTAGGTGATTCCATCTCTACCTCTTCACTTGTCTCCTACGGGGCCGACAACAAAAGGCTTTGATTGCTTGGGTTTTAGTACAAGGTTTCATTTCAGAATAGTAAAATAAATCTCTCCGTTCAATTCGTCAAGGTCATGTGTCGGTATCTCAGAGTCCGAACACTCTTCTCTTTGGCATCCCGTTCCTCCGACTCCCATTTCTAACAACTGCCATGACAAATCATCCTTCAAGGCCGTAATTAACCACTCTTCTATTCTCTGACAACAGAAAACCTTATCAGTCCCATCCCCGGTCCAAACTTTTCCCTCTCTTCTTCACTCAACGGCTCAAGCAGCGTGAACTCACAATCCACTCTCCATTTCGTTCCCGTCGCCTCCCCGATCTCCTCCCACATCTTTTTGAAACTCTCAGCGTTATGTCTGTACATCTTGCCTCCCTTGTTCGTCTTCTGAACATAGTCTCCCGCATCAGTGTTGCCCACCTGTCTCCCCAAAATCAAAGAATCCTTCTTTTCTCTCAACAGCTTGATCAAGCGCTTGCAGACTTCAATCAGTTCAGCGTAGCCGAAAAGATGGAGGAATGAGCCTGCGTAAATGATGTCAATTTTTCCGTCTAGTTCAGATAATGGAGAGCTGGGATCAGTGATGTCGGCCGCAATGAATTTGCTCTTCAAGGCGTCTCTGTCACGGAAGAGTCGGTATCCCATTTCAAAGAACTCGGCACGTAAGTCGGAACCGTAGAGATTCTCTTGCACAGCTCCATCTGCTGCGACTTTTCGCAGCTCTTGGCCAAAACAACAGCCGAGATCCAGGAAGTTTTCGTTGCCGGATTTCAAGCGCTGAAGGACTGCTGAGTAATCTGGAGATAGACTGATGGCTCTGCGAAAGGATGAGAATCTGCATTTTAGATGGATTAAGAAAAAGGAACTCACAAGTCGAGGAATCGAAAACCGCCAATGCATGGGTACGGAAAGACACCCCAGGCTTCATCACGCTGTAGGTTCTATTTAGCATGATCTTTCGAATTGGTCTCAAGAATAGACATACAATCTTATAGATATGACTCTCAACCTCCGCTGGTGGTATCTTGCTATAGTTCTCCAGCAATTCTCTAGCCGAAGCTCCTAACTTCTTGAGTTTTGGGTCGTACCAAGGGACGTTCTTCGCTCGGAGGTCGATCTTCTCCTCTGCGCCTTCGATGTCGGTCCAGGCCCGCGGTACGGCAGCCATGATAGAATTCTGGCGAGACGAGAAACTTCGGGATTTTATTTGAGGGTCTACAGACAACTTAGATTGACGTGACAAATTAAATGTGTGACGTTGACACAGTCTGACCGGGACGCTTGTTGCCGTGCCGAGGAGTCGCTGACAAACCCAGCCTGGCTGAGAACTCAAAATGTAACGAAATAGCATGGCTTGGTACTGCTTTTTATTCTGATGAGATATCAACGACTCAAGGAAGCTTCTTCGTTCCATTTGTCAAGCTTTCTTGCAACTCCTTCACCCAATTCAATCTGCCTTCACCAAATATCTCGGCCGTTGCGGGCATTTCAGGTCCACCATTCAGCAGTAGCGTGCGGATAATGATCTTATCAGGCATCACTGCCTGGTGGTGATAGATATGTGAAGTACAGTTTCCGCAGTAGAAGCAATCAACCGATTTCCCTAATCAGTCAATAAATAATTTCTTTGGAGCTTGGATCCACAGCGCTTACCTGATGCGCCTGTATAGGTATAGACCTTGGGTGACCCCGTGAGAATCTTGAGGGCTTCCTTAGGTACAATCTGATTGCAGCTGTATGGACCACCTCCAAGTTGTTGGCACGTCCTACAATGACACAGCACGTGCTCAGCAACGCCAAGTTTGACAGTCCATGTCACGGAATTGCAGTGACATGAACCGAGATACTCAGTTTCTCCAAGTGGCCGCTTCGCTGTTGGACCAAATAAAACACCGTCTTTGATGTCAACAACTAAGGAGTCTTCTCTGTAACAGAGGTCAATTTGCTGATAACAAGAGGGGTCCCCGATCGCTATTACATTAAATGGGCTGCATTTCTCGAAAACTCAAGATGGACCGGCTCGGCTGTAAGATAATAGTCTAGTTCGTCTTGGCTTTCAAATTCGAGGACAAAGCCATGGGTCATTCCTTTGCTGTAAGGTTCCCAGGAGCGGTTCTTGCCTATGCCATAGGGTCAGCATTCCCCTGGAGGTACGAATGAATGCTGATGACACACCTGCTTTTAGGCTTTTGATCAGAGGCCTTCCAGTCTTTTTGCTGATTGACTTCTGTTTCAAGTCCATGAACTGCTCGAAATGAATTTCGAAAGCCTGCCATGAGATATCCGTTTTGTACTTGAAAAGTACGATATGAGTGATTGTTTCCGTCATAATGACTTGCACCTCATGTGAGCTGCCAGCAATAAATTGACTACTTTCAACCTAGCAATCACTGAGAAGAAAGGAATAACAAAAACTCAGGCGAAAAGACGGTCATCAATGGCGACTTCAAGATTATATCGGATGGAAAGGCTAGGCCCATTATGTTCGTCAAGTGTTCCGAGTTGCCAAGCATGGGGCCAATAGAGGAATGTTGCGCCGTTATAAGTAGTTGCCGTATGCAGACTCTGTGGGGTAATTCCTAGATAGAGCTAAAATTCAGGTCACCGGGAAGGGTAATTTAATTCCAGGAGAAGACGCTATTACGTGATCATCTTCAGCAGCGGGAACCCCCCATTCGGTGCTACAAAGCGGGCCAATTAAAGACAGCTCCAACTAAAGTTAGAAGAACACACGCAAAGATGGGGTCGGCAGTTGCAAAGACGTTTGTATTTGCTGTTTCTAGGCTCCCATGAATTACCTTCTCTCTAAGGCCCTTGCTGCCAATTGCTGGCTTGGATCAAATGACTAAGTCTTGTTCTAAAAGCCCCCAAAATGGATGGCTGAATACCGAAACCCGAAGCCCAGAAAGAAAACGGCAAAAGGCACAAGCTGACCAAAGCTGTGCTAATCAAATAGACCCTAAACTCTTCGACGAAAGCCAAACCAATTCAAAATGCGGGGTTTCCTCTATTCAAGTTCTTCTCAGGGTACACACAGAAAGCGGATTAATGCGTATGAAGGCGAGAGCATGCCTTGGAGATTGTCTCAAGCTGGCTTGTCTGAGAATACACTTGCTGATAGAAAGAAAATAAGAAAATCAGCTTAAAAATAGCAGAAGAAGAAGCTACCTAGCCGTCACTCTGCTTGATCGCTAAAGGAAGACGAGATATCAATTCCTGGTCCAGAATATCTTACTCAAATTTCCAAAGCGTGCAGATAGCGCGTTCATCTGACATGCAGTCTATTGAACTGGGATCGATTTATCGGTGGAAAATCGATATATTGGAGATTGACAATCTGTAGAATGACTAGTTTTTGACTAGATACAGGAGAGTAATTCCATAAAAAACAGAGGGAATGGGTTCCCTAGCTATATTCCTGATTCCCAGCCCACCATGTGATTTACCCCGCACTTACTTGGTGGTGGGAACGATTTACCAATCTGATTCCTGAACGTACGTTTAAGGAACGTAATCGAATGGCGATACTAATAAACGATTGGTGTGTTCGTACGTAAGTAATACCCAATAATCGGACGAACTGAATTAGTGGTAGAACCTGGAGTGGAAGGAATGGATGCTAGCCAAGCTAGCTAGTTCAACACAGTCAGTAGCTTGCATTTAGTATTTGAAGTTAAACTTACTTTCTATTGAGGTAAATCTTGTGTTTGACGAGTACAGCACATGTTCCGCCTTCAATTGCATGTACATCTTCGAGCCCGTATCGCCCTCTTGAAGGTATTTGTTGAGAGCTGAGACTTTCGATGCACTTGGATTGGCTGCGAGTGCAGAGAAGAAAACGTTGGACAGGAAATGGAATAATGAAACTTCGACGACTCATCGGATTCGAGGACAGTTCTTTGTGCTCAGCACAATGTTCAGGAACCAGCTCTTGAGTCAAATAGAAGCCAAGTGAGATCGTACCGACCTGCTCTCAACCTGTTGTTGAGAATGAGTGTGAATTTTATTCTCTTTTTGGATAAAATCTAGGCCTTTTTGAAGGAGCACGAAAGCAGCTTGTCGACCGACACTCATTGGTTCGGATCTCACACTGGCGGGACGCTGATTGGGTCGGATCGCACGGACCATATTTTGAACAACAAAAGGGAGTGGAAGAAAGGGGTCAACAAGGGAGAGAGGGACTCGGAGGATTTTACTATATGCGCAGGATTGAAGCATCCTTGCAAGTCAAACTAGAAATAGATATCATGGATAGTGCTTGGAGCGGCAAGTGGAATTAAGGCTTCGGTTAGTTGAGATCGCGAACCCCGCTCCGAACTCGCGTCTTCCTTTTCCGTCAATAACTTCAAACCCAAACCACTCAACACCACGGCCCGCGTGTATTTGAGTGTCTGCCCTTGCATTTGTCTCAATGCAACGAGACTAATTGGTAGGAACACCCTAGTCAATGCTTCATATTCGTTATTCACGTGTAACTGACAATCTCAGCTTTCAGCCACATTCGCCACAAACCGAATCTTCGTCGTCAAAAATGGCTGAGCAGAATACAACAAAAACGATAGCTATGACGGGGGTTATCTTGGATGATACAAACAAGAGAAAACTGCAGGAAGGGACCCTTTTCGTGACCGGATTGGAAGAAAAGAACTTGCTCGCGTCAATCACTAAGGCAATGGCGAAGAAAGAGGCTGAGTCCGAGAGGCTTGCTTCAGCGGTGGTTACAATCGCATCCGCGTTCAACAGTTGTTAATTCTGGATCACAAATGCAGAACAATACCGCGCGACCAACGTCACGGAGCTGAAGTCCAAGTTCTTCCAGAGCTCGACTACTATTGAAGAAAAGCTCGCTCGTGCCTGCAATCATCCAATCGGTTCGATCTCGTCATTTCAGCTGGGCATAATTGAGGATTTGACGGAAACCTTCAGTGATCCAAATAGTGCCGTCGATTTCAACAATGAAATGTCCTCCCTGCAAGAAACGTTTCACTTCATGGAGGCTCTGAAACCCCTGATCAGAGCAAATCTTGACATCTCAAAGCTCAAGGTTGAGATGTTTTCCAAGGCGAGACATTGCAAGGAGATAAAAATCCAAATCGAGAAAACTAAGAGTGAGGTGAGCGACTTGGAGACAAGGGAGGTTGCCATACAGGCTGAATACTTGTCGGTCCTGCGAGAGCCAGGATAGTAAGGTACTTATGGACATTGGTTACATGAAAGACTATCGTTTTTCCTCGTATCCCTAAAGGAAATCTGAACATACTCGACTTTCAGTTCCAGCTTCTTTATCAAACATTTAGATGCATTTTTAAGTTCTGATGGCTCGAAATGCTGGCCGTGAATGTAGTATATATCCGAGAAATGACAGCACATTTGCCATGTTTGAATATGTGATCTACTGCGTCAAATACTTCGAATTTCTGTATGTTATGTAAGTCTAAGTTTCTGTTATGTTGCTGACGCCAAGTCTCCCTTCGCCATACCGCCATATCTCCCCCGAGTGTAAAGTATCCAGTTGCGAGAAAGAAACCAGACGCAAAGCGGACTTGTGCAAAGCATAAAGCAGTTTCCAGAATTTTTAAAAGAAAAGAAACCCACATCCTCCTGACCTCTTAAGCGCGAAGATTGAGTGTGCTCAAGAACTTATAATCAATGTGCGCAGAATCACTCTGTCACCACCAACTCGCCCTCTCCAACCCCATCTCTCTCTCTCTCCTTGAAACACCGATTAAGGATATGTCTGAATCTCTGATCACAAGGTTCATTTACTCCTTCAATCGAGAGAAGGATCTGCACAACTGTGTGATAATGAGTGGCAGTCCATCGAAAGAGACCCGACGACTTACTTGTCGTCGACATATTGTTTGCGCTTGAGCATCGCTGCTTCGTGCTCTTTCTTCAACTTCTCATACACACCTTTGCCCAGTGTCTGAACTTCAAAATACTCCTTGAGATCTGGAGCAGTGAAGGTCCCTGGGTAACGTTCCAGGTTGTTCAAGATTCAGTTAGCCCATCTCTGTGCTCTGCTGGATGGGAAAGTCCCCTCGACGCTAGGACAGGCTTGGTAATATTTCAAATCGGCACGCCGATTGAGGAAATCGATGAATTTCTCGCAAGCTCGAAATTTCCAAACGAAGTCCGGGCCAACGCCGTACAAAGACTTGAAGGATTCGATATCGTTGCGGACGCTTGAGATAATTGGGCCGAACTTTTGGTACGGAGAAGCGTCAGCTACTGCCATACTCAAGTAGGGAGTTGTGTTTCCAAGGAATATGATGTCCTGGCTGCGGTTGGTCTTTTGCCACTCAATCTTTCTGGAGCGAATTTGAATGCCGGCCAAAATGAGTGGTTTCAACTTTTCCAGGAGCTCGGTTTCGTCCACGGCTTCCTGCTTTGCACTGTAGCAGCGTGATGCTCTATCGACAATCTATCGTAAGCATTTTTCAACTCTGGGTCTTTGTTGATATCTTCGTTGCGAGCGACTTCGAATGAAGGGTAAATATTGGCGAATAGAGTCGCAAAATCTTCGTCGAATCTGGTGCTTTTGACTCTATATTCGTTCTCGAAGCGCTTCATGTCCATGTGCCAGTTCAACATGTCATGAAACATGCAAAAGCCCCTGCGCTCCCAAATTCCTTAGCAGGGACCTTGTTGTATTGATCCTCGAATTCGCCAACATATGGCCGTCCATCCTTCCAGAAGCCCTGGAACATCGTTGCATCTGCTAAAGCTCGGCCATTGTGTGCAGCTTCATTTCCTTTGTTGACCAATTCCCAATCCGGCCGGCCGCCCTTGATGCACTTCATATCCAGTTCAAACTTTCTGTGTCGAGTAGCTAGTCCCACTTCAAAAAGAGGACTCATTTGCTCAATCGTAGCTTTGTACTCTCCAATGGCTTTGCAACTTCCTTTTAATTTTCTCTCGGTGTCTCCGTAAGTCTTGAAAATCGTATGTTTGCCGCCTTCAACATTGCTAACCAAATCGGATATCAAGCTCATGATTTGAGTAAAGTCCTCCAGATGCCGGGTGTTCTGAGCTGTGCTTGTGGCTGTTGGCAGAGCAACAGAGTAGTGAGCAGCTTTGTGCGTATGTTGTGGTATTATAGATCAATTTTCTCTTTCTTACGCATCGAATTCAGTTAGTAAGCTTGCCGCTCTTGCTCAGGCGCTAATTACCCTCGGCTCCCTTGGCTTAGTCATCTCGCTTGAGTAACCTGAGCAACTCACTTGAGCACCATGAGCACACTTAGCACCCTGAGCACACTTAGCACCCTGAGCCAAGCCTGATTATCCTAAGTAAGGTTTACTACATCGTCACGTGTTTTGACTTCTTGATTTTTAGCTAATTATATTTAATCTAACCTTTGTTCTCGTTATATCGAGAAAATGTCTTGATTGGGAAATTATAGCTATGAATCGTATAGATATTTTTAAGTAGAGACTTGATCACTTTCTCCTTGATCTTCATCTCCCTACCGCATCTCTTGTACTCACTCAAGTCAAAACATTAATAACCTAAGATCGCTAGTAGAGCATTAAATGAAGGGTCCTCTAGTAACTATATAGCGGTGAGGCAATACTCAGATTCGTAGCGAAATACCTTTCTAAGAACCTCTGAGGCAAGTTATAGCTCTGTATTACTAATATCCGGGCGGCGCTTAGCTACTTTCTCGGCAAGACTAAGTTTAGGGTTCATTCCAACTCTCTGGAATGGCTCGTATCACTTATCTCTAATAGTAATAGTTCTTTCGGGACAGGTATAATAGCCTTTCTAGTACTCAGGTATAGACTCAAGTATATTAATCCAACTCCATATAATGTAATTACTAAAGGGGCCGGTAAAAGGTAGGAAGCCAATATATAGTATAGCGAAAATACATATATAGCTTCATATATTGCTTGCAAAGCTCGGGGCGATATTGTAATACCTCTCGGGGCTGTAGTAATTGGGTGGTTCCTAGTTCACTGGAGTTCCGGGTCTAATAGCTATACTAAAGTCGCCTAGGTAGATTTTATTACGAAGTAAGTTTTCGGGAACGTTTTATAATATAACTAGCTCTCTTTTACTCTTCTTCTATAAGTCGCCTAATATTCTGATCCTCTAAGGTTATCCCAAGTACTTGTACTTTATAGCTATATTATACTAGTCGGGGAGAATTATATCCCATAGTATAGCACTATAATTCAAATCTAGAATACATTAATATATATCCATATTACAAACCAGGAATCTAATTAGAAGAATTATAAAATAATTTAACTCGCTCCGGTAAATAATACCAGCTTCATATAAGCTATTTAATGCCTTTAGTAAGTCTCTTGCAGCAGACATTCGGGCAACTATTAGCTATTACCTTAAACACGCGGCAAGACTTGGGCTATATAACGGAAGAACAAAAACTCGGTATACCACGCCTTTATAGCCGCAAATTTCGAAGGTCTACTAGTATATAACAAGGCCAGACGTATCCTTAACGGTCCGCATAATTTCGTTTTGCATGGCGTACTCGCGCTTTGCGCCATCGCAAGAGACCATAACCTTTAAAGCTACGTTCTTCTTACCAAGAAGGTCGTGGGCTATCCACACCGTACCGAAGCCACCGTAACCGAGCTTGTATAGAATTCGGTATCTCTAAGCCATAACTTCTCTAATGCAAAGAGAATAAAAGAGGCCGATTATAGAGTCATAGTACATGCCCACGTCCTTAGCGCTAGCCTCTATATTACAGTAGTCATCGTGTTCGAAATCATTGTCTTCGAATTCATAGAGGTTGCTGATGTCCTCACCGTCCTCGATACCGGAGACGGCCACGGGAAATTCAGTGGTGTGAGACATGGCGACGGACGCTTGAGGAAAGCAGTAGTTGAGCGAGGCCTAGTCGTGAGAAATAATGGATGGATCGCGGTGAGTCGGCGACAAATTTGGGATTTAGCTTAATGGTCGCGAAATGCGTAGGTTCGAGAAGAAGAAGAGGTAAAGGATGAGGAACGGTAACCTGCGGGGCTCAAAAATGTCCACTCGAAGTGTTGTAGCCAATAGGTGCCAACCTCCCAGATTAGGCAGCCGCCACTTTATAGGGGTGGCAACAAAAAAGTAGGCATTTTTCAAAGGGCTCGGAAAATTCTAAAAACTTCTATGATTGCTATACTTAGGGCATAGATTACTAATATGAACTTATTTTTGATATTTTGGGTTGTCGTGGCAGGATCGAAAGTTGGGCGGTGCGCTAGTTGGGTTCCTGCTATTTTTTGCTATTTTTTGCTATTTCCTACTTTTTCCAACTTTTTCCTACTGTTTCTTATTATTTCCATTGGTTTTTGTATTATTATTTTTATTTGATTTTTTTTTAGTTTATTTATTTCTACCTAGAATAAAAATAGAATCAAAAATAGGAGTAAATAAGAAATACTAGATCCTGTATGTATGTCTGTGTCAACTTTCCCTAATTCCACTATCTCGACTTACATGATCTCACTCTCGAGGACGATAGCGTTTGCATTCTCGCGAAGATCTAGAGTGACTATACCGAATTAGGCACGCTTATAGCGTCCCTACATAGCACTAATGCCATGGAGGTGAAGCTCGATGCACTTGATCATCCCAAGATCGTTTCTGAAGCGTTGGCGCTAGTCGATGCTCGCTTCAGAGCCTTTTCGTCCCTATAAGAGATTATTGTCGAGATGTACGAGGATGGTCCGAGTAATCATATACGAAGGGAAATGAAGAATCACGGATGGATAATTAGTGGGACAGAATATGCGGGAGAGCCGGGCTTTGACAGGTCTTCCAGCGATATTGAAGAAGCTGCTAGGCCACGCCCTCGTGCTTTCTGAAAAGTGCGTGCAGCTTGCTGCAAACGCTACGCGAATCGGGGAAGGAGAATAGGGACTCTGTTTGTCAACGCCCGTGAGTTAGGGGATATCTTTGGCGTTTAATACGGCTTTGATTCTCAAGAATAATACCCCGCACTGTAGCCATCGGTCTATAGACACATCGACGCGCTCCCAACAACGGCCGAAATTGTGGGTGACATCCATTTTTCACCGGTAAATAACATCTAACCCGACGTAAGAAGCCGCATATCCCCCCCCCCCCCGGATCCTACGCCCACGAGACGTCGAAGCTAAAGTCGCAAAACACAAGTCCCCGGTCCGGATCCTGCTGTTTCAAAGAATGGTAATGTATGTCCAACTCTGCTACTACCGCCTTCGTATTCATAAGGTCGTTATTATAAAGCATATCAAAATGGAAAGTCACGTCTCTAAATTCGTCGATAATATTCTTTCATGGTCCAGGCCGCTCCTCTAGCTAAACTTGAAGCCGGTCTGGCGCAGCTTCTGGAACACGCCGTTAGGGTCGTACTTGTACGACACGGCCGTCAGCAGGTCAAGGTTGGCCTGTCCGTAGTGGCTGTACGGTTTCTCATTACCCCAGGCGTAGTTGAGGTAGGCCCAGTTAACAAAACGTCCGGCCTCTTGCAGGTTCTGGTTAATGGCAGCGACGAATTCGTGTGCAATGGGCAGGATGACCGCCTGGTTCTCCTCGGTGTCGACGGTTAGCGCGACGAGCCACATAAGGACAGGGCCGTCTGCGACGATGGGCTCAAGGCCGAGGATGTTCCCCCCGCGCTTGTCGCTGTTCTGGACCATGGTATTGGTGACGGGCTGGAACTCGATGAGGGTGCTAAAGTTAGAGGTGGGCGCGGCGGCCACCATCTTGGCGACGTATTCTGGATGCAGCTTGTTGATGATGCTAAGGGCCTCGAAGCTGTTGGTGGCCATACCAGTGAACCAGTTGGCGCTGTAAGGTATTAGTTGATGACTATATAAAACTAATAAGAAGGAGCAGATGTATGCTGAACTTACTAGAGACCAAGAGGCGTGGGGCCGGTGAACTGGGGGATGATCTCCGCCTCGGGCCCCACCGTCAAGGTGCTAGAGATGTTAGGCAGCGCAAGGAAGCCGTCGAACGCGGGGGCGTTAGCAATGCCTTCGTTGTTGGTCAAGATGGATCGAATGGAGAATCCAGTATAGTCGTAGTAGAGGGCAATGATGGTCTGGTCGGGAGAGTTCTCTTGGGTGTTCTCCACAAAATCGAGGTAGGCATTGAAGACGTTGTCTGTCTCGCTCAGGTTGTAGCTGGTGAAACCACCCCACAGTTGGGTGCCCTCGACAGTCTCTAAAGTCACATTATCAGCCCGCTGTATAGCCCATCATTTTTGTTTTTATAGAAGAAAGGGACAATTGCTTACGCTGATCAATTCGGGTGACGAAGCCCAGGTTTCCGGACCCGCCCTTTTGGGCCTTCCAGAGGTCGGGATTCGTGCTGGCGTTGGCATTGACGACGCTGCTGTCGGCAAGAACAATCTCCCAGTTGACGACATTATCGCATGCAAAGCCATGAGAGTTGCTGTGGAAGGAATACTGAAAAGTTGTTAGCCAGTGCTCGCCCGTCGACCCAGTATGTAAGGTGTAGACAACACTTACCCCACCACCCGTGGTGAAGCCGCCAACACCAACCACCGAAGTTCGCGCGCCCACAACCGTGACGTTGTATGGATCGACAAACTCATACACCGAACCCCATCGTGCACCGGGCTGGATCGAGGCAATTCCAGTGTCCGGGTTGTAGCTTGTCGTGTTCATGTAGCCAAAGTCGACCGTGACGCCGTTAGCGATGCTGTTGGATCCCTTCCACGCCGAGTGGCCACCCGCCTTGATACCGAAAGGGCATTGGTCCTTGGCCAGAATCTTGACCGTGGCCTGCACATCCGCCGTGCTCTCCGGCAGGACCATGCACCAGGCGTGTTGCGCCGCATTGGCCGAGTAGTAGGTATCGACCTCCGCATTGTACGCTGCGGTATTTGGAAGGAGGACCTTGCCCTGCAGCTGCGTGTCTGTAGCGAGAGCCGCGCACTTGACACAGGTAAGTGTCACAGCTAAAGTAGCTTAATTGCGAGTCGGAAGCAGAAGGGACGAAAAGAAGACAAGCATGAACTTACGCAGACTTGGTGGGGATTCGACCTAGCGATCGCCGTGGCTGCGAGAGTCGCAAGCGATGCCGCTACGGAGTGTTTCATGGCGATGAAGGGAGTGAGACACAAGATCGACAGTGCACCAGGTATACTTTTACGAGAAGGAGAACAGAAAAACAAACTCACTCGTAGGTAAGCAATGGCCGTTGTCAGGGCGCCCACTTTATGCCCTGATCCAGGGCGGTGGGAGTGCGCTACAAGGTCGAAACAGTCCACCGTATTCCGACTTGTGAGGCTAGATTACGACTACATAAGCTCTTTGACAAGAGGGATCCAAATCTGCTCCGGCAGGAACCTGAAAGGGAACAACAACCGATTCCCGGGGCAAAATTCGATAAGGAAACGATAGCCGGGCACGCAGGAGGCCAAAATGGGTTCTATATTATAGTGCGCGGGCGTGACTCGGGCGTGCTCAGGATACTCAGCAGTTGTTCACGTCCGCAGACTAAAACGGAACCAGCGACAGGGAAACTTAATCCTGAGTCTATGGGTATCCCGGACAAGGAGTCGTGCAAGATCTCGACCTCGGAGAGCAGCGTCCGAACTTCTTTGTGTGCACTGGACAGTTTCGTTCTGACTGTCTCCATATCCGTGCCTTGCTCTTGGATTCGCCGATTGGCTGTTTGATGCTTCATCTCGATACTCTCTAAGTCCCTGCCGTAAGCTTCCTTCTGCTTCTGGTAGTCCTTCAAGAGCCCGGTGACAGTTTTTAACTCCTCCTTTGCTGTAGAGGTTTCGCGTTTCCATAGTTCCAGCTGATCGATTACTTTCGAGAGGGCCTCGATCTGCGACTTGCAGCATTCTTCTTGTGCCCATTGTGATCGATATGTGCTCTTGGCACTTTCGACATTGCTCTTGACTGCAGACACGGAAGTCTCCATCTCTTGGATTGATTTCAAAGTAGCCGATATTTTCTTCTGGGCCTTGACCAGATTTGCGCGCTGCTTCTTCAGCTTTGACATGATCCCGAGAAGTTCGAATTGCTTCGCGATAGTCCACGATCTCCATCCCCATTGTGAACTCGGAACCGACCATTGCTTTTCTAGATCGCGAACACTGCTTTCGAGGGCTTTGAGATTATCTTGCAGCCCCTTCTCTTCTGCTCTCTTCTGCTCAATGGCTTGTTCGTCCATCTGAATCTGTGGACTAACCAACGCGGATCAGAGAAGAGGCTTGAAGAAGTGGAGAGGCGTGGACGAATAAAGAGATTGGCCAGATGAATCTTCGAAAAGTGGCTTCGTGCTTGACTTGCACGGGATTTTCAAGAAATGGCTCAGAGACAGGATAATCAAAGCTTGAAGAAGGTGAATAATCAAGGCCACGTGGTTTAGGGGCGAATCGCCGCAAGGACCAGCTCTACGCTCCATGGAAATAAGAGATCTTGAAGACGCATCCTTACAGAAGTGAAGAGAATTTAAACAATACAACTCATAAAATAAGGTCTAATGCGGTCTGGCTTACATTTCTGTTTTTAGAAGGGTTATTACATTGCAAGCGAGCACACTTCGCAGTTCTCAAATATACCGAGGCAGTCCAGTACTGCGGTATGTTTCAGAACGCGAATCTTCGACACCTCCACCGCTCATTTCTCAATGTCTTGGATTCTCTTCTTCTGCAATCAGCCCGACAACTTTCTCTTTTTCGTAATATGATCCTCTCGAGAGGTCTTCTTTGAAGTTCTTCGCTAGAAGATACCAAAGAACTGGCATCATGCCTCTTGTGCGTCTTTTTAACACGCGTGAATCTCTTCTTCAAGAATTCGAGCAGGGAAATACACCACCATATCTAGCTGTATCGCACGCATGGTCAGACCACATCTTCCCTCCTGGCACCCCTATTCTTTCTTCGGTGGGCGGCAAAGTAGTTCAGAAGGTCATTGGCACCTGCTATCCGACGATTCATCATTGCTGGGTCGACAATTTCTGCATCAAACAGGACGACGATGACGATAAACTCCAACAAATTCCACTCATGGGCAGCATCTACCATAACTCCGAAGCGGTTATCGTTGTGCTGTCATGCGAGATAGGCTTTGATCAGAGCGATGTCGACGCTGCAACTAGAAGTCTAGCAGATGCACTTGAAGTGTGGAGGGACGAGACTTGGGCGGAAATCGATCAAGCTGAATACTTTCAGCGCGGCCCGGGGCGCCACACACTCATCCATGCCATGAAGGCGCTCGCGAGATTCACTCGCTCTTCCTGGGCAACACGCATTTGGACCCTGCAGGAATATGTCCTGGCGCGTGAAGTCGTCTGGGTTGGAAAAGATATGCATCCGATCAGGATTGATGATAGATTTTTCCAGGCAATTCCGGGGCTCTGCGATCAGTTAGCCATCTCAGAGTGTATGGCACGTGCTCCAGGAACAGAGTTCGCCATCCTCCATACTCATTTCAGTGGAATGGCAACCTCTCGCCTTGGCGACAATGATGCGACACGGATCATGGAACTGCTGGGAAACCGTAAAGCCACAGTGCCTGTAGATGAAGTCTACGGGATCATGGCTGCGTCTACGGTTGAGATAGATCCGCTCAAAGGCGAGACAAGAGAGGAAGCGTGGGAAAGATGGTGTGAAGCTGCAATACTCAAGGGCCATATAAGGTGGTTGATGCTTCCGCTTGCATCGACCGCTGCCAAGATTGGCACTACATCATCAGCTAACTGTGCTTTACCGTGTTTCTCTTTGCGTTACCATCTCTCTTCGGCCTCCTATCTAGATTCCGTCACGCCCTTCCAGGCTGCAACGGTCCAAAATGGCACCTTTACCCTCGCTGGACGATACATCGGCTCATGCACACTTATCCGCCGGCTTGGAGGCATTCACCGTTCAAAAACAGGGCTATATCATAGGCATATAACCCTCATTCTGTTCTCCAAAGGCAAGTGGAGTATTGCCTTGCAAGTTGCGCGAGCCTTTAGTGCTGGACGGTATTCCAAAATGCAGCTCGTTGCCGCCGCTCAAGTTATGACAAACAACTATGCCCGAGCATGTTTATCCGTAAGGAAAGGAAAGGAAGAAGACTTCAACCCTGTGCTCCACTCTTCGTTCCAGGCTCGTATTTGGGGTGACTTAATGCAGCTTCAGGCGCGTTGCATGATGGATCTTCTAAACATCAGCACAGGATTCCTTGCCAAGATCAGCAGGCCGGACCTTGGTACTTCCATAACTACTGTGGCAGTCACAAACGGCATCCTGCCAGCTGGAAAGTTGCATTGCATTGATTTCAATGCGGTCACCGGAGACCGACGGCGTATATTTCTAGTGGTTGAAACCTCTAATTGTCAACCAAAGGACCCTTCAAATCTACTACAAGAAGTCGCGAAGAAATCTTTGCATAAGTTTGGCACTACAATCCCCATTTCGGACGACTATGACCGATTTTGGAGTCTCTTACCGTTGGAGAGGTTCAGTCTCGGTGGATCACAGTGCGAAGTCTGCCTGGATTTGGTCAGGAACCCGAGACCCGTTGATCAACCGCCTGTTGCTCCACCAAAAGCTTTGCTAAGCATCGATACGAAGAAATCGAAAGCCCTTTTGAGAAGGGATACTTCAGTCAGCAGGCTAATCTCTGGACCGCTCACCCGGCATCGTCTCTTAACCAAAGGAAAGTTATGTTGGGGGCAGAGAAGCCGAGTTCGGCGAGCACACTAGCCAAATGTAGCCTTCCGATGAGCAACTCGAGTTACTCCACCCATTTCCCAAATCCTTGGTGGCTGAATGTAACACGTATGCGTGATTATCCCGGCCGCGCCGTATCCATTAGTAGGGACGAATTAGAGAGCCCCAGAACTCGAACAGTTCCACTCTTGCCCCGCTCCGCCCAGGGCTCTGCATGACGCATTGGATCACTCCGCCGACTCCTCTGTAAGCCCAAACTTCAGAATCTTCCCAATTGGTCGGGTTGGGCTCTTCGGCATGTAGGAACGGGCCGTTCTTGGAGAAGGATACGCCTCCGATTCTTACTGGGTCCTAGGCAGTCTAGAGGGGGGGGCGGGTACAGCACAGATTGGCATCCGGCTGCATGATATTGTTGGTTTTCTACTAGTCAACATTCTAGACTGCAGCAGCCACGGAGGTAACTTCTGATGGTGTGTCTCCCGCAAGCTAGCCGACAGGATGTTTTGGGCAGAACATTTGCACCGCCCACGTTAAGAAAAGACACTTCTTGTTTCGGTATAAGCCGGACCATTGAGGTGCCTTTTCTGTGCCTTGTTGCTTCTCAGCTCCACACACATGATCCTGAAGGCTGCTAGATCCTTGCTTTCTACCCTCTGACAGGTGAGGACGTCGATCCATAAGGTAAGTTTGCGGCTTGGCAAGAGCCTGATGGCCCACAGCGTGCTTTCACCCCATCGTAATCTTGAAACTACAGAAGAATCTCCGCAAATCAATACCGACCTCTCCCAGAAAACATCAATACCAATCCTCAACATCATAGATATCAATATCTTGGACATCAAACCTGCTATATCTTGTCTCCTCATTCAGACACTCCCGTACGCTTCTTCACTTGCCTTTGCGTGCCCCAAACCTCCTACGACGTGCTTTCTACACCTGTGCGACCACCCAAGTAAACACCACCAAGCTTAAATAAATCCCTGCTTTGCTAGATCCTCTTCTTCTACTTTCAGCTTTTGGAGAGTGTTTGCAGCTATAATCCAGCGCTTTTCTTTACACGGAGACAGAGACGAACACATTAACTTCGTTACAGATCTCACGTACATTCAGAATGGCATTTTCTCAACCTAGCCCCACTTCAACACTCGACGGTATATATACCCCAAATAGTGTGGAGTCCCATGGCCAGGTCGCTATTTGTGGCTTTGGATTGCGTCTCCCAGGAGGGATTAAGAATGGCGACGAGCTCTGGGACCTTCTGATAAACGCCAAGGACGCTCGAGGTCCTATTCCAGCTAGTCGTTATAACACCGACGGCTTCGATAACTCCCTTGGAGCCCGAGATGCTATAAAAGTCAAACATGGCTACTTCCTCGAGGGAGAACTTTCTGGTCTCGATACATCCTTTTTCACGTTGACTAAGAACGAACTTGAGAATTGTGATCCACAACAGCGAATGCTCCTTGAGGTCACCCGGGAATGCCTCGAAGATGCCGGAGAAGTCAACTATCGCGGTCAACTTATCGGTTGCTATGTCGGGACTTTCGGGGATGACTGGTTGTTGATGAGCGCCAAGGACTCACACCAAAGTGATGGCTATTCAGTAACCGGCCACTTGGATCTCATGATCGCTAATCGCGTCTCTTATGAGTACGACTTTCGAGGCCCAAGGTAAGTTAGATCGTATCTCAAATAGCGCAAACTTAGTCATGTTGACACCTTTTCCTATAGTATGGCAATCAAAACAGGTTGTTCAGCGTCGCTTACTGCGTTACACGAAGCGGTAAGAGCCATTCAGAATGGTGATGCAACAGCCGCGGTGGTAGCGGGCACAAGCCTCATAATGACTCCCTCTCTCACATCTGCTATGACAGCACTTGAGCTCCTGTCTCCTGAAGGGTCATGCAAGACCTTTGATGCTGCTGCGAATGGATTTGCCAGAGCCGAAGCCATAAACGCAGTGTACATCAAGGATCTTGGAGCTGCGATTCGTGACGGCAACCCAATCAGGGCGGTTATCCGAGGCACAGCTACAAACAGTGATGGAAAAGGACAGAGCCTAGTCACTCCAAATGGAATTGCCCAGGAAGCCCTTATTCGAAAAGCTTATGCAGATTGTGGCTTAGAGCCACCAGATACAGCTTTTGTGGAGGTAAATGCACTCAAAACCACATCGAGACTAGCGGTTCGTTGACATCCCAGTGCCATGGTACCGGTACCGCAACGGGCGATCCAATTGAGACGACCGCGATTGGCAAGGTGTTCGGGTATAGTGGGGTGTACATTGGCTCTGTTAAACCAAACTTGGGCCATTCAGAAGGTGCTTCTGGTCTCACCAGCTTAATTAAATCTGTCTTGGCCTTGGAACGCAAGACTATTCCGCCAAACATCAAGTTTAACACACCTAACCCCAAGAGTAAGTGTGTGAATAACACTCGAGAGCGGAAGTGACTAACGGAGAGTTCAGTTCCTTTTTCTGAGTACAACATGACCGTCCCCGTGATTCCAACTTCATTTCCACCGGATCGATCCGAAAGAATCAGTATCAATTCATTCGGAATCGGAGGGACCAACGTACATGTAAGAGAAATCCTGCCCCATTTGTATATTTAGTCGCTCTAGAGTTCCAACACTTCTTTTTAGGTCATCCTGGACTCTTTTGATGTAACTGCTTCCATGGCAAATATCGCGACAGTTGCAAAACCTGAGCTGCTTCTCTTCTCCGCCAACACGAAAACATCTCTGAACGAGCAGATCCGTTTGCACCAGGAGTACATTCGCTCCAACTCATCCATCGCCTCTGACATTGCCTACACTCGTTCAGTCCACAGAGAGCACTTGCCTCATAGGGCGTTTGTCATTGTCGATAATCGCGACTTCATCGAGACTGCCAGTGTGCTGAAAGTACCGGAGAGCATACCGGCCGTGACTATGGTATTTGCTGGACAGGGAGTGCAATATCCTGAGATGGGCAAGGAATTGATCTTAAGTGATCCTAGTTTCCGCGAAGACATCTTGAAGATGGATCAAATCTTGAAAGGGCTGAGGTTTCCGCCGGAATGGAACCTAATGGGTATAGACCATTGCTACCATCGACATAACGGAATATGCTAACTGTGGGTTTCTAGATGAACTCTTGAAACCGCTGGAAACAAGCCAGATTCACAAATCATCGCTGTCACAGCCGCTATGTACAGCACTCCAAGTAGCTCTTTACAACAAGTTTGTGGCTCTAGGAGTTGTGCCCATGGCCGTCGTCGGTCACTCAAGTGGCGAGATTGCAGCTGCTTACGCTGCTGGATATGTTTCGATGGAAGAAGCCATCATTATCGCGTACTATCGTGGGTATATCACGAGGTACTCTCTTGGTGGCGGTATGGCTGTCGTGGGCCTCGGGGCACAAGACGTGTCCGAATATCTCACCCAAGACGTAGTGCTGGCTTGCGATAATAGCCCAAATAGCTCCACAATTTCAGGGGAGGCTTCAAAGGTTGGTAAAGTAGTAGATGATATCAAGCAGAAGATACCAGATGCTCTTGTTCGGACTTTGAAAGTTGGCATAGCATATCACTCCCGTGAGGTCTTTTTGTAGATTGTTTTGCCCAGTATTGATGCTGACTTATCGATAGACCATATGATCCCTCTTGGTCAGGGATATCAAGATTTGCTTGAGGAGGAACTAAAGAATTACGGAACAAGTCAAGAGAAGCCGAAGGCTGCCTTCTTCTCTTCGGTGACGTGCATGCTTATGGACGATTCACCGCTTCCTCCGTCGTATTGGGTTACAAATCTCGTATCCCCAGTACGATTTTCGTCAGCAGTCTCTAATCTGATTGCCCATAAAGGCGCCGGAATATTCCTGGAGATTGGCTCGCATTCAGCATTTGCACGTCCTCTACGACAGATTTGTGCAGCAAACGACCAGCCATACAACTACGTTCCAGCTATGGTACGTCGCAAGAACTGTATCATCAGTTTCCTCGCCGCGGTGGGCAGATTATATCAGGAGGGTGTTCAAATAGACTTCAGCTCGCTTTATCCAACAGGAAAGGCATTGCCAGGACTGCCTACATACCCGTGGGATCACAGCACCTCATATTGGAACGAGAGCCGTGTTTCCAAGGCTTGGAGAACCCGGAAGTATCCTCATCACTGCCTCCTAGGTTCTCGCCTCTTAGAAGCCGCCGACATTGAACCTCAATGGCGAAACGTGCTGCATATCGAGGACGAATCCTGGTTGGCCGATCACAAGATCCACGATGACATTGTATTCCCTTTTGCGGGATATGTTGCCTTAGCTGGAGAAGCAGTAAGGCAAATTACACACTCAAATCCTGGCATTGGATATCGTCTACGACATGTTGTCGCCCACACGGCGCTGCTGCTATCATACTCACAGCCGACTGAATTGATCACAAGCCTTCGTCGCTGTAAGCTCACCGACAGCGATGATACCGACTGGTTTGAATTCTCCGTCATGTCTTGTACTGGACCAACTTGGGTCAAGCATTGTGATGGGCGAGTCGCTCTTCTCAATAAAGTCAGACCCAGTTCTTGGTTACCCGAGACACTGCCTCGGAGTGTTGGCTGCGCCCGCTTCTATGATGAAATGACCAAGACAGGCTTTGTATATGGCGCCGAATTCCAGGGCCTTGCGAACATCTCGTCCTCGACTACAGAGGAGCTGGCCACGAGCGAGATCATCAATCGAAATAATAAGTCTCGCGATGTGTTCACGTTACACCCAGCAACCATTGACGCATGCCTCCAACTGCTCATTGTTGCTATGGCGAAAGGGCTCATGCGCAATCTAATTGAGCTGTCGGTCCCCACTGTTATTGAGGAGTTAGAGATTTCATCAGGATCGGATATCAAGCACGCCCGGGCATGGAATCAGTTTGGCGACAAGGAGCTGACGTGCGTAGAGTGTGTGGCTGGAAAAAAGATGGTACTTCATGCCTCTGGAATCCAGCTTCTCCCTCTCGAGGATAATATCGTCTCCGAGAGGGGAGATGTTTACGGTGCTGCACGTTTAAATTGGTCGCCTGACTTTGATTTCGTCGATGTCTCTATGCTATTCTCTCCACCAAAGTCTGACAGGATTGAGACAAGACTTCAAGAAGAGATGGTGTTGCTGTTTATCCTGGAGACAGCCGAAAAGGTCAAAGCTCTTGCCCCGTGCCAACCTCACTTCACCAAATTCCGAGACTGGTTGAACAGTCAGGCCGATGTTGCCAAAACTGGCACCTATGAGCTGGTAGAGGATTCAGAAAGATATGTGAAGTTAACCAGCGAAGAGAGACAAGTGATGATCGATGAACGTGTCACCCCTCTTATGCAGATGGGCAGACAAGCTGTTACTACGGGCTTGAAACGAATCTTCGACAATGCCGAGAGATTATTCACAGGAGAAGCTGACACTTTGGAAGTTCTCTTAGAAGAAAATATCCTTGCGAGGATCTACGATGTCATCGGTTTTGACTATGCACCCTTCATCCACTGTCTTGCCCATACCCGACCGAATCTTCGTATTCTTGAGGTTGGAGCAGGAACAGGCGGGACAACAGAAACGATCTTACGCAGCCTCACGAATTCAGGTGGGTTGCCAGCATACACAACATATACTTTCAGCGATGTCTCAGCGGGTTTCTTCCCAGCCGCGAAGGAGCGGTTTGCATATGCCTCGAACCTGGAGTTTAAAGTCTTCGACATCACGAAGGAGCCCTTTGAGCAGGGGTTCAAGGAATCATCGTATGATCTCATTCTTGCTGCAAACGTCATCCACGCAACCCCTTTCCTGAGGCAGACGTTGAGCAATCTTCAACCACTCCTTCGGTCAGATGGTATGCTCGTGATGACTGAGATCTGCAGCACTTCTCGGGGTTCAAGCTATATCTTCGGCAATTTTTCGGGATGGTGGTTAGGTGAAGCGGATGGTCGCCAGGACAAACCTTATGTATCCGCGTCCCGGTGGGATGAGGATTTGAAAGCTTCCGGATTCACGGGACTTGATGCAATTGTATACGATGACGAGGGGCCATACCGCCAATGCGCCGTCATTGTGTCTAGGAAAGAGAAGAGCATAAAGATCACAAGTAAATCCCGGATCACAATCTTATCCGCGGATTCTGAAGGAGAAGTTGCTCGTTCCTTAGCTGAACACTACCTGGCGAGAGACTGGGAGGTCACGATTTGTGGGCTGGGAGACGGCCTACCTCAAGACCAAGACATCGTCTCGTGCTTGGACCTAGAAACCAACTTTTTCGAAAATATAACGGAACAATCATTCACGGCTTTTCAAGCGCTGCTTCCCTCTATGGGCACCAATAAAATCCTTTGGTTGACGAATCCATCTCAGATAAAATGTCACAATCCCCGCTCAGCACAGACTTTAGGCGTCACTCGAACGATCAGGTCGGAACTTGCACTTCAGTTTTACACTCTCGAAATCAACATCAATGAATCCCAGTTTGGCTCACTGGTCGACAAGGTTTTCAACAAGATCCGCGCACAGGAAGACAGAGATAAACTCGACTCCGACAAGGAGTTTGTCGTCGACAGCGGTATTATCTGTGTTGGTCGTTATCAGCCATTCTCTATCATGGAGGAAGTACGGGTCAAGAGCAACGAAGGTCACAAACGTGCCACGAAGACACTGGAGATTGGGAAATCTGGCATGCTTGAAAGCTTGACCTGGAAGACAAAGCCAATCCCTGAAACGATTTCCAACACACATGTAGAAGTTGAAGTGCGTACTGTCGGCATCAATTTCCGGGATGTTAGCATCGTTACTGGCCTCATGTCTGCTGGTTCATCTTCATCATACAATACACTTGGAATGGAAGTCGCAGGCACAGTCCAACGGGTTGGGGACGAAGTCGCCGGGCTGAAAGTTGGTGATAGAGTAATGGCTTTTACCATTGACGGTGGCTTCTCTACGACTGTGATTCTTGCTGAGCACCATATCATCAAAGTCCCGGATGAGATGAGCTACGAAGAAGCCGCAACCATACAGGCTACCTTTGGAACCGTTGTCTACGCTTTGCTAGATATCGGCAGGTTGGGCAAGGAACGAAAGACTGTGCTGATTCATTCAGCATGTGGTGGAGTAGGTTTGGCTGCAATTCAAGTGTGCCAGATGATGGGAGCAGATATTTTTGCCACGGTGGGCAACGAGCAGAAAAAGGAACACCTGGTCAACAACTACGGCATCCCGAGAACCCACATTTTCTCTTCTAGAGACTCGTCGTTCTATGAAGGCGTAATGCGAGAGACTGCAGGTGTTGGTGTCGACTTGGTCTTGAATTCGCTTTTTGGGGAGCTCTTACATGAGTCTTGGAGATGTGTTGCTCGGAATGGAGCCTTTCTGGAGCTTGGAAAGCGCGATCTTGTGGGATCAGGAAAACTTGACATGCGCCACTTTTTGGATAATCGGTCTTATTGCGGTGTTGATATGCTGTACTTGGTGGCTGAGCGTCCTTTAATTGTTCGAGAGTGAGTCTGGCGCGCCCGTTGCTCTTCCAAATCTCGTTCACAGCTAATTTCCCTCAACAGCGTACTCCAGAGAACTTTAGACTTCTACAGGCAAGGTTTGCTCAAGCCAATCCAGCCAATCACTCCATTTGCTGCAGTGGATGTAAAGCGTGCTTTCCGCCATCTTCAGACAGGGGAGCATATTGGAAAGCTCATCGTAAATATGCCGACTGATTCTTCTGAGCTCGAATCATCGCTCGACATTCAACCTATAGGATTCGACCCGGACGCAGCATATTTACTAGTCGGTGGTCTTGGGGGTCTTGGAAGATCTCTCGCTACCTGGATGATTGAGAGGGGAGCAAGGAATCTTGTATTACTCTCGAGAAGCGCCGGGATAAGCGAAGAGAGCAAGGCCATTTCAGAGGAGTTGGAGAGCATGGGTTCCTCGATCACAATGGTGAGAGGAAGTGTCGACAACATTGAAGATGTCAAGAGAGCGATTGAAACATTGAGTACACCAATCAAAGGAGTTTTCCATCTTGCGATGATTCAAAGGGTAAGTTGACAGCTTTTGTTTACACATATATTTTCTAGGCTAACCCAAACTAGGACTCTCCATTCATCGACATGAAATGGGAAGACTGGATCACTGCGAATAAGCCAAAGGTGGACGGTACTTGGAACCTTCATCAAGCTTTCTTGGGCCAAAGCCTGGATTACTTCTGGCTGGCAAGCTCGCTAGTGACAGTCATTGATCAACCAGGTCAAGGGAACTATAAAGCTGCAAACACCTTCATCGAGGCGTTTGCCCAGTACAGGCATTCACTTGGCTTACCAGCATCAGTTCTCAGCATCTGCGCAATTGACAATGTCGGGTTCTTCACCGAGAATGCTTGGGCTGTACGGAAAACAAAATCTCAGGGACAATGTTTCCTGGGTGAAAAAGAATTTTTGGACTGTGTGGAAGCTTCGCTCCTGAACTCATGGCCTCAAGAACGTTTCAGTAGCGGCTCTCCGGCCGCTATTCCCTCCTCGGGTCTGACATCTCCCTGGGAAGCTACAGGCCATATTACTATGGGACTGAAATCGGAACTCCACCTAGATGATCCCAAAAATCTAACGAATTGGCGCCGAGATTGTCGAATGGGCATGTACCACAACATCCCAAGAGAAGAGGCAAAACCTTCTACAGCCGATTCTACCCGCTTAACCCAATTTTTGAAACTTGTGGCGGAGGGTGAGACTGGGAGTATTTTGACAGACGAAGCAAGCATTGACTTTCTCGCGCTGGAGACTGGCCAGAAAATCAATGACTTCTTGCTCAGGCCAAACGCCGAGGTCAACGTTGCGCTCACTCTTTCTCAGATCGGTCTCGATTCGCTCACGGCAATTGAGTTAAGGCGATGGTTCAGGCAAGCTTTTGGATTGCAGATTAGCGTTTTGGAGATCATGGGCTCTGGCTCTCTTAGACATCTTGGAGGAACTGTGGCGGGGAAGTTGAGTGAAAAACATGGCCGCATAGACTGAAAATTGTTTAAGCTTGCTTACTCCAGGCCCGAGAGGGATATTCAAGCGAGCATATATGTTTGGAAGAGAAGGCTGGTTTATGAAAGGGAAACTGGAGCTGTCCGCGTTTTCAATTGCGTGGTTATTCGAACAACTTGCACTGGCTTATTTGAGTCTCTAGTATATCCTGATATCTGGTACTTTCCCTCATATTTCAATAGTAGTTGCTATGGATATGAGGCTCCCTTCTCTTCAGGATGTTCAAATGTACCAACTGTTCAGGGGTTAAAATGGAAAAGGGGGGAGGATCCTCGGCTAAATGTCATACGAAGTAGCCTCGTTTTTAGCGCCGCTTAGTCAGCGTTGGACTATCCGCGCCTCGTTGTAGCCTCCCTCAACACTCAACCTCCCACCATGATCAGATCAATCACTGGTGAAATGGTCGCTATCATCTTCAAGTATGGCGGCATATCTGCAGCAATCTTGGTTGGCCTGTATGCCGGCCTGCTGGGACTACTCTCAACCTCCGCCTTCCAAACCCACGTTGTTTACCTCCACAAAATCCAGATGACCTGGTTCAAGGATCTAGACGTCCCCGAATCTTTTGGATTCATGCGCAATCAAGTTACCACCTTCTTCCTCGAATCCTCCGACGGCGAAAAGCTACATGCATGGCACATTCTTCCGGTCGAACTGTATCGCAAACATGAAGTTGCCCTCCTCGGAGAGCCTGCTGGTGTGGTTTCGGATATCACTTCTAGACACGCGTTCAAGCTGCTGCGTAATGATCCTGATGCTCGACTCATTCTACATTTCCATGGGGCTGCCGGCACCGTTGGTTCAGGCTACAGAGTCCCCAATTATCACGCGTTATCCGCAGGACAGCCAGGCAAGATACATGTGTTGACATTTGACTATCGAGGTTTTGGGAGGAGCACTGGCACACCCTCGGAAGATGGGATTCTGCTCGATGCTCATGCAGTTATCGACTGGGCATTGAATGTTGCTGGTATTCCACCCAACAGGATTCTCGTCTTTGCCCAATCTATGGGTACAGCTGTAAGCGCCGCTATTTCCAACTATTTTGCACTGAAGTCTCCGCCAGCGGTTTTCGCAGGCACAGTTCTAGTTGCGCCATTTATAGATGCGGCGACACTGGCGTCATCGTATCGTTTGGTAGGTACCATTCCCCTATTATCGCCTCTCGCGAAGTTCCCGGTATTATTCAACTACCTCCAACGCTTCATGCGAGATAAATGGTCAACCAAAGACCGCATCGCACAATACATACGAACCAATGAAGCCAACGGGGAAATGTACCGCATGACTCTGATTCATGCTGAGGACGATTATGACGTTCCTTGGGACCATACCACAACTCTCTTCTGGCACGCTGTCAATACCACTACACTTGTAGGAATAAGTTATGACGAGCTTGAAGAGAAGAAAACCGAAAGAAAGAAGGATCTTGGGGCCGCTGGATCGGTCATGGAGTGGCACACGGAACATGGGATAATTCGAGAGGAGATATTGAAAAGTGGTTTGCATGATGTTATCATGGGAAATCCAGTAATCACCATGGCCGTCATGCGTATTTTTCAAGCGTTGGACCCGTCATTCACGTGCTAAGTAGAGTGAAAGCTGGAAGAATAGGAGGCAATTGATGGAGTCATCTATGACCTGGTTTTCCTGCAATTTCAATATACCATGTGCCGTTGCTATTTGTTGACATACCCATCTTGTTTTGCTGGTATTGGACTGCTTTTCACAAACTCTATAACGATGACCCACATGGGGAAGACAGTCGCTCTCCTGCTTCATTCTTAGATACATGATGTGAACGCTAAAGAGTCGTTGGATATACCGCAATGGCATCTTTCTCTTCGAACCGTTCTTCAAAGGAGATGTATTCAATAAGTTGACGCAACATACGTCTCATAGATCGCAGGATCTTCAGCTCTCAGTGCAGCAGTGACCTCCCCTATCATGACAAGTCGGCTAAGAAAGTAGAATGCAGGTGACACGAGACTGATCATGGTCAGCGGGCCACCCCAACGGAAAACGACCTTTTCGAAATGCATGAAAATAAGCATAGAGAAAATAGACATGGGTGCAGCAAAGCGCCCCAACCAAAGTTCGACTACCGTTGGGCAAATAGTGATCCATGAGATGAGATGGAGTGCTCCAAACGGAACTCCAAAAAGGCAGATCGCAGGCCAAAGCTTTGAATGATTCGGCTTTGGGTCCCAGTGTGCAACTACAGTTTCTTTGACTGCTGCTTTGTCTATAGCGTCGCTGCATCACAGCAGATACCTTCTTCAATGTCCATCGCATGCTCGACATTCTGCTTTGGTTTCTCTTCTTGTTGAGCAACATACTCGCCCTTTTTGATCCGAATAGTCTTTGTGGCCGACGTGGCCATAGCCGCTTATCCTCTCCCTCCTTCTCAAATACACGAGGGGTGAGATACCAGACATTCCAGAGCGACACATGTTCTTCCAAGCTCTCATTGTCAAACTTATTGCTAACCGCCATTGATTCGAAGATGATTCTTTGCTCGGGCAGCATGCTCAGCAGATCGGCGACAGAGGGTGTCTTGATATCCTTGGGCTTGATTCACCAGAAGAAATATGTGGCCGCGAATAATGGGATGTAGATGAGTGTCATCGATTCGAGCTGGGACAGTGGAAACCCATGGGCAGCGCGCATGATACTCTGTGCCACGAACCAGAGAACTTGACAGAAAGCTACCACTTTCACGGCGCTGTCTGCATTGCTCTTGTCCCGAATCACCCATTCGTCGAGACCCCAACTTTCGTGGTCCCTCCAATCAATGAGACGTTGCTGCAGCAGCCAGGTGTACTGATTCGGCCAAATCACTCTATCCCCACAGTCTGTTCTATACCTGAGAGCGAGCATGCTAACGTAGAAAGCATGGATGAGCTTGAAATCGTCTCCCGCGATTTCCACGCACTCTTTTTTCATCTTCCGGCACTGAGTCCATTCCTGCAGTCCTTCGACGGCGATGAATTCTGGCGCGAGGATGGCCTTGATGAACAGTGTAATTTTGTACATTGCGCCAAGCAGTCGACTTTTGTACACTCGCGGATGTATCACCACCCAGGTGCAAAGAAATATGGTGAAAAGACAGGTAACAACCAGAGTCAGCGTTCCTCACCCTGGAGACTCATACACCCAACCAACCAAGGCAGGCTTCTCATCGCAGCCAGAGCAGGATGTCGCGTTCATCGCAGAGAGGCTCCAGTCGCACGGTCATGAGGCTGTCGCCAACCCATTCCTAGGGTTCATGGATGAACATCTCTTCCAACGAGGCACGGAGTGATTTCTTACCTCGACGGGTTCCCCCAGTGCTTGCAGTTTCCAATTGGATCTGGTTGCCGCACGTTTGAATCTAGGACCAGCCTGTGCTCACTATGGCTGCACTTTTGAGGTTCACTCCAGCAGCGAGCGAAATTAATTAAAAAAGAAATGCACAGAGCAGATGGAGAAGGCTGGATGTCCATTATCCGGGTAAATATAGCACTGTTAGTGTAACCATGCGATACTCCAGTCTCCTGCCCCGCGCGTAGAAACCGCTAAAATTTATTTCACTTGCTCCAAACACCAACAGAAGCAACAGACCCCTCCTCGGTTTCAGCTGCAGGCATTTTCATGACCTCTTCTCAGAACAGAAACTCGTTGTCATGGCTGAGTTTCAAATTTTAGGAACCGACCTAAAGATAGTTCCCGGTTTTCAGCACTCTTTCCCACGCCCGAGTTTGGTATGAACCACCTCGTCATTGGAGGGAATCCTACGACGCGGCATGCACCAGAACTCAGCCGCGTGTCAACCCCGCCCCACATCTTCTTCTCTCTTCCAACTCCATCTAAAAGTGGTTCCCAAAGTACCCGCAACCATCGCCAATATGCGGCTCCTCAATATCAAAACCTTAAAGTTGGAATGGTTCCATAATGCAGATGTCGCTCCTAGCTACGCCATCTTGTCTCACCGTTGGGAGGATGAGGAGGTACTATTCGAGGACGTTGAAGAGAAGCCTGAAACTCGGAAATTGCGAAGCCTGCAGAGGAAGCTTGAGGAGACTGAACGACGCCTCGATGCGCTTTCTCGCAAGATCGAAGGTCAATCACAGACTGATGTGCTCTCTGATCCGCTCAGTGTCCGGCCAGTCTCTGCCAACACTGAATCCAGTGTCCAAAGATCCCCGGATACAGTGGCCCACGTCCATGAATCCCAAGCCGCCAAGCCAGATGGTTGGGCAAAGGTTTTAGCCTTTTGTAAAATCGCAGAACAGTTTGGCATATCATATGTTTGGATCGATACTTGTTGCATTGACAAAAACAGCAGTACCGAATTGTCCGAGTCGCTCAATTCTATGTTTGCTTGGTATCGATGCGCTACCTTGTGCATAGCGTACCTCTCTGATGTCAGTACGGACTGGGGGAATAAAGATTCTTACAGGGGACTCTCACGACGTCATCCAAAATATAGAGGACATCCACGTAAATCGGTTTGGTTTAACCGGGGATGGACTTTGCAGGAATTGATTGCACCGAAGGATGTTTGGTTCTACAAGCGAAACTGGACTTTTCTCGGGATTCGATCGGAGCTGATTGATGAACTTCATGAGATTACTGGTGTTCAAAAGGAGATACTCCAAAGGAATGGCCTAGAACATTTGCACACTTTGAGCGTTGCAGCACGGATGTCATGTAAGCGCTGGTCAACACCACTATTTCCTCTTTGTTCCTGGAACACTTGGGAGCACTTGACTTCCCCTTGTCTTGGCCAACTGTATACTTTGGAGGCTAAATTTTGGACCTGGTAGGGGCGGCGAATCGAGAGACTACGAGACCAGAAGACCTGGCATACTCCCTCCTAGGTCTTTTCGGCGTCAACATGCCCATTCTGTACGGCGAAGGAGAGCGAAATGCATTCTTCAGACTGCAGGTGATGATATTTCAGTCGTTTTCCGATCACAGCATCTTTGCATGGAAAGCATTGTCTTTACCTCGTGTCTCGCGGTTAGTTGCCGTCCTTTCCATTTCTACTCTCACGGAAGCCTAATTGAATCTGCCGGCAGTAAAAAGTTCTTCGGGAGCGAGTATGAGGAGGTTGATCTGTTTGCCCCATCTCCACGCTGCTTCAAAAAACTAGGCTTTATTATGCGCCTGAAGCCCGATGACCTAAATTTTGTGGGAAACATCAAACCAGTGTCCCCGTACTCCATGTGTGCCCGACTACAGATGCGGCCACTTCGCCAGGGTGACAAGCTTTTCCAAGTAGATGAACTCCGTTTCGAGACCATGTTGGGCCACTTCCGTATTGAGGGGAACAAAAGACGAGCCATTATGATCACTCTTGCCCAAACCGGACTCGGGCGATATCGTCGTATCGTCCAACAGTCAAGTACCGACAACGAGGCCCTCGATCTGCAAGTTGTCGACTCCGCAGTTCGTTTCAAATCATTTGAGACTTTTGAAATGAACGATGTCCTTATATCGAATCCTCGACCCAGTTTACCTCCGAAACATCACGTCAACAGGGGGATGGTTCCAATTGCTCTAGATTGTGCTATTTCGCTCACGGCCGGGGTAGAAGTTGGGGGTTTTTGGGGCGAGGTGGAGGAAAACGTGGTGATCGAGAATGTATCGGGTGAGACAATCTACACGGCCCTCCTCCGGGCATACGAAAATAGAAGGAGAGATGGACCGCACCAGTATTCAGTCGCATTCACAATCCGCAGTATAAAAAATGGGGAAACATATGGATTGATTCTAGCCCTGCTGGATCGGGAAAAGTTTGGCGTGTCAATTGTGCATGACTTGAAGGAGCAGGACTTCAGATATCGCGGATTCTTTGATCGCTGGCTCGAAAGCCGGGATGTTGCAGAGTCGCAAGACCTTACGCGAGATGTCATCAGCTATAAACTTAAAGATGGAACATATCTGTTCTTGGGCTGCGATGGCCAGGAGATGTTGTCTGGATGGGGTCGTCCAACAGAGTCTGATCGAATCACGATAGGAGATATGATCCGAGACGACCGGGAGGACTCAATCTTTGAGTTTCTAGGGGGTCTAGGGCTTCCAGAGATATTAAAGTATTCGCGGAAAGCTCAATTGAGGGTAGGAATAGTAGAATAATGCACATGGCGTTTTCGATTTATTAATGGAATTAGTTGAATCCTGTGAGAAGAGCACTCCCCCCTAGAGGCTACAGCTTATCACGCAGTGCATGCGAGGTCTTCAACAGGGATACCGGAATATAAAGCGTTTGGAGTGATATCATACCCAAGCGTCGGTGGTAGAGAGATGTGGCACGTCGTACTCCGCGGAGAGGTGTGATTGAAGATCAAGACTGTCCCGGGCAGCTTTCAGCTATGGAAGATAACAATGGCTCTACATCGTCAATAAAATATTCCAAAGATTAACAGGCAAAATGTGATAAAGACTTGGAAAAGGAGCTCCATATTGGCACCCTTTTCCTTTTCGCTTAGGGCTCCACATGATGTTAATTCAATACTATTCCCGAACCCTTGGAGTGTTGAGAATGAAAAGTATACTTGCAAGCAAAAGTCTGCCATTGCCAGCTTGAAGAAACTTGATAACACCAAAATCCCAACCGTAGCTCCCTCTAGTCCTAGGTTCCTGATGCCACTGCAGTCTTGAAATGACCACCCTAAAGTTCTAAACACTCCCATCCCTAACCCGGAACTCCGTCTCAACTCTAATCTCTACGCTCTCAGCATTCTTCTTCAACCCTGCATCCCGGTCCGTCAATCTCCACTCCGCAGCCTCCTCGATCACATCAAATCCCTTTCTTGAAACTTTCCGTCTGGTGTCATTAATCGAGAAATACGGGTTCTGCTGAGGATGCAAGAACGGGTCGAGAAAATTCATGGATGAATTTTTGAAAGCAATGGTCGCAGGTGATGATAGACGCATAGATAGTCCCAACGTTGAGCTCGATAACAGATCAATATGCCGCGCCCGTGCTGTTCCAGAGGAAGTTGGGTGTTTGGAACAAGGTTGTGAAGGTGGGGAGGCGGAGAAAAGATGCTATGTATGCCATGTTACACCATCACCAGCCTCAACTCCTCGAACATGCCAGGGAAAGAAGGGGGAAGGGCAGTCATCGCATACGCTCCTCAGAGAGAAGCAGTGCCTATCAGGAAGATCTTTTCCATCCTCGGCCTTGATAGATATTTCAGAATGAAAATTGAGAGAATGAGGATCAGGAGGTTGGTGGCGTTGTTGATACTTCCGTTCGCAAGATACAATGCATCTCGGTTAAGCACTCTCTACCGGGAATCGTGCTGTCCTAGGAATAGGCAATTGGATGGCAGCCAAACGTGCAGGAGGGTAGCGTTACGAGCGCGAACATGATGACGAGCATTACGGAGACGTATATGGTTTGTGGGTATGGCCTGGCGTAGAGATGCGTAGGTATTGTTCGAGGATGGACAGTTTAGTTAAAAGGCTTTTTGCCGTATAGATTACGATGCCAGCATAGGGTGACTACAATGAATTAGCAAAATGGTTAGACAAGATTGCGGATTGTACCTTGAAATAACGTGGGATGTTTGAAGGATAGGCACAGCTAGATGCTTTCCTAACCCGAACCGCACCTCTAAGAGCAGTCAGAAATGATGAAGGAGCCATAGAAAAAGGCAACCGAAACCGCGAGGGAGCAAATCTAAAGAAGTTATAGAAACTGGGCCATCACTATCAAACAACATTTACTATCGCAAGTGCTATATATACATCATCTCGTGGAGCATTCTTGAACAGTGATAAGAGCTAACATAGGGAAATTTGCCACAACGGCCAAGATCTTGCTCCTCTAAGTGAGACGTTGATGCTCGTTCATATTTGCACCTGGTCAAGATATTGAAAAATGTCAAATCTTCGCAATTTGCGATGTTGGTTCCTCACGCGTGGGTGAAAATACCTACGGATGCCTCAAACTCAGGAGCAGCAGTTTTGCAACGCACAAGGTTTGCATTCTCGGTCCCTCCTCAAGTCAGAGAGCCACAAGTTCTTCGTGAGCTCATTCTCTCTGATATTGAAGAGCAGCCTTTAGACGACCGGTTTTCCCTCGCGAATGAACTTGCCAAAGCCGTCATGCTCGTGCGCTCCCCAGATTCGTCCACAAGAACATCCGTCTTGAGACAACTCTTATCCTTAAAGTCGAGCATGGCGCTTCTCATGCATTTCGGGGTTCGAGGGCTCTCGTTTGGAGGGCGGAAAGATAATATATCGCGGTGACGGGTCATGGCAGAAGAAATGTACCGCTACCTACCCGACAAGAAGTGCGATCGGAAAATAGATTATGTGATGTAGTACAATGGTGTGTGTATGCTAGAGATCGGGATGGGGACTTCTCTTGTTTTGTATAGATCTAGCACTGCGCCAGCTGCCAGCCCATTGATCTCCCATGTGTTGTATCTTCCGACCAAAAATACAATGAAGAAAGCTTTCGAGCTAAACAAGAGTTTGTTCAAATCGCCGAAACGAAACTGCCTTCCTAGATAGGCTGTAAGTATACGGGAACAGTTGTGGCTTGCTTGACATGTCTGGACAAGAGTAATAATGCATTTGGGTATGAAGCTGAATTTCTGGACACAAATCGACTGCTCGTTAGACTCGGCTATATTAAAAAATAACCCCAAGTTTTGTTATTAGTAAAAAAAAAAATTAATATATAGAAAAATAATATATTATTAAGGAAAGAGAAGTAATTTAATAAGATAAGAATATATAGTTAAGTTTACTTGGCTGTTTAATAAGAGGCAATAGAAGAGAAGGCTATTAAATTTGGCTTGAGAAAGAGGAGTTATAGGTATTACCAAATGGTTCCATTATAAATAGATTATTATTAATAGAAGTATAAATACTATTACAAGTTTGCGGAAAGGCCTGAAATTTGGGCTGCTATGAAAACTCTCTAATAAAGCTTCTTGGGTCGATATTAGTACGGAGTTCAGTCGAATAAATTCGAGAACTAGAAGTAGTTTCCGGGGAAGATCCAGAAGTAGTATAGAACGCTTGACCGGTCTCGGAATTACTATAAGTAGTACTCTAGTATCGTTTTCCGGGCAGAAAAGAAAACGTGACAAAGGATCTACTAAGAGTAATATAATAAAGAGATTCAAATCGGATAATAGTCAGATAGTTGCTACGAATTCTGAGCCGGATATAAAGAAGTACGAGTAAGACATTTCCAATGTCTAGAGTATCGAGGAACCCAAAGCTAATAGCCTAACGAGTTAGGAGAGTAAGACGTATGGCAACCGAATACATACCTGCTTAATAATTTTACCGGCTGAACGACCACTTTATTTATATAAATCAGTTAGAGAGCTTTTAGAAGCGTTTCGCAATGCTATTACGGGTTATAAGTCACTTTTAGAGGATAGGAAGATGCTCTATCGGGACATTTCTGAAAATAATATCATTATTACAACCCCTGTTAGTAAAGGAGTCCCGAAAGGGAGATTAATTGATATGGACTTAGGAAAAGAGTTGAATTGCGTGCCTAGTGGAGCTAGTCACCGGACTGGAACCACACAGTTCATGGCAATCGAGGTACTTCAAGGCAAGGGCCACACTTATCGGCACGATCTTGAGTCTTTTTTCTATGTCTTTATATGGATGTGCATTCGCTACGGCTACAACGGAGAACATAATGGTGAAGAATCAGCTGCGCCAAGTTCAAAGCCAAACAGGAGGAGGGTGAGACCCACGAAATCCAGCATCCCGTCACCCACTCGTTTGGCTAGGCGAGCAGCACAAGTCCTGACATCCGCTAAATCACAACGAAAAGTCCGGGTTGTTCTGATGGCTTGCCATTTCTTCTCTATTAATCGTAGGCTGGGAAGCTATCTGGTATCGGCGTCGAGACAGCCTTTTTATTTTACGTAACCTCCTAATATCTGTCCACTACTTTTTGAACCGTTCCTGACGTCTCGCTTTCGGACGGCAAAATGATTGCAATTTTATCGTCAGGGAAGTAATTGATATCAAGCGGATCATGTGTAGGCAAGGCCGGAAGTCCCGAGAACTGTGCGGTCTGAAAACATTGGCAAGGCGAGGACAACTCTATATCTTGTAGGAGGCCTCCCTTGAGTTCTTCCGCGGTGGGTCGTCGTTTCCGATCACTACTCATCATCGCAGATATCAGAGCATATGATGCAACCTCCTTTTCTTTGCCTGTGGCAAACCAATCTCTTAGCTTGTAAGCTGTGGCATAGTAACATATGGTCATCTGTTGCGGCTCGTCAGGATCCGGCTCGCTTCGAAAATCGTGAAAGTCCTCGACTCTTCGGCCATGAATCACAGTAGCCATCTCGGCAAACACACATCCTAGAGAGAAGATGTCCGCTGATCGTCCTCTTCTGTCTTCGTCAATGACCTCAGGTGCGCTATACATTTTGGTGACGCCGAGGAGGCCCCCGTCAGTTGAGCTGGTTAGACCTATACTGAATTGATGTGCTGATCCGAAGTCCGTCAAGTAAATTGCAGCCCCTTTGCATATGACGTTGCTGGGCTTGATATCCTTGTGTCGAATGTTTTGAGAATGAATGTACGCTACGGCATTCGCGAGACAATAACGCCACTTCTCCAAATTTGCGATATCTTTCTCAGGAAAATCATCCTCGCTGACTCGCTCCATATAATGCAAAAGATCTTCCTCGCCAACTGGGGATAACAGAATACCGAATTGTCGCGGAACAGATATTGTTTCATAAGTGCACACGACTTGGATGATATGCTGGTGGTTGAGTTCTCTTAGAATTGCCACTTCACTTTGAATGAGCGGCAACACTATTTTTCGTGCCACACCTTGAACTCGAATTACCTTTCGGGCCAAGAGAGCACCTTCCTCGCCGGCGATAGGGCGGACCGCATCGACGACCCCGAGCGAACCGTAACCCAGCTGCCTGATACTAATAAAGGGAACGACTTTCTGGCTGGCGTACTTAGTATGGCTAAACTCGATGCCCATAATTTCCTTGTTGCCGGGCTTGATTTTCTGGGCTCTTGGAGGTAGTGCTGGAGATATTTTTATAGTTGAAGACGGAAGTCCAGTGCTGGGCTCCTTGAAGTCCTGGAGAAGAGCTAACGAGCGGTTTGTTATGTCAATTTCCTTCCCTTTAACAGCGGCATTGACGGGCTCGATTTTATCCGCTCCGGGCGGCAGCACTTGGAGTTTTTGTGGTCTTGGGCGCGGATCCTGAGGGTCGGGCGAACTACTCCTAGAGAGATACCGGCGTTCTCTTTCACGTTCTTCTTCCATTCGGCGATAGATATCGCTTGGGCGAATAGATGGGAGAGCTTTGCCAGCTGAAAATGGTTCATCCGTTGGATGTGGGTACCGGCGCTTTTCGTCCTCTGTATCGGAGGAAAACTTTCGCCGATGACTGTCCACTTCGGCTGGTTCTGGAAGCGGCAATAAATCACCATATGGCCTGCCATCGTTCAAACTCGGAAAATCAGCTCTCGCAAGGCTATGCATTGCCTGGCCTTGCTGTCGCAGTCCTGCTGGCTTTGCCAGTGGTGGGGGAGGCTCGTAATCATAGTCGTCGTCTCCCCAGTCATCACCACCATAATTCGCAGGCTTCGCCTCTGCCCACTTCTTGGTTTTCTGTCGGTTGACATTCGCTTGGTACGAGATATGTGATCCAGCAGAAGGTCTAAAGCGTTATCAGCAAACTCCAGCTTCTACAGCACTGACATGACTGCTTCTCCTCACATTTGCTTCTCCATAGTGAAGCCGGATGGAAAGGGGCGCGCTATTATGGGTACTTTTCACAGAGTTGAGGCTCACGAGACCTTCATTATTTTGAGTCTCCGTTCATTGGAGCTGCGATCGCCAGCTTCGAGAGGCTTGCAGAATGTTAGCGGCATCAGGTGCTTGAGTAAGGCAAGGTTTGAACTTTGCTCGGCACCGTGATAGACCAGGAGAGGTTCTTGTCTTAATATCTGCAGTAATTTGAGCAAACTGGCTTTGAAATTCAGATCTGGAAGTGAGGCTGTGAAACGGCGGGGCTTCAACCCGCTGACACATCTTCGGAAGTGTCTGCATGAGGTTCAGTCACGTGTCAACCCAGCCAATGAGAAGGCTGTCCTGCTGGAATCTTGAAGAGGACAAATAGTTTTTATCTTCTCTATTTCGATGATGACTCCAAGATATTCCAATTGTGATCGTGAGTGAGTTCTGTTACCGTTGTCAGGAAGTCGCATATTACGGGCTGAGTCTAACCCCTCCGAGTTGCATGTTATCTTTGAGAAGCTCGGAGTTTCTGCTCAGCTACAAAGTTAGGCGTTTGGCGAATTCTGTCGAAACCGGTTGAAAAATAATAGTAAAGAGTGCGTTTATTTCCACTAATCACTATATGATATGAATAGCAAACACCCTCTTCCTAGCAATCCCACGGTCCGTCATTGAAGTGTCACTCCCTCTCGAACTTTCACACCAACCCATCCCAAACAAATGTCCCTTGAAAGGATCTCCTCCATGTTCCTCCCTCTTATCCCATCTTTCAGCCAATTCCAACAAGCAAGCTCGCAAGCCCGGCCACACTCCTCGGATCCTTGGGAAGCACCTCACGCGTATCGATCAGAAAACTCTGGGTCAAGATACACAGCACCATGATCACCAACAGAGTCTGCAAGATCCTTGTTGACGCAACGCTCTGCACCAAGCGTTCGCGATTAAGGTTTGACGCCGTGCCGGTGAGGGTCGATTGGTCTGTGGTGTTGATGCGAAGAGACCCGGCACCGCTATAACCGTATACCTGCGCCTTCAGCACCTTGTGGAGATGCAGGATTGCATCGCTCATGTTTATAGCTAGGCTTGGTTCGGAGAAGGCGGCGAGAGGTGGTGGTGCATTGCCTGCGACGAGGATCTGAAAGAAGTCTTGCAAGATCGTTTGGTTGGAGATCGCCCCTCCCGATGTGATATTAGTGAAGATGTCGTATCCGGAATTGGATGTAAAGTTGTTGAGCCAACGGGTCGTTGGTTCGTCCGGAATGGGTGGTTGGGTAATGTCAATGGCGAGAGAGGGGAGGGTGAGGGTGGTGTTCACCATGAGCGTCTCGACATCCTCGAAGCAGGTCATTGCGGCAACGTTCTCAACGGAAGACGCTCCAATATTGCCCCATACATAGTACCAGTAAGAACATGGCCAGTGCGGCCTGCTCTGGTAGGCGCCAAACAAACATATGCTAGCTTTCACACTGCGGCAGCTTCGAAGCCCGGGCCCTGCATACCGAGCAGCATCAGCGGTGAGAAGAATCGGAGAAGGCTCTTCATCATATCCTGCTCAACCAGGCTCTTCATCGGGGAGACAAAGGCCAACTCTCTTCGATTCTCCTCCGAGCTCGCAAGCCTCGGGCTCGGATCCGCGTTCTCAGTACCAGAGCAGAGGTAGAGCGCCCGTGTCCGAGGCTACAATGCAGGTGCCAATCAGGGGGCCGCCGCCTGCTGGCGAACCCCAACAAGAACCTCCGATGCGAAGACCTCTGCCCAAGACACCTGAGAGGAAGGGGGAAGGCTTCTTAGACCGCTTCAGTCCCAAGAAGCGGGAAAAGTAGGAACGAAGGCCGGTTTATCTTTACGCTATTATTTTTTCAATTTGTATTTCGTTATAATTTGTTTTCCTCCGGTCTTACCTAAATATCCTTTCTGAAGTAAGCGCTCTTGTAATAAAATCAACTCTTATAAATTTGAAGAGCATGTTAAGCAAGAAGATATACGAGCCAAGCACGAGCGTCGAGTCGAAGATAATTGCAGGGATTAGGAACCTGTTGCTTTGGGAACCTGCGGAGGCAATTGCAGCTTGCATTAAGATTTGGCGGCTCTTTCGCCCTGACCTTTGGTAACGAGTCTTCGGTCTTCCTGGCTTCCGCGGAGCAGTGCAATAGCCTCCAAGGGACAAAACCCAATCCTACTCGCAGGTTTCTTCCTGGCAATCTTGGTAACGTCTAAGAGGACTCGTTCTACTTGTAAATTATGGGACAATGTTGTATTGACTGCACGTTCAGGGGTTGTCCGCACTGCGGCTGGCGGCAAGCTCCAAATTACTGATCTTGAGCCTTTCTTACTTGATAAAGTTTGAACCCAGCAGACAAATCGGAGATAAGAAATTCGACCGAAGTCCCCGAGTTAGATCAAACTGGGTCCGATTGGACGAGATATAAATTGAAGCACAAAAGAGGTCGCAAAATTTCAAGAGTATGACCTTGTGGACACTTCCAAGCCGAGCTGTCTCTTGCCACCCTGGATCTCAAATTCTGTCCCATACGGCGGGTTCTGCTGTTACCTCAATATAGGTACCAATCCTCACCTAAAAAGGGGAAGTTGAACAATACGTCGAAGTGTTGAAGTCGCACCTTCATCTTGGGTCGTCCTGCTCTCGTCCTGCCTTATCCCGCTCTTGGCCAACTCGAGTACTATTCGAGTACCCTCGTTCATCCGTTCCTGCCTTGCAGAAATGGAATGAAGTATCCGCGTTGAGAGGTCCAATGTTTGCATCGTAAAATTGTTGCAGAAGAGAAGGTTGTGTTACTGTAACACTGCTGAGATTCAATGCCAAGAGTCACTAAAACACTTCCCTACGCCCACACATCACTGCCCGCCAATTGACGTACAGCATCGCCGTCCCGTGTCTCTTCCCCAATGAAACCATTTCCACCGAACCACAGCATCACGAGAAGATCAACCCCGATGCGACCACTGCCTGCAAACTCGACCAATGGCTCTGCTCAGGCCCATCGCAGCGGAATGCCAACCATGGGCGATCTCCACAAGGCTGAGCCAGGGCTCACGTAGGATCGTTTGATGGCGCGGATGGCGCAGCAGCAGCTGAAGCTCTTGGCGGAAGGGACAATGGGGTGATGGATGGGCATATATACTCTTCTCGACCACCTCGAGAAGCTGAGATGCTTTCCTTCCATACAACTCAATTCGAATATCTGCCCAACCACCAATCCCTCTCCTGATCCACGAAATCCACGAATCCCTCCAAACGAGAAGCTATACAGACTATAGACAAGATGAACAGCCAACTCGCGCCCCTCTCCCCGCCCCTCGGCGTGAACCCCGCCTACTGCGTCCCCCGGCAAACCGTGCTGGTAATGAAAGAAAAAGTGTGGTCGCTCTCCGGCGACACTTTCCACATCGTCGACGAGAACGGCCACGAGGTTGTGCAATGCAGAGGCCAAGCCTTCTCCCTCTCCGACCGAAAGGAGTTCGCAGATAGTTCCGGCAGGCCACTGTTTAGTCTGCGGACGAGACATTTTACGCTGCATAAGAGTTTCTATGCCGAGGATGCTGGGGGAACGGTGTTGTTTGAGGTTAAGGGGAAGTTTAGTATTGGGAGCTCGAAGATGATCGCGACGTTCACAAATCGTTCGAACGGTGCGCCGATTGAGTTGCTGGTGAAGGGAGATTGGTTTGACCGCTCTGCCACTATTACGATGGGGAACCAAATCATTGCGACGATTGGCAGGAGCTATTTCAATATGAGAGAGGTGTTTGGAGGGCAGCAGACTGTAAGTCTCTCTTCTTGCTGATGATGCAACTGAGAGTTGTAGCTAACTGGAAATAGTACTATGTGACTGTTGCACCGGGTGTCGACTTGGCGATGATGGCTGCGATCTGTGTCTGCCTGGACGAGAAGGAGAATGAGAAGAAGTAGGACATAGGTTGAGGGATTTGATATGCTGGAGTCTGGAGTTGAGTGGTGGTTGCAGCTCAAGGCTCAACGGAGCTATGTCTACGAGGAGGGATTGCTGCAAGGCACAGGAAATTTGCCGTATACCCTCTCTATCTTATGATGCAAAGCTCAATTGAGCTCAATATTCCATACAGCTTTTCCACAACACCGTTGAAATGCTAGCAATTCGCAAATGGGTATCTACCTTCCCAGCAACGCCAAGCCAAGCCAATGAGACTCGTTACCTGTTCCCAAACCTAGCCCTGCAACTCCCATATTTTCCATAGCAGTCAATCCTTCAATCTTTCAACCCAATTCCAAACTCCTCATACAATTCCCCGATTCTGACGCCTCGGTTGTCTGCAATCATCCCCACCAGTCCTTGTCCCACATCTCGAATATCATTGTAATCGTGCAGCAGCTTGATATGTCTCTTCACAGTTTCGGCAGGCGGTTGTCTGCAGGTACCAATGTTAGTAGGTTGTTTCTCCACTACCAGTTCAGAGGTTTGGTGGGCCTTGGAAGTGTAGGATGTACATTGAGGTGCAAGAGAACATACTTCAAATCCTTTGTAACTTCCTCCAGCTTCCTGCGCTTAGTAGAAATCTCGGTTTCTAATGCTGAAATGCGGCTCTGGATAGACGCCTGTATAAGTAAGGATATTAGTCTAGAGTCAATGAAGACGAAAGGGGGAAAGCTGAAGTTAAGCCAGTGAAGGGTGTGAACAGGCGTTCCAAAAGGGAAAGATTAGGAACAGTACTCCTGGACTTACAATCTTTATGGTCTTCAGCTCCGCCATCAAGACATCTTTGCTCTGCGGCGCTTCAGGAGCTGTGGAGGATCCAGTTGGTGACTCCTTCCTCTTGGCTTTAACAGAACCGCCTTGGAGTGGCTTCAGGGGAGAAGATGCAATGTCAGTGGCTTGAGATGATTCCTCCATTATTGGTACAGTCGCCTGTTCTGGACTCTTTATGGTTGGCTCGTTGTGAAGCTGAGCTGCTGACGGAGAAGATAGAGGTTGAGGGGATAGTTGATCTTCAGTGCCCAAAGGAAAGGCATCTGTTGAAAATTCATCAAGAACGCTTCTCGAACGCATATTGACGGATGGAGTGGGGCGGTGGAGTGCTGGGGCCTTGAAGTTGAAGCGTTCGGCAGGAGAAGATGTAGTCTCAGCGGACGCTGGGCCTTCCGGTTCAAGACTCTTTCCTTTACACGATGAAGCGGATGCTACAACTTCTTTTTCTTGTCCTTGTTGTGCAGTTCCAAGCTTGGGCCCTGGTGCCGAAGTCTCTACTGCTTTGGGAAGTTTTTCTTCAGTGACGGTTGGCTTGGTGATTGTGGGGGGTGTTTCCCGGGCTGGAGATGGGCTCGAAGCTGGAACTCGAGTGATGTGTTCTTGCATACTCGGAGCATCTGGGAGCTCATCATCCTCACCGTCATCGCTATCTGGAATTGCTCTAATGGTATTCAACAATTTGGGCTTCTCTGCTGTGTCACTGGTGTCTAAGATCGTTGGAGATATTTCGTCTACTGTAGGATATCAGTAAACTAGCTCCAAAGAATGTAAAATCGACACAAAGAGATATCACTCACCAAGAAGCTTTCGCGCTGCAATAGCAATCTCTTTAGCAACAGTTCCCGGAGAAACAAGAGACCCTTGGGCATTTGGATTTACTGGGGTTTCCATAGCTCCTGCGACTCCCTTGACTGGAGTTGTCCGAGGGCTAACAACTCCACCATTCACTGCTGCAGATAGCGTGCCTTGGTCCAGATTCTTGGTTGTGTCCAGATCCGGTGATGAGGCGGATTGCGCATCCTGGACTCCCCCTTGTAATATCCCTTGCCCAACATCGTCATCCTTATCCAAAGTTGACGGCAGGCCATCATCCCTTTCCGTAGTGTATACCATCTCCTTTGTAGCCTCCGCTGACTCCGTCGTCCCAATGACAGACTTCTTTGCCACATCTACTCCAGCTCCTTCTGCGGCACGTGATACTTCTGCCATCCCTTCTTCCTGGACAGGGCCGGACACATCCATCATCGTAGTGTCCTCCTCTTCAACATGCTGTTGCTGCACCTCTCCGGGGATCTCCAATCCGCCATCTACCTGCACAGCCCCATCATGAGATGCCCCATCTCCTATGCCAACCTTGACCGGACTCGAGAATTCAGATGCCTCCTCACGATCCGGAATCTCTGTCCTCGTCGCCTTTTGTTTACCCATTGGAGTATCTTCCTGTCCAACCTCTTGTTCTGTAGCCTCCTGAACCGTTTGAACTCTTCCATCGTGCTCCGCTGCCTCGTCCCGCTTCTCATGATCCTTGGCAACCTTGACGGGGCTTGACACCTCAGATGCCCCCTCACTATCAGGGATCTCCATCCTGATCTTCTTTCTTGGCGTGTTGTCTGTTGTTTGCGTTCTCAATGGTGGCAGCAGGCCGATGTTCATTTCTGCTTCTGGAGTCGTGACTCGGTCCATGGTTGCATCTGCTCCTTCCGGCTTCTCTATGGGGCTCTGGTGAGGAATTGGAGGTGATTGATCATCTGCATCCTTGTTTGACGCGCCTTGATCCATTGAGAAGGCCACGATGCGTCATTCCAGGATGTTGAGTATGGTGTTGATGTTGTGTCATTGTTCAGGGAGGGAGAGAAGCGAGGATATGGATTTCGGTTCCCTTCCAAATCACGTGAGTCGATACAATCTGGACAAGCATCCACGAAGCTAAATCGCCGCGTCGACCCCCCCTCAAGGGAAAATTCGGAATCCTTCTTGAAAATCTCAGAGATTCACGATTCATGAACAACGGCTTGAGATTCTACCAAGAGCGATTGGTAATCTTATCGAACCATTCGCCCCTGTGAGTATACTGGGTCCGTGCGTAGCGAGGAGAGACCCCCTTTTCATGTGTTGACTTGTTGACTGGTCTACAGAGGAGAATCAGAATAGCCACAAGGCTCTTGGGTACTACACACTACCATCCTCCAACCTTCCATGAACAATCAGCAGAAACCCACGCCCTCTAGATCATACACAATGGCTCCCATCCAACATTTCGAACCACTGCCCTAGCTCCCGGGAGGAAATGCTAGTTGAGCTCAAGTCAAAACCGAGTCCAGAAGCATTGGAGGATTAAATAAAGCCTATCCGCCACCAACTCGAGTAGAAGGAAAGAGATTTGAAGTCAGCGAAGAGCCAAACTGCAGATGCAACGCGAAGACCAGTATAAAGGGAATTCATCTGGAATTTCCAGCCGACTCTCCGGAGTCGTGCAGTACTATCATCCTGGTGATTGGCAAACTATCTGGAACGAGGGCAATGGGGAAATGGAGGCAAATTTGGAAATGAGGCCTTCTACACGGGCCCGCAAGCGTATTCTTGGGAAGAAACCCGGGCTGAGGAGCTGTCGAGAGCTCAGGAAGGACTGAGAACTTACACTGGACATGCCGCCGGTATTTCATCCACACAAACTGTTGAGCTGCTTCCAGCTGATATGTTTCTACAGAAGAGCATCCAATCCCCGATGTAAGGCGAGGTATTATGAAAGAGCGACAGAGTTGAATAGAAGCAGACATGCCAATATTTTAGGGTGAAGCGGGGCGACCAAAAGTACAGGGGTTGGGTGTACCAAGGGAAACTGAATGAACTTTATCCAATTAGCGAGGGGTAAAGACTGCTACTAGGGATCCACGAGTTTAGGAGAGATAGAAGAAGCAAAGAGGAGAGGGGATGTAGGAATATACACGAGAATTAAGCAGCAGGAGCAGAGAAAATTCACAATTGTACGAGTTGCAAAGACCTCTTGCAAAATATCGCAGTGTTGTTGACCCCCAATAAGCTTAATAAAGGTACCCTCAAGCCTTAATATGGGCTTATGCAGCTTGACAGGTGCTATACGCCCCCGAACGCCTGTAAATATAGGCGAGTCCAGTGATTCGTAGCGAGCAAAGGGGGGGTAGTTAGCCATAATGCACACTTCTCCGCATATACTTTGTCTCGAATTCTGATTCGAATTGATTAAAAACAATTCACTACCTTCTGCTTTGGTTTTATGACTATTATGGCTACTTTTGGAGGTATATTTGGCTTCCCTGACTTATCAAATGGCTAATCAGAGCTCTCCTCTCCTGATTCGTCGAGGCGGTATTAATTGGTACATGTATCAAAAGAAGGTCCTCGTTGGGAAGCTCTTACCATTTGCAAGAGAGTGTCAAAATAATCGACCCGATACGATATTTCAGGAGGACAATACACCGGCACACAAATCTCACCATCAGGGAGCAATTTATAGCTTATCCCTTCATCCGCTCAACTATCTAACAGACACAAAGACATTGACAAGGAATTGAGACTTGACAGTAATAAGCTTTCGTCCGTCTAGGTTTCGGGGGGAACCCCAGAAAATATTAACGACCAGGGTCGCAGAGAGCGGTGATGTTGAAAGTGTGGAGAATGTTTAGTGCCTGTGCTTTGCATCTCGGTACATAGCAAACTGACGGTGAAGGATCGGATTCTTCTTGAAAGTCTCTTCCTGAGAGGAGCCTATGAAGACGAAGTTGTACTCAACTTAGCTAGTCGTGCTCGATTCTGCAGGGCCGTGTTGCTTTCATAAATATCAAGGCCAAATTCCGAAAAAGGAGGAGTTAACCCCTGATGCCGCCTCCCTAATACTTGACTTGAGTTCTGTACAATCATCCTATCTCTTTCCGACTCATAACTCTCCATCTGATATTGACACCACCTTAAGTCCCCTTCATCTCTCGATAAGCCTCACCGAAAGCCTTCAATCGCCACGGAAAATCCATCTTGTCCGTGAAAATCTCGAGAACCTGTTGCCGGGCGGACTTCATTAGCTGCATCCCCACAAATTGAACCCAAATTGAAAATTAGTAAACAAGATAAATAAATTAAAATGTATTTGAGAAATTATTTCACTGACGTGAACTCCCTGCGGATCCTCGAGTTCTGGTCGTGTGAGAACGGCCTCCAACTCCACTTTCGTGCGGACTTGATATGTCCGAGCTGCTCCATCCTCGGCACCGAAGAAATCAAGCATATGCTTGTGGTTCCAAGTTGCAATGTCATGATAGGCTTACCAATAAGAGTTAGTCATCTAGATTCGAAAAAGTGGCTAGTTATGTTCATTTACCTGCATCAGGGTGAACAACGCATCTCTCGATCGAATAGCCGCCATTATTGATGATGATACTGAAAAGTGTGAGATAATTCAGCGATGGATCCTGTTGGCGGAGGACTTGCATGATAACATCCAATTGCTCTCGAATCATACTCCCTACTTCCTGAACGGTCAATTGCATCGCCCCTTCTCCGGTAATGAAGATTACTCTCCCGTCACCTCCTCCTTTGACTCCGTTCCAGCCTTCCGCCTTGCTGTTGGTTAAATCTCTCTTTGCTATGGCTCCTCCGAAGGTTGCTGGCAGAGCATAGCCTATGCTCGCCCAGTGATTCTGCATTATGTAAGTGATATCTGGGAACTCTGCATCTTGAAGTCCAAAATGGCATGTTCCCCCGTCAGAAAATATTATGTCATGTGCTCTAAAGAACTTCCCGATTCGAGGCCATAGGTGAGATTGTGTGATGAATGGATCCTTGGCCTCGGAATTTGATGGTAATGGTGGTAGTGCTGGGAGTGCGAGAGATGACGTTTTGGGAACTCTCGAGATGTCCAGAGAGTTAGAGAGGCGAGTAAGAACTAAAGGCATCAGCATATTCGCAAGATGTAGAAAATGTGGCTGAATAGAATTACAAGATTCCAAATAAACACCGACAAACAGCTCTCCTTTAAAAATCACCTTCGTCTCCTGGAGCAAAATCAACTTTTTGGGGTCAATCTTCGCCGAGAAGCCGCCTGTATTCATATCTGTAGGCAGTGGCCCTATGTGAATCACCAAATCACTGTCTTCTTCTACCGCTTTCTGAACCCCAGGGTACGAGAATTTACCGTTGTAGGTCCCACGGAAGTATGGTTTCCTTTCCTCAATGACAGATTTACCCATGAAAGGGCAAAACGTGGGGAATTTAAGGTTGTTGAGGAAAGAGCGGACGAGCGGCTTCAGCCCCAGTTGTAAGATAAGTGAATCGACTAGGACTACTGGATTCTTAGAGGAGTGGATGGCACCGAGAACGGCATCCACAGCTGCTTGTTCTGCGGTGGTTTCACTCGGTCGGGTGAGGAGAAGAGGTTTGTCTAGCGCTGATGCTGCGACTGGTTTATGTGCCATGTCTACGGGGACATAAATGTACACTGGACGCGAGTGAATGTAGCACTCCCGAATCACTCTCTATATTCTTCAATTAAGCTTTAATCTAAATAAGATTGGAAGTGGCATACATCAATCCCAGCAACAGCTGTATTCTCATCGTCGAGGTAGCAGTGGGCTACTCTCACAGGTGACGATATCTTGGCGTATATCTAGAATTAATCAGCTTTGTTGGAATGTTACAGCTTTACCAGACGCGACTTGGAAGTGAGAACGGACCCTATGGTCAGGGGAATCTCCTAGAGTATGATGAATCATAACTCTCTTCTCCTGAGCGGCTCTTCCAGTCGCAGTGACGACATGGATAATCTTCACATTCTCTGCGAAGGACCCTGCAATGCCGTTGATAGCACTCAGTTCCCCGACTCCCATGGTCGTCAAAACTACTTCCAGTCAACATCAATCTCCTCGACTTACATGGAAGAGAAAAGTACGTACTGACGCCAGGACACCCTTTGATCCTCGAATATCCATCGGCAGCATAAGCAGCGTTAAGCTCGTTTGAATTTCCCACTTCGAATCTTGTTTAGCGACACATCCTTCTCAGCGGAGCTCGCAGTCTCACCCCAATGCATATCAGTGCTCCCAATATAATGCAGCAACTCCAAATTTGTATCTCCAGGCAGTCCCATCACGGTTCCAACTCCTAGTTGCTGTATTCTATCATCAGACTAGGTGTCAGCACCCCACTTTAAGTTGCAGGGCACAAGGACTGTCAATTTCTCACCTCTTCCATAGAAATAATCCAAGAGGAATCGTCTCATTCGCTTGGGTCGCTTCCGATCGATTTTGAAAGCACCTTGAATTCGAAAATGCTCTCCGTTGAAAAGCTAACGCTGGGAATGAAATTGGGCTGAACTTATAGGGGGGTTGAGACGCTGATCGCGGGGTTGCACAACCCCTCCTTAAATTGATGAGACGACATCGAGAGATGGGGAATGGTCGCATAACTGAGATACATTAAAATTGCAGTGCATAAAGGAGAAGCAGAACGAGAAGATTCAGAAATAACAGAGAGGGGAAATATTAATGAAACAAGAAGGTTGAGATTCACGCAAAATGTTGTGTTAACGCAGGTCATTAGTCAGCACTATTTTATAGGCTTGCAGCCGAACCGAGAGAGCTAATAGGGCGCAACTTCTGTTGAGTATTTGTTCTATTCTTTCTATCTTGCTGTTATTTCACCACCATCCTGGCCACCAACCAGCCTAGGCCATCAACCAGCTCTCATCTCACACCTCCACCTCGGCTAAGCCCATTATGCCAGAGGCTCTCCCTGCAAAGCCTTTCCAGCTTTGACACACAAAGTGATACATTGCCCAATCCCAATAAGCCAGAGCAGAGACCTCAAATCAGAAAACTTCGGGTTGGTATTGCTGATGTAGACGGCGGTGTACACCACCCTGCTCACAACATACCCTGCACTCAATCCATTGAGGGTGCTTGAGGAGAGTCCAGCGAGATTGCCGGCAACGACGGCAGCTGCGAAGAACCCTAGATTTTCGAACCCGTTTTGTTGCGCTCCTTTAATGCGGGTGAAGCGGTCTTTGGTCTAAAAGGGGTGAGTTTGGTGCCACTGGAAGGGACCAGACTTGAAGATGAGGACATACGGCTTGATCAATTGTCTGGTCCTTTTCTAGGACGGACATGTAGTTTCGAGGAGATGTTTTGTCGGCTGTGTAGTACAGCGTCGAATACACATGCGGGACGAAAGCAACGAACCATGCTGCCGGGATCTGATTAAAAAGTCAGCCGAAATCCATTATCAAAAATTTATTCGTATACCGAGAAGAGAGAGTAGTTATCTTTGATGGACGACATGTTGAAATAGCCGAGAAGGTATTTGCTGTGAAGCTGTTGAATTTCGATTAGGTTTGAATGAGATGCAAAGATCAGCGAACAGAGAAAGAGATATATGTGTCATTTTGAATAGATGCAAATCGTCCCAAATTTGAGATTAGTGATCGTAAACGCTGTGGAGTAAGACCCTCTCACAATCACTAATCGTCCCACCCTGCTAACGCACGTACGGGACACAGTCACGTGCTTGTTGTCAAGTGACAAAACTGTTGTGCTGTGCCTTAAGATTAGCTAAAAAGCGAGAAGTCAAAACAAGAAGTGATTTGACAGATCTTGCTCAGGATGCTCAGGGTGCTCAGGGTGCTCAGGTTACGGAGTACGTCGACTTCTCCTCTGAGATCATTTTCCTCCAATCATCCAAGCAACGCTTTCAAGATCCAAGGAAGAAGCAATACCTGTACGAGAATGAAAAAGGTTATGATGCAGATGGTTAGGATGAGGAATAGGAAGAAGAGGGGGAGCTGGTGGAGAACCGCCGTGTACCTTCCCAACGGACCAAAGTTTCCTCGTAAAATTAGAGAATCAGTCAAGAACATTGCTGTTCACCTCTCCCTCACTCACCTCAAATACCCCATCAGTGCGGAGGACAAGCTAACTGGCCAGTATCGGTCCTGGAGCGCGTTCATTGCCAATCAGCCAGTCCAAATCATGAGTAATCTAAATGAGCAAACAAGGAGGTGAAAAAGGAGGGTGCCTTTCTTGATAGCATGGCCTATCAAATCCACAAGGAATTCAGAAACACCAACAACCTCTACGCTGTCGTCCCCGAGGTAAAGCAGCAGCAGGTTCTCCCAGTTCGATCCCATTATGAGTACAATCGATTTCGGTATCCCAGACTGGGGGAAAGAGGTTTTCCTTCCGTGGACAGCAGCAGCTGAAGGAGAGCTCATTTATAGCTGGAAGCAGTTTGCGATGATTGAGGTGATGATGCGTATCTGGGCCAGTGATCATGTCCGGGGAAATAGAAACCTATGGCGTCAATTTAAGAGAAAAAGCTCCGGGCTTCCCAAGCTGGAGCTGGTCTTCGCCGACTACGAGGGTCGTGGGCAGGCGATTCCCTGGGATGGTATGAGGAAAGGATCTTGGATGTACAGCAAAGCCGTGGCAGATTGGAGAGGACTTCATTGTACAAGGACTGAAAGGAACATTCAGAGCAATTTGGATATCACATTGTACGAAAATACTTGGAACATTGGATATGGAGAGGGCTTGATTGTACGAGAACTGAGCGGAACATTGGTAATGGAGGGGACTAGATTGTACGAGAACAGGCTTGAACATTTTGAGCCTGGTGAGAATTGTATGGTACAAGAAATTCCGAAACAATGGAGAGCTAGAGTGGGAGAACTAAATGTCTCTGCCCCACTTAGTACATTGAAAGCTGGAGAGACACCAGGTACTCACAGAGCACCCTTTCAGGGCTGGATTGACAACTGTATAGCAACAAAGGCTTCACAAACTAAAGACAAGAAAGACAGAAATACTGTTAAGTAAGCACAACAAAGGACCACTTAAACATGAGTACAGGCACCCTCCCAAATCTCAAAAAGCAGAAAGTGCACCGACCAGCCCCTTGGCTTCAGGTCAACCCTCAGAAGACCTTCTCTCTGGCTGCTTGTCAGAATTTCCACAATGCTCCAACTCAAACTCAAACTCAAACACCCAGGCTCTGGACCCGGTAGAAGCGTCTTCTCCATTCGTTGGTCTTCAATTTACCCTCTTTCCGAAATTCCCTCCAGAACTTCGACACATGTCTGGCATCATGCTCTTGGGCAGCAACTCCGCATTGTACCTCTCCACATCCAATACCCAGTCTCCTCATTCCCGAACCAACGATGGCAACCGACCGCGAGAGCTTCAAGGGAGGCGAGAGAAGAAGCGAGCAAGTACTTGGGCGTGTTCAAGCAAGTTGATCAACATACGAGAGACGAAGATTTCCAAGGTGCGATTCGTCAAGACATGGACACTAAGATCGGTCTAGATCTATCCAATGACATCTTCATGCTGCAGATGATGGGCCAGAACTCTAAGCCACCTGATCTGTACCAGAAAGAAGCATATGATAAAGTGCGGAACTGGTACGACCGTACGAGCGCGAAAATCGATGAGTGATCCATACCGGAAGACTTCCACCATTCGGTCTGAACTTATTCAAGCCCACAAAATCCCTGTCACGCCCTATGGGCGAACGAGAAATCGGAAGATTCGAAATCGGGGTTTCAGCGGGCCCAGTCCTACCCTCGAATTCTCGCCTTCTGATACAGTAATGCTGAAGGATAGAGTCTCCATCGATCAATTCAAGAGCCCAGGGGCCGGGTGTGGAGAGTGCACTTGCGTCGATGCAATATCGGGGGGATAGAAAGGGGCGGGCAGCAGGTTTCGGAGTTCAACAAGAGCAGGGCAAATCAACATCAAGTAACACAAGAAGCAAGCGAGCAAACAAGGAAGCAATCGAGGACGAAACAGAGTCTCCATTGACGGCCATAACGCCTTGCATGGTAACAAGCCTACCACCCGGCCCGTTCGCATGATGTGAATCCACCCATGAATACAGTTCTCATCCTCATCCATTCATCTCTTGTTTTCCCATTCCCATTTTCTCCGAGCTCCAAGCAAGCAGTCCGTGAAGGATATCGTCCACAGGATACCAAGAATCTCGTTCGTAGAACTCCCAACAGACAGGCGCTCAATAAAAGCTCTCCACCATTGTATCCTTCAGACTCGTCTTAATATTCCCTGGTCCCTGGCCCTCACCCAACCTAAACACACTCTCCACAACACTCAGCTCCGTCGCTGTAGTATCGAGCCCAGTAACTGCAAGCCAATCGTTAACTACCATACCGGCGCCCACCACACTTGATCCCCGATTAACACTACCTGCCACAAGCGGGACTTGTAATAAACTCGAAAGCTCGTCTTGATCTTGGATAGAGGTCTTTGGGTGCACGATGCCGCCTTGGTTCGAGAGAGCCATGTAGGAACCGACCAGAACGTTGTCCGCAATCGTTTGTCGGAAAACTTCAACGCCGAGCACGTCGGCGATTATTTCTTCGGTTTCACGCTCGAGATCGGGGTGGACGAGGGCGACGTGGTCATTGGAGACGATGACGTTGCCGAGGGCGGAGAGGCGTTCTTCTATTCTCTTGGAGGATGTCAGCCACTGGCTTCCTCTTCCTCGCATTTGCTGTGATATTGGATTGCGGAGCGGGAGGTATACCTGTATCTTCACTTCATCGGGTAGTGAATTGCGTAGATGTTGGAGTTCTTGGTCTGTTGTGCTGGTTGGTACTAAGAGGCCTTTTCGGTTTCTGCGCAGGAATCCGTCATCAGCACCTGCCATCTCATTCCTTCTTAACTTGTGTGTAGACGTACCCAGCTGTCAACCGGCCGATAATCCTCGTACCCGCAATTGTCGCATGGCAGATGGGAATGACATCCTGCAGCTCTGCTTCGAATACACTGTTCTCGTCAGCCTCTGCTCCTTACCCTGCCCCCTCCTCTGTTCACTCTCCCCTCCCTCTCCAGCTCTAACGGGTGTGCAAAGGGTAAGCACAAACATACCTATAGAAATTCTCACTAGCACCCACAGCAACCAACGCATAACTATTCGTCAACGTCGAGAATACACCGACCCTGCATCTTATTAGCCTCTACTATATCATCCTCTTTCTCTCCCCCCTCCTTCGTCTCTCTGTCCTGGGCGTAGAAAGCCTATCGTGGGGCACGGCGCAATGAGGGGCAAATCCCTCTTGGGTTCACTCACTCATTGGAATTCTCAAATTGTGCTCGTACCGCCATGATGTCTTCTTTCTCAATAGTCCTCTTGCGTATTCTCTGTTTCTGAATAAAGTAAAGTAAAGTAAAGTAAAAGGTTTGTATGCCTGGTAGAGTGCGCAAAAGAGAGACTGTCGTACTTGTTATGATGGAGTTGTAAATTCTGCGATGCGACTTTGCTTTATGATTGCGGCAAGCGAGGGGCAGCGGCGCTAGCAGGGGTTTTGACGACGCTAAACTGTAGTGACTCAGGCCTGAAGATTTGGGAAGCGGAGGGAGGACGAGGCGCAATGAATGACGGAGAATGAGTCGAAAGCTGTCTATGAGGATGTGCCGTGCTGGATGCTGGGCGGCTCGGGGAAAGTAAGGTTGGCGGAGTGACGGGGGCACTGTTATTGGGGCTGAGGAAGCGCGGATGAGAGAGAGGCTTCGGGGAAGGGGAGTCATATCAGCACCGAGGGCGCATCACAGGGACACTGGAGAGTTGTTGTGGCTTTCATTGTCCGGGGTACCTATGGCAGAATCGAAGAAAGTCCTTCTCCACTTCTTCCAGCCGGTACACATAAAACAAGGCTATACAGTTGGAGAGCTCGGGAATGCCCTCACGAGAGCACCACATTTGAATCAAGATTCCTTTCTGCGTATTTTCTGCATGGTTTCGTCTCTTCTGTTAAATCTTTGAGGGTTTGTTTACAATCCTCCGGAGAAAACAAGTTGTTTGATTTAAAACATGGGAACAAGCGTTTCTGTATCCCTTTTTCAGCTCCTTCGGGGTGTGGGAGCGGCTGTTTCCATGCAGTATCGGAGTTCGGCGTGGATGTTGTTTTGCAAGTGCTCAAGACATTGAAACATCAGCAGCTGAGAGTTTTGGACGGTGGCTTGCGGAACACAGCTTTCCTGGCCTCGGCTTCCGACTTGAGGTGAACACGGAGTGCAGGTCGTGGGCACAGTGTACGAGTCACATCAAAAACATTGAGTATACATCTGGACGCTTTCCCTTCATTTCTAACGTGGCACGGATAACTTTGATAACCCTTGAAGAGAAGAAAGTCCCAAGACGTGCTTGGCCCAGCTCGATAGTTGCAATACTGTAAATACTGGACTGCCTGTCATCAACGTAATAGTCCTCGTCTTACATTCATTCCACTACAATCTAATATGGTCGTTGGAGAACGGGATATCATTTAGGGATCAACCAAGGGCATCCTTGACATTGGCCAGGTCAACCAGGGGCTTCATGGGTAGTTCGGCAGTCCCAAGACTCTAATGAGGGTCGGGAAAGAGGGGCGGGGTTGGCCAGTCACAGCAGGAACCTTGGAAGGACATCTACCCTCCTCCACAGGTATAAAAGCGGGCCTTCCCTCCCATTTCCAGGCCAACCGACTTTCCTCAGAACCGCCCGTCTCTATGTTCCTGGTACTGGCTGGCGTCGTGCCGGTGGTGGGGACGGGTACTGAGCTGGGCGGCGTTCCCAATGACGGCCAGGCCTGGCTAATACGGGGCAGATGAGGCCGGCTCGGAATCTCAATGCTTCTCCAAAGCCAGCTTCTTTTCCTTCTTGTCAAAATCTATACTTCTGTCAAGTACGTTTTTCCTGTCAAAGCCCTTGGGTCGCTGGTTTCTGAACGACTGACTGACTGACTGCAAAAGCTCTAGTCCCTCATTCGCAGATCTTGGAAACGGCAGTCTCGCAGGTGCTCATTGTAGTACGCCACTACGGTCGGGTTCCCGTCCTCGACGAGAGGCACCAGCTTGAATTACAGCAGCATCAGTAAGTCGGTTTACAGATCTGTGAGGAGTTCGTGGTGATTTTATAGTCGTGCGGAAAGGTCTGGTCTGGGGGCCTGCCAGGAGCTTGATACATTGATATTTCCTAGGAGCGCTCGGTGTACGAGATTCTTGGCCGGCTAGACTCGTTACTGCTTAGGGTTTCTTGAGGAGGCTTCTCGCTGAGATGTTGGACAAAGCACAATGGATCACTGTAAGAGATGCACTTGCAGCATTGGAAAAATAGATTCACGGTATTCCCCTCCTGTGGACTTGGAATATGTTGCATATTTTTGAATTTACATTGTGAGAATCAAACTTTAATAACACCTCTTCTAACATCCAACTCTCAAGTTGGTGGGAGATTCTCGTCAAGGAGTCGAGCCTCGGTATTGAGACCAGCATACAAATTCCAACCCCAAGCATCCATCTATCTCTTTTGTCGAAGTTCAACTTGTTGTCAATGAGGTTGCAGCCGTCAATTACTATCATTCTTTGATCACAAGCGCGTGTGATGCTTGGTATGTCCTATGTCTTGACGACACCGTGCTTCTGTACCGCGGTGTGGGTTGGCACGTGGTGGGATGGTAGCGTGCGTCGTGGCGGTGTACGGGTCCATCGGAAGCACTGGATTTCCTGGAAGAACGTGGTGAGACGGGTGATTGTGATGGTCATATTGAAAATTTTGAAAACAGAGAACAAGGTGGCCGCTGTATACTATACATAGCATGTAAAAACTTGTGGGCCTCAAAGAGAGAGGTGGCGGTTTTGAAGAGGACGAGATTATAAGATTACCAGCGACTTCAGGAACTTTGGAAGTGAGTAGAATTATATATCAGATCCAGTACTGAGAACAACGTTGGGACCGAACGTACAAGTTACATTAAGAACTTTGGAAGCGCACTGTAGCAAACGGTATGCATTAGGTCAGGAATTTGGAAAGGAATCGGTTCGAATTATACAAGTCACATTGGGGGCTTTGAGATGGATGTGCCCTGGGGGGAAATTATACAAGTCACATGACGAACTATGGAACCAGCATTTGATTCATATATACAGTGGAAAGCTATTCTATTTTACATTTTGGAATGTCCCGGGGAACAGTAACATGTTGAAATCTAATACCATCGTGGCGGAGGAGGGGGAGGAGGAGGAGGACCACGGTTCTGAGGAGGCGCTGGGCGGAGCTCGCGGTGCCGGCTACCACCAGCGGTGGGCGGAGCGGGGCCGGGACGAGGGGCGGCGACGGGTCCTCCTTGGTATTGTGCTCCAAGTGGAGGATACATCGAGGTATACTGTGGAGCAGGAGCAGGCGCAGGTAGAAGTTGCTGCATGCCGTATTGAGCTGGAGGTAAAGCGTAGGTCATCGGACCGGGGAGTTGTGGGTGAATTATGGCTGCATCGGCAAGCCGATCTAATTCACCTCTGGGAGCAGGTGGCGGAGGAACAGGCGCATAGGGAGTCCTATAGGTCCTATCACGAACCGGGTCGTAGCGTTGAGGTGTTGGCGGATTCACACGGGCGGGTGGTGGTGGTGGGCTGAACTGCGCGTGGTGAGCTGCAACAGCGGCTTGTCTTGCATCCTCCTGTCTGATTGCCTCAGCTCGTTCAACAGCGCTGATCAAGGTCGGATCGATGATTTGAGGCGGTTCCGGTACTTCAGGCTCGACTGGCTCAGGTGGAAGTTCCAGGTCGCCGCTCTTTGCGAGTACTCCTCGCACCTTCATGTTGTGGACGACCGTCTCAAATTTTTGATCAGCCTTAGCCATCCATTGAGATCGGGTAGTAAGGAAAACCTCTCGAGCACGATCAGTGTCGGGGCGTGGGTCCTGGATGAACATGACCGGGTTGGTGTCCTTGAGAGGAGCCTTCCAATCATTGACTGGTTCATCCGGATTCAGTGAATCTGGCAAAGCGAGGCCGAACTTGGGGTGTAGCTTGTGCTTCTCGACAAGTGTCTGATCAAGATCCTCAGGATCGTTCTTGGCCGCATTGCATTGGTGGATATTCTGGTCGTGATAGAACTTTCTCGGGTTGGCTGAAGTCTGGCCATATCTATGGTTGGGGTTGTCCTTCTTGGATTTGGTGATGCGGTTACCGATCTCGATTTCGTCATACTTGACTGGAGGGGGACCGACAATTCTGTTATTGTGTTTTGCTGACAATCGAGGGACCTGGAAACCAAATGCATCAAGTGGTTGAGCTTGGGCATCGTCGTCGTCAAACTGCTCATCAGCTGCAGCTCCGGCTGAGGCGCCAGTAGCCTTCGGTGAGCCAGAGTTAGCATCGCCCTCATCTCCAGAAGATTCGGGGCTTTGATCCTGGTCATTCTTCGAGGCGTTTGCAGCGGTTGACTCTGCCTCGGGCTCGCCCCCAGCAAGATTTTTGCTCTTCGTCTTGCCCCACTTCCTCTTCGCATCTCGTGCGATCTTGTCTGCTTTGCGCTGTTTCCAGTCCTTCTCATACTTTTGCTTCTCCTCTGAGGTTTTGGCCGCCCACCAATTGGCTGGGTGCTGCTCAAAGTAGTTGTCTCCTTCGGCAAATTTTGCTGCCGGATCAGCTTTTGTTGGCTGGAATCTTGTTAGACAGGCATCGAAGTATGAGAGAAAAGGAGGGCATACCACTGCGAAAGGTCCAAGACCAACATCAGGAATAATCTGTTCAACTGGGTCGAGTGTCTTGACAACTCTTCCGTCCTCCTGTAGTTTGTTAGCATGTTCAAATCAATGAGATCGGGATACTTACTCCTCCGGAAAATGGTATCTCATCGAGTTTGCTAGGTTTGGCACCTTGATGGTAGACATAGAGAGCATGCTCTTTGATCCGGGTTTCATAAAGAGCGAGCGTCTCATCAACGAAATTCTGTTGATCTGATCAGAAAACAGTCGAGAAAATGGGTGGGAACAGCTTACGAAGAGTCTAACTCTTTCATAGTCATCGTTTGTTTCCTTCTGGAAATGCAAGTAGGCCATCTTGCGGTCGTACTCTTGCTGGAGATTGAGAAGGTGCTGATCGTAATTTTGCTTGAGCGTATTCTGAACCCTTTCAAACTCAGGGAGAGTTTCGTGATACTTCGGATCGTTCGTGAGTCTGGTCAAGCTCTTCTCGGACAGGACGCTGAGAGCAGCCCGTTGGATCTGGGCGATTGCTGCGTACTGATTCTTCAACTCTTGTTTGCGATCGTAGAGTGAACGGATTGCGGGAGGCGCGATGTTTCTGGCTCGACCACGACCGCGGCCTCTGCCTCGAATTCCACCACGGCCCTTTGCAATGGGAGTAGAAGCAGCGTTGGGGGTGTTGTGGCCGCTGAGTGCCGAAGCACCTCGCCCACCACGACCACCTCGGCCTCGTCCACGACCGCCACGACCGCCGCGACCTCTGCCTCCTCTGCCCCCTCTGCCCCCTCGTCCTCGATAACCTCCTCGGCCACGAGTGACAGGCGCAATAACTTGAGAAACTACAGATTCTTCGGGAATAACAAGTGGCTCCTCCCAGCCGACTGACTTGGCCGGGGATGCGCCTTCATCAACAGCAGAAGAACCACTTGGGCTATCGACTGTGAGTTCGGGAATTTCAGAAATTTCAGGCAAAACTGGAGATTGTGACTCAGGTTCCGTTGGAGTAGTTGATTTTGAGGTTTTGACAGGCTGTTGAATTGAATTCGATGACGAGCGACGCTTCTTGGCGGTTGGCAGCTTGGGCTCCGAGGCTTCGGCCGATTTTTGCGACGGGCTGGAAGAAGGGTTTTGCGAGTCGCCATTTGTACTGATATCGCCAGATTTGCGCTTCGATGATCTCGTACCGTAGGTAGATGAAGTTTTGGTGGTGATCTCCTTTGGAGGACCTGCTCCTGCAGGGGTCTCGTGACGTGCCGGGGCCATCTTGAAAGACGACGCCCAGCGATGAACGGGAGAAGTTACAAGAACGTATGAGGGATTAAATGAAGTTATGAAGAATTCAGCGATTGTGTCTCCGTGCAGGAGACGATGGGGGTTTGATAGTGAGTGTGCGCAGAGGTTGTTGATTGGGGACAGGGTGTGAGGCGGACGAAAAAGTGTGTTGTTTGATGAAGAAGGTGGCAGGGCCAGCGAACGAAGATCGGAGAGCCGTGAATCGTGTGGTCGAACAATAGGATCAATCGCGCTGATCGTGCGAAAGAAGATTCCGTATTGTTGAAGGTCGAGACAATATGTCCGACGTTGAATGAATGAAAAAGTCGACAATAGCAAGAAATGGATTAGAAGGTCTCAGACCAGCAATCGATTTTCGAAGCGAGCTTTGGCCCAAGATTGGCGGCCGCTGATTGGCTGCAGGCACCGACCGGCCCGTGGAAGGATCATGGAACCTTCCAACACAAGTGTGCTGCAATGAGGGAAATTGTGGAAGAGCCTTCGAGGATGGCTTGTTTCGTGCTGGAGGAGATGGAATTATTCTGTTCTGGCGAAATAGATAAAATAGATAAATTAGACCCTCATTTAGAGATGATGTCGTCGCAGATATGCTCCAATTCACCTGCAGTCAGTGCATCTTGCTGTGATTTGGCCACTTCTTCCTCGATCGGCGTCCGCAAGGAGCAAGAATGGCTCTAGTGTAACTCCGGATTGATTATGTGAGAGGTGCTGGGCTGCCTGGCAAATTATAAGTGATGACTGTGTCATGCAATGTAGGGGTGAGGCAGGAGAGCTGGTTCTGGATTACTTTGCAGCCAGTCAATCGTAATCACAAACTGCCGGCCATGTAACAACCATCTTCGCGACCAAAGAATGTTCTATTGTCTTGAAAAATTAATGGAAGATGCTATTTGATCTACAGTCTACTTTATTTTGATGCTGCCATTGAGCTTCTTCGTGTTTGAGGGACGCTGGGATGCCCCATTCTCTCCTGCGGCATCGAAACCATTCTAGGAAATCAAGGGAAGTTTTTAAAACTCCGAAAAGTTGACAGCCATCAAAGAATACCTTATCTAGAATCGTGAATAGGTTTTGGTACATTGGCTAAGCCGTGGGGAGCGATATTGATGATCTCCTTCGTGGTGATTCTGCTTATGAGCAAGGTTTCAGAGGTAACCTTATCCTGCAGCCTCTGGAGGCATCAACCCACATCTTGTCGAAAAAAGCCTCGAGAAGTTCGGCATATATCCAATGGTGTTTATTCAATCTTGGTAAAGTTATGGCAACGAACAGAAAACTCTCCCTAGATTTTCCAGACGATCTTTCCAGCCTGGGATGATGTCCTGGCCAAATCCATCAAGCACCTGAATGCGCATCCCTTCCAAATGCAAGAGAACCAAAGAAATTGTCTTCTCGAGGCTTTATGCAATATATCAAACACCACCGACTTTCGAAGAGGACCACGTCGTCGAGATTTCGAATTCAATGGCTGTGGTGATGCCCATGTGTCGGGTTTCAAGCCGAAAGCCTGGAACCTCCAAGTTTCCCAGCTTCAATGGTAGCACCGAATCTCCAAACCGCTCCATTAATCCTTGTGTGTGTCTCTTTGGAGCCCTCGATGTGGTAACCTCCTCAATAGCACATGTGGCACTACGGACTTCTATGCCTTCGAGTAGGTGGAGCGACATCGTTGGAGCGCAGCCAAGACCTCCAGCCAACGAGACCTCAAAACCTCCTCATCAATTCCTCAGTCCTCCGCAACATATGTATCTATCTAGATCAAGTGCTCGATAGGCTGGCGCTCACTCGATAACGCATTCTTCATTGTTGAGTAAGCATTTGTTTCAATTAAAGGTTGGACTTGCCACTTGCTTATGCGGGTGCTGGATCGAGGACTTTGTTCGAGCTTCACCTTCGATGAAAATGCTGAGATATTCCTAGCAAGACGATGTCAGTAACTCCTAATATATTGGGGAAAATTTGACAAACCGACAAAGAGCTGAGTCGTGGCATGGAAGCACCGAAGTGTAGTGCGCTGCTGGACGGACAGTACTGCCGAACAGATCGAGGACTGGAAATATTTATTCGGAGTTCAGGAAAAGACGGTGACCGTTGATTTGTCAATCAGCAAGTCCTCTCCTTTCTCGAGATGGTGAAACCTACCTTACTGTTAACATGTTGTCTTTGGTAAAGTCGTCTGGTGGTGGGCCGCTGTCGGAGCTGGACATACAAAGTCCTTCCAGAATGAACTTCAACATCACCAATTCACATTGCATTCATTCTGCCAAGCTCTCACAGACATCGGCGGGTCTTGATATGGGTGGAACAGCGAAAAGGTAGAGCTTCTTTTTATTTTATTTTATTTTATTTTATTTGCTTGAGGATTTCTATGTTTTCCAAATCTGTGGAAACCTTGCGGCAGAAGTTCCAGAGAGCAGCAACCTTGATAAACAATTGCTAATTACATCTATAGTATCCATCCAATACGGTCTCCTAGATAATTCGACATACAGTCCATTCAGCACGTCAATTGCCCTTGGACAGCCGTTCATCTGGGCCTAGAGCTGATATCTAGCTGCGCTCAGCTGCAAGTTCGAAGTAAACACCTACTCATCAAATCTCACTCGCCTCCTCTTTCATCCATTCAGATCAAAGAGTTATACGCTCTGCATATCTATATACTCCAGGCAATAGAAGCCAGACGTCCCCAAGAACAAATTCGAAACCCAGCTCTTTGAGCTCATACCTGCTCACCTCAACAGCAGACCAAACCAAAGGCACACCAAGACCTGCCCTGTCTCCCCCTATCAATACCCAGAGCAACAAAAGGACTTACACGTACCTCGAATAGCTTACCCAAGCAACAGACGAAGACACTCTTCTCCCTGAACAAGAAGTTCTCCCTCCCGAAATCACCCACGCCCGCTTCTGCTTCGCACCCGGAGCGAACGCTTCTCGAAGCCACAACATCTTGCTTCTTCTGCAACCTGAAGATTACAAAGTCCTACATAGACAACTTCCTGTCCACGTCACAAGTAAGAAGACCCTCTCCTCCATCAGCCAAGTCCTCCTTCTCTGACCAGGTCCACAATCCGCAGCTAACACCTCATATCTGCAGCACCCTAACCACTTCATCATCCTTTCTCTCAACACCGCAGCCTTCCTATTTTGTATCAATCCCCAAGGTGCCACCCCGTCCTCCTCTTTCATCGCCTTGCAAAACTTCGACTGCAATCCGACTCGTTCCCACCATAGACCGATAACTACACAAACGTCAATCCAGCCTGCCCCACACTCCTCACTCTCCCACAGATTTTCCCCTCCTTCAAGCTCCCCTTTCTTTTTGAGCTTCAAGCTCCAAGCCCCCAAGGCGTCTTTGTACCACCACCACGTCCCTGCTTGCGTAACACCTCGTTCCCCAAATCAAGCCATCAAACCATACGCTTTCCCCTGCCGCACCCAAAAATAGCACCGGTTCTCGACAAACAACGGAACCGTATCTATTTCGAGCTCCAGGCTCCACAATATTGAATTTTGGCTTGCTTGCTTCTTTCCCCCCCCAACGCCCGATCCTCACCCCAGGAGAAAAAAAATGTCACCTAAAAATGTCTCAGCCTTGCATGACACATGCACACGAGAACAAGGGATCCCCTGCTACCCAACCTCCCACTTACCATTTCATTCCCCTCCAGCTCTTTCTTTTTGCTGCGAGAAGGCGAGCAAAGCCCGATCTCGATCTCGTTCAATATCAAAAATGAAGAACAGGGAACGTGTCACGTGATAATGGCACAGCGTCTGAAGACCACCAAATTTGCATTACGGAACATTGCTGCTGCATATTCCGATTCCCTCTGGCTCACTCCACTGGTCTCCATCCGCTTCGGTATGTACAGGCGCTGCGCTTCCCCTTCTCATCGGCACCATGCACCTAACGCATCCTCGCTGCAGATAAAGCCCCTCAAAGCCAGAAGGAACCCCCCACCATTTTCGTCTTCCCTTTTGTCTTTGCGTTTTGGTGAGAATTTCAGTTCGTTACATGCATGATCCATCCATCCTCAATCATCTACCTCCAAGGTAAAGGCCAGGCATCCTTCACTCAGTCCTCCAGTCCTTTAAGGAGGATCAATGTACCCCACCCACCAGCGCAAAAGTCAAGGTTCAGCAATATGAGGTCGCTAGAGTAGAGAAATGAAAAAGAAGCCAATCAATCCGAGAAATGAAAGAGAGACAATGCCCGGGAAACCCGTGTATGCGTGTGTTTGTGAGATGCGGTGTTTATTGCAGGTCCTCGTCATCCGGTTGGTCGAAGAGGAAGTTGGCGGCCAGCTCTTCGTTCTTGTCACAGGCGAAGTAGGCTTGGATTGCTTGGTCGCGGGGGAAACCGAGGAGACATAACTTTCATTGTTGTTAGTTGACATCAATCTTTGAAGGGAATGGAGGGGTTAGGGGACATACTCGCTCAATAGCAGCACGTTCTTCTTCCGTCACGCTGATAGCTTGGGCTCCCGGTGGGAGCGGAGCATCATTATCACCGTCCTCACTCAACAGCTGCAGGAACTGCTCAGGATGTTGTCCGATCAGCTGTGCCAATTGTGGGTTACCAGCGCCGACTTGTTGGAGGATAGGCTCGAGCATTTGGGGTTGTTGTTGCACGACTTGGCGGAGTTGTTGGAATTGAGGGTTGTTGCGGAGGAAGTCGAGGTTGCCCAGTCCACCACCGGCTGCTGCTGCTGCGGCAGCTGCTCCTCCTGCTCCGAAGAGATTTCCTGCTCCTCCACGAGCGGCTGCACCGCGTCCTCCTCCACCGGCTGCGGCTGCGGCCTCGAAAAGATTGACGGGTTCTTCACCACCTTCACCACCTTCCGCAGCAGGTGCAGCGGGGGATGGAGATGCGGCTTGAGCACCAGCAGGCGGGGCAGCTTGTCTTTGTTCTTGTTGTAGTCCTTCTGGGATGCCCTGAGAACGAGTCAGAATAGGCCTAAAAATAGATCAAGCAACTTACGGTCAAGAGGTACTCAATAGCTCGCTCAGAATTATAAAACGCAGCACGCATAGCAGCATCGATCTGTGATCTCTCAAACCCCATACTCTCCATCTCTGCGATTTGTGCAGCACGCTCAGCACCCATCGCAAGGCCTGAGGTTGCAGGACCTGAAGGGGAGGCAGCTGTCGTAGGACCAGAGCCAGCGGGCGTAGGAGTGGCGGGGACAGCATTTGTAGAGGAAGATGTTGACTGACTCGGCGCGGCAGGGGGAGCAGGTGTCGATGCAACAGCCGGAGCTGGGGTGGACGGGGCAGCTTTTGAAGAGGAGGCTGCAGATGCTGGGGGAGCCTTAGGCTGATTTACCAGTCAGAAAGAGCATGAAGCCGGAGGAGAGAAGAGCATACCTTTTGGATCATGCAGACAATGAAACCCTTCTCCTCAATCTTGTAGGACTCGACAGTGTTGGCATCTTGCAGGATCTTGCCTAGATGTCTGTAAGCAAGGCGTCCAGCGGGGTCAACTTTAGCAAACAAACCTGAATAGATCAGCTTTTGGTGCGCAGCCTCCCATCCCTTTTCCTTTGCAATTTTTTCCTTCACATCGGAGATCTATTCCCTCCATTGTCAGCATGTTTTTCTTCTGACATGGGTCCATCACCAGGTGGCCAAATGTTGGGAAAAGAGGTCGAGGGTGCGAGGTTGGGAATGCATACCAGCTCGGAGGGCTCAGCTTCGATGACGAACTTTTGCTGCTTCAAATCCTGAGAGTGCAGAAGAGTGTCAGTATGCGCCCACCTAGGTAGAGGAGTTGAAGGCATCAGAGGTGGGAGGCAAACTTACCTTGAAGGTGAGCTTCATGGCTGCGACTGGACAGCTCTTGCGCTGCGACAGTACCGTTTAGATGGCTTTGTCTGTAACTGGAGATGTCTCTTTCCTCGTATTGAGTGTTGGCGGATCTGCGTCGGCGTCGGGTTGGTGTTGCGAAGGCTTGAAGTTGTCTTGAGGTGGCGGAGAAAGGCAGAGCTTGAGTGGAATAAGGTAACAGAGGCTGGTCCGTGCCCACTAACTACGCGAAAGAAGGCAAGGCATCAAGGACCACGAATTCTTCAGCCTCCTCCACTCATCTCTCAGCCAATGAATGTATTTCTATGCACGTGCATTCTACCCTTCTCTGCTATGCCAGCAGCTTCTTCCTCGTCATCTCACATCATCCTTAAGGCTTTCTACGGAGTCGTTCGCCTCGGCCGATTCGGGATCTCCCAAAGCGGGGTGTGCTCTCAGCCTTGTGAACATCCAATGCCAATGCACGATATGAGAACAGCACTCTACGGCCATCGCAGTAGGCCGGTGATGCGCTTCTGATCGACTTGCCCCAGCCAGGAGATCGTTGTCAACGCTGGAGCTCTGACAGCATGCCTGGATGCACTTCATCTACTGAATCAAGTAACCCCTAGAGACTATCGAATCCAGTGATGACGACTGGAACAGTGTCTCGTCGTTTAGAAACTCAGCGCACTCTCTCCGCGTTCTGCGTTGATTTTTCGTCTTTTCCCAACCATTCAGACAGCTTGACTCGGAGACTCCAGACGCCTGCTCGCTCCATCAACCAAGTCTCAACATCCTACTGGGTTGAGGGCATTCGAAGGTTCTATTGTCAATATAAGCAATTCTTTAGCCCAAGCCTCTTTCTTGCAATGGTTTTGGGCTTATCGCGTTAACAATCGCACGCATGCATCTCGTCACATGCGAAAAAATTGACCGTGTCAAGTTTCAAGTCTTTCTTTAGGCACTAAGGTATATATTGTATCATCAAACGCCACGCTAACATCAATGGTATCAGTCATCGTACATGAGAAGGAGATTCGTGAAGGCGTCGAGCCATCATCTCTCATCAAGAGATCTCTATGCCTCCCCATCCTCTCCGAGCATACCCAGTCCAGCCTGGGTCTTTTTCCTCGAATTGTAGCCTCCCATGCTACTCCTTGGCCCTCCATTCAGAATGAAGTCCGGAATGGGAGGTGTCAAGGTCCTCTCCCCACCGACCTCTTCTAACCGCTCCAACTCTTCCCTCCCCTCTCGTTCCTCCCTCTCCTGCATCGCACGTCGAATACTATCCAAGCTCGCACTGGGGACCAACGGACTTGATGGCAGGCTTCCACTTCGCATTCGGTGAAGTGATCGAATACTCTGAGGATCCGAAATTACCTGCCCTGCTCCAGGGGCTGCGGTCACAATCGTTCCTGGAGTAGCTGCCGGAGGAGGAGTGGGTGAGTCGGTTCGGAAGAGGGGATGGATGTGAGCCTCGTGGTTGCTCTCTGTCGGACTCGACTGCCGCACAGACCTTGGCATTTCCCTGGAGCTGTTGGCGGGGCTGTAACTTCGACTCCTTTTCCTCGCCTTTGGAGGCTCCAAGTCGAGAGGGAAACCAGGACTTGCACTTCTACTCGTTGTAGGACTGGCTGGAATGGTCTCGAGAAATCGTTGGGGAGTTGGCGACGCCGATTCAACAGCTTGTCGCGATTGCGCATCCACACCAGATGTATCCCAAGAGTCAAAGCCATCCTCTACAGATATGCTTCTTTCGCGGTGGTTGGATTCAATGGATGGTGGCCGATGATGAGTTTTGTGGCTATGCTGGATCAATTTGGTCTTCGAGTTGATTGGTCGGACAACTTGGGACCAGGAAGACCGGAAAGACGACACAGTATCAGAGCCAGCTCGGGATCGACCGCTGGAAGGAGGAGGAGATCTCGACTCCATCGATGGTGTTCCACGATGGCTGTGGTTCGCTTGGGCACTTGAAGCCCCCTGTCTTGACGACTCTTGCATCTCTGGGAAAGCTTCGCTTGGTGCTCCAATATGGTAAGGTTGGATTTGTTGCTGGAAATCTTTCCGTTGGATGATGACCATGCAGATGATGAACACAGCCTGGGAGAGCAGAGAAATTGCCCAGCCGATGAAAGCTCCAGTGACCAAGCTCTGGGTGGATGAATGGATGATCCTCTTCGGGGGATTAGCCTGCTGATTCCTCATGATCCCCAGCAGCACTGCTGAAGCGACGGCAGACAGAGTACCGAACACTCCCGCAAATCCAGCCAACAAGTATGTGTGTTGTCTGCCATGTCCGAAATCTTGAATGTGTGCTCCGTTACGATACCGGATCTGCCTGGCCAGCAGTAGTAATAACAGAGCAACCGCAATCGAATTGAGTACCGACGCGACTATGGCCACCACATTGGCCTTGGCCGCGGAAGAACTTTGAGACAGGGTAACGGCGAATATGATGTCGAAAGTTAACATGACGGCCCCACTCGACACCGCCAATGCGCCGAGCCCCAACGGCAGCCCACGAGAGATCCCCATCGCGACGCAATGATGAATTGGTGTTAGGGATAATGAGATAGTATGACGCGTTCGCGTAGGACAGAATCCGAGAAGGGCGACAGGTATATAAAAGTTTTGGCGCAATTGGAGTTCGGAAAGGCGTCGATGGGGAGTTCAAACGAGTGACGAAAAGCAAACAATGTCTTCAAGCCCCGACCACAGCCCCACGAGAATTGATGGCTTGACGGCTGTCTCTCTAAGACTCAGCGTCGATCCGTCCAGCGAGTACCCTTCACTCTTCCCCAAGTTTTCGAGGTCTTACAAGCCGTGCCAGTGCTGCTTGCTTGTACGTCGATGTCTTAGTCTGTTCATCCCACTTAGCACAACCTCACCGATTCCAGTCAGTTTGCTGAATCGGTTTCGTTCCGGGAACCGGCTAGAGTTCACCGGGAGCCGCTGTTGGGCTGGTCGCAGCTGATGAGACGCCGCAGCTTGAAGCCGCCTACATCAATCCCCGGATACGTACAGGACACAGAGCTACACCGCGGGGCAGTGATTGGAAACTGACGGTTTGCAACAGGTCTGAAAATCGGCCGCAGCGACGATGATGGCGATCGATAATAGATAGGGTGAATGCAACGAATGGTTTGCCGTGTTGCCGGATGATATGGTGCGGGTTTTCCAGACCCGCGGGGTTCTGCCTCGTGGGCCGTGTAGTGGGCTGTAGATTTGTTTATATAAAACTGCCAGCCGAGTCGGCAGCGTGATGATTCGGCAACGACCCCAGACACAACCTGGCGGTCAGCAAGGAGCTGCAATTCGACGTGAAGCGAACGAAACCCGAATGTCGCAGCTCGAAGTCGATGCCGGGTGCTGGATGCTGGATGCGCGATGATGGACACGCGAGGGGAAGGAGGAGGCCTGGAGGATGCTGGTGACGAGGGGATCTGGCGTGTAATAAGTTTTCTGCTTATTTTCTTACTTCCCGGTCGAGGCTCAACGAACGCGTCGCGCGTGTCCGAACTGCGCACCCGCTGCCGACGATGCAAACCCCGGCACTTCCTTCCAACTTCCAACTTCCAAGCAAGCAAACTTTCGCTCAGACGGGGGGGACCTGGAGGTCTGATACTTCCTTGGATCCTGGCGCCGGAAGGTGTATAATCCTACTTGGTAAGATTAAAAAGCAACCCGCGGCGTGCCAATTGGCAAGATTCCCGAGCGTAGGGCGGGGCGGGGGGGGTCTTTTAGCCAGTCGCGAGGATTGTTCTGTAGCCGTGCCACTGGTACGAAAGCTGCGCGCTGCGGGCTGGGGATTGGGCCCGAGGAATTCAATGTTCTCTGGCGTGGGCTCGACAGGTCGCGTTCGTGACTGCTGGTTCGTCTTAACCTATCGGCGGCGAGAGGGCGGAAATATATATAGTGCGTAGGTAGAGCTGAATCAAGAAGCACCGAAGAAGGCTGGGCACGAAGAGGGTTCGAAACGAAGGGTCAAGAGCCAGACAGGCGCCCCGGCGACCATACGAACCTTATGTTCATATAAGTAACTGTCTGAAAAATAATCGTTCCGGGTAGTGGGGCACGGCAATATTTGAACGGTCTGTTCGCCTTTGTTTTGATCTGCTCAGTCCCGTTCTCGACGCTGAGCTGTGCTGGCACTGCTGCGCTGTGTGGAGCTGTCTGTGTTGGGCTCTCGGGGCATTCCCTGCCATGTACTTCGTAATTCACGGTAGCACAGCAGCGCGTTGAGGAATATTGGCCGATTATTCCTCTCCAGCAGCGCTCCTCCTTGCCCTTTTGCGTGCCAGTTTCCATTCCCAGGGTTTTGACACCTTGTTGGGAAGATGGGGCAGCCCCCCTTCTCGCCCACCCAAAAGTAGGGGATGGATGGGGCTGAAATTATATAAATTTTAGGGGGGCTTGAATACGTTTAATATCGTAAAATAAAATAATCCACTCCGCCGGCTTGGGTGCATATGAGGCATCATGTGACCTATAGCCAATCAGGAACCTGAGGCTTGCTCCATTTACCTACTGCGGTTTCGTGTTTCCTGCTCCAAACAATCAAAACCTAATCCCCCCCATTAATTTACTCCCCTCCACGTGACGAATCATGCAACGATTTATAGGTACGCTCTTTTAAACAGTTGCTTGACGCGATACAATATTTGGCGGACTTTTGATTGTTATATAATTACGCCGGGACTTGATTCTTTATATAATCGTGATAATTTTTACAAAGGTATGCATCTCCTAAGGGTCCCCTAAAGTTAAACATCCACTACTGTACTTGCGCAAGCCCCCCCCCCCCCCCCCCCCCCCAGGAGAAAATGATGTTGGGCCCATCCCGGTCTGTGCTAGCAGGGCAGAGCAGGCAAGGCAGGGCAGGCAAGGCACAGGCACGCCTTCACGCGATCGCTGTCTATCCTTGCGCAATCGCTGGGGAGGGGAGGGGACGGGGTAGGGGCATGCGATTGGCGCGGTGATCGCAGCCCTGTCCTCTGAAACCCGCCTTTTCAATCTTTCGAAAAAATCGGGGCGGCGCGGTTTGAGATCTGGGCGCACGCTGCGATTCGAGAAGAAAATAATCCCCGTTTCTCCGGGGGCAGCACCAATAATGCCGAAGTTTGGAGATCTGGAATAATGATAGTATGAGAAAGCATTGGCTACCTAAATTACCTACCTTTTCTAACGTTTCGCGCTGGCTGGCTGGCTGGCTGGCTCGTAAGGAAGGGAGGAAGGATGACTGGACGAAACCGTTGAGGCGGGTTACGGAGCCGAGGATGAGGACGAGGACGTTGGAGTGGAGGGCGGAAAACTCTCTTTCTGACATCGCATCGCCCATCACGAGCGAGAGTGAGGGATGCCTTGTCGAGCCGGCGGCAGGCAAGTGGGCCCCCTCTCTCTCATTTCCTGTGCAGGCGTGTGCGCGCAAGGAAGACCGCTGGGAACAGAAAGGAAAGCCAAAAAAAAATTTACTAACGGGGAGGGAAGGGCTGAGATGACGCAGCTTTTTTCCAATCTTCCAGACAATTCTGAGGCTCAGAGATCAAACCAGGACGCGCGATTTACACGGACGATGAATGGGGGTTGGCAGGTTGTCGGCACAATGCTCGTGAACGTGGGAAGGGAGGGAAGAAGGGAGGAGACGTGGAAAGTATTGGGCAGTGTGACAGGTAAGTAAGGGAAGCCCCCCGCGATGATCGATACAGTATTGGAGGTGGGCGAGAAGAAGGATCGAGATGCGGCGATTTGCACAATTGATTTTTGATTTTGATTTTGATTTCGATTTTGAGATATGATGGGATGGACTTGTTTACAAAACAACAAAACATCGGGTCAAAGCTGCTAATTCTGTAGTCTGGACACCTCGATCGTCGTATGCATGAAGTCGGCGCTCACCACCATCCAAATGCGTCCAGCGAACAAACCATTCACTCACCTTCTCCGAGATTTCCTTTCCAGAAGAAGAAACTCGTTCGACGCAAAAGAATCCTGCTCATGCACCGAGCCTCTTCCATCTGAAATGACAGACATCAGGGCTGAGAAGGATCAGATCAGATTACGTCAAACACATCGACCCCCCTGGTGCCCCAGCCGGAAATTTTCCACGTTTGCCCAGCCCCCACCTCATAACTACCGTATCTGCATAACTCCCGTATCTGCACAACTACCGTATCTGCATAAGTACCGTATCTGCTTAACTACCGTATCTGCAGGACCTGCAGGAACGCAGTAAAAGAGGTCCTTTCTTTTTTGAGATACGAACAGACTCGCTTGGAACACGACGGTCAATTGATGAATTGAACGCGTGGAATGGGCTGAGGGACGGTGCGGGATTTTTGGCTTTGGGGATGGAGGGGAGTTGTTTGGTAAATGGGGACCGGGACCGGGTGCGGTGTCTGTGAGTGCAGCGCGGATGCAGGTACAATGCAGCCTGCGATGCAGTGAGCAAGTAAGTGGGTGAGAAGCTGAAGCGAGCTATTTTCGGATTGGGCAGCCGGGCCGTGCCTGAGTCGTTGATCTCGCTCATTGACGATCAGATGGTTTGCTGGAGGAGTCCGTGATGAAAACGGCGAGTACCTTTTGAAACGAGTCCGTCGTTGAGCTCGTGCTTGCGTTCGTCCTTTCTTTCAAATGAGTGTTGCTGTCTGCAATGTCTGCCGTGAAATTGGGGCTTCCTAGAGACTTCGAGTGGAATGGTTTGGGTTCGAAAGGCTTGACCGTCGGGCCGATCCAGAGTCCATGGTCTTCTCTCCTTCTGTCTGCATGAAGCTCTTCGATGGGGAGATGATTGTCTCCTTTCTTCCGTCTGCATAGTAAGTGGGTTTCTACCACTGGTTAGCAGCTCCAGTGGATTGGTTTTTGAGCCTCTCAAAAGTTTCGAGGCGTTCGCTCTCTTTCTTCCTTCCGTTGCAGCCAGTATTGGACATCTCCCGGAGAGATATCGAACCGCGTTGGAAGGCTTTTTTTTTTTTGCATTCGCTAAAGGCGAGGAGACATGGAAGTCAAGGGACAAGGGTAGGCTGAAGACTTCGAGAAGAGATTTCGGTATTCTCGTCCTGTCCATCGAGCATCGGGCCGCTGCAGAGTTCCCTGCTTACTTCTGCCAGATCCGCCTTCATGGCTGCGGCGAGTGCGTGGAGACCCTGAGCTGACTTCTCAGGGGGTGTTTTGAGTTCGTGGGCTAGATCAAGGGCCCAAGGAGGTGGTGTGCGTTCCTGGGTAGCTTCATGCTTCTGCCTGCATGGCAATTGTTAATTTGTGGAGAGAGACCTCGAGCAGAGTTCCTCGTTGAATTTGAGTTTGTGGACTAGGTTAGGAGCCCAAAGGAGAGGTATAGGCCTGCTCCTAGATCCTTTCATACTTCTGTTTGCATCGTTTGCTGGCACGTGGCGATTTCATTGGGTCTCTCAAACCTTTTTTGCCTTTTGGGTTTGCGGAGTGGGTGAACGATCCAAGCAGGGAAAGAGTGTGCGTCCAGGTCGCTCCAGAAGCCCCCTTTCGGTCATGGGCTTCGGACCACGTTCGATGCCGCAAGA